TTGTCTTGTTGGCAGTGATTGATAGATTAATTTACTGAAAGGTTGCCGAATTTTAGTTAGCAGCAATCTAATCTATAGATTTACCATTCAGTGTAATTAGACTACTTTTATCATTTTTATTAATTTTATAATTCTGCTCATTTATAATTTTTAATTTATTATTTTACATATAAAAAGACAAAAAAAAAAAAACATTTGTTTAAAACCATGCTAAGGAATATTATCAATTCTTAATTTAGAATTTAGGTGTAAAGTAAAAATGTTAGGCCAAAAGGGATTTGTCCTAAAAAAAAAAATTTTTTTTTAATTAATAAACACAAAAATACCAGGTCTGATTTTAGGTATTCATAAATGCCACTAATTACAGGGTATAGTGTTTTACTGTTCAATTTTACTTTCAAAAAATAACAACTGTTTACTACAATATTTCCTTATGTACATTAATAAATTGTCATTGCAAGAAATTGATTGCATGTAACAGTTACTAATCACAGCATGTTAACATGTGAAAATTGCATTTGTATAAACAGTTGCAATCAGTACTATTGACCACCCCCCCCCCCCCCCCCCCCCTTCAGATTTTTTTCTTTATTAAATATTTTCCAAATGATGTTTTACAGAGCAAGGAAATTTTCACATTATGTCTGAAAATATATTTTTCTTCTGGAGAAAGAAATTATTTTAAGGTTAAAATTATTAGCCCCTTAAAGCTATATATTTTTTTCGATAGTCTACAGAACAAACCATCGTTATACAATAACTTGCCTAAATAACTTGCCTAATGCCCTAACCTGCCTAATTAACTTTGTTAAGCCTTTAAATGTCACTTTAAGCTGAATACTAGTGTCTTGGAAAAGACCTAAAATGCTATTCACTGTCATTATGGCAAAGATAAAATAAATCAGTTATTAGAATGACATTATAGATAACAGAAGCATGTTGCAAGCGTATAAACAATTTTGATTTAACATTTAAATCATATTTGATTCAGTAATTTGAACCATAAAAATATTTGAGATTGATAGGACTTTTATTAAGGTTATGTCTCGTATATGCTCACAAAGGCTGCATTTATTGGATGTAAATAATTGGGATCAACTCTAATATTTTTAAACGTCATTACAATAACAAAAAGCTTTTGGTTTTAATATATTTAAATTATTACATTTATTATTTTAAATATTCAACAGCCATTACTGTCTTCAATATCATATGATTAGTGAAAATAGGATATAAAGCTTCATATTTATTTTTTGGACATATTTTTTATCTATTGATGAATATCAGCTCTCAGCAAGTGTAGAATTTATTATTCTCTATTCCCTTTTTTTAAATATAAGACTTAAACATCACTTTTTGTAAGTTAATGTGTGTTTACTAAATTGAAGTATTCATTTGTTTCCATGAAAAACAAAATAAACAATGATATATACCAAGGTACTGAATGGTTCCCATATTCATATATAACATTGTTTTTACATGATACTCCAAAAAACGTCAAAAGAAGTTGCAAGGTGGTAAAAAAAAAAAGTCATATAACCATGCTGATGTGTATCAATGCATGATGGTACACATTTATTCCAGAGTTTAATTTCATTTTCATTACCAAAACCTGACCATAGTATTATACTTTTCTAGAAAAAAAATTATTGAAGCAAAAACGTATCCTTATGCAATCAGTTCCCTTCAGAATTATTAGTTCAATTATATTTGCAGTTAACTTATGACTCTCATACTTTCTATCGAACTAAGGAGGTATGTTTTGTTCATTTTCCGAGGATCTTCTTTCTCCAGTGTTCAAAAGAAAGTATTCAATATAAATAAGTTTCACCAAATTTCAGATTCATACAGAATACTGTCCTCACCCTGAAAAAATCAAAGCAGACCCTTCTATGCATACAGCATGCGAGGAGTCTTAAAAGTTCAGTCTCTGGATTCTAATATGGATGAAGATGGTGATTTTGAACAGCTTTTTCTCATATTTGGATTATGGTTTTTAATAAGAAAATGAAGAGTTTAGATGCAAAAACCTCTAAATGTCGTCTGAAATTTTCCTCTAAAAGGAGCATTTTTATCAGGCTCCATGTGTGTACGTTAATTAACATCACTTGTGTGGAAAAGAATAAGTCCTTTTCCTGGTCTTTAAAGTGAAATATTTCAACAAACAAGAGACTGAGAAAAATTTTCATTTTTGATGGAAATTTTAGATGCCACTTAGAGGTTTTTTTTTTTATCTGAACTCTTCAAATTATGTTTTTAACAAAGTAAAATTATAGAGTCTGCTTTTTTAGGTTCTCTGTTCGATTAATACATCAATTAAATATGCTTTAATGTTTAAGCATCTTTGACTTAAATTGAAAGTTTGTACAAATTATATAATATATACAGATATATACAGATTTATATGATATAAATATTTTTTTTTTTAAATGCAACTGAAAAATAAAACCTGCAGAGGTTCAGACAGTTGTAATGCTATTCCAAACTATTCCACGTGATGGCATCTGAAGCACGCAATACAGAAATTTCTGCCTGCCATCTGGATTTTTTATTTTTTATCAATTTTAACAGTTTCAAACTAATTCATATACAGATGTCGAACTGATATAATATATATATTATATAGCCTATATATCTATATATATATATATATATATATATATATATATATATATATATATATATATATATATAGCCTGTGTAGCCTACTTTACATTATATTTGTATTTTTTTTCTCTTTGTAGCTTATTGTATTGGAAATCTTTAAAAAACTTCCTATTTGAGTTGCCATTCCTACATGTGTTATTTTAATATGTCAATGTAACAAATCTTTGATTTTATTTTATTTTATTGCACATGACGTGAAACTGTGAAAAATGAAAAGAGGATTTGGTTTACCCTGACTAAATTAAGTCTGAAGTAAAAAAAAAAAACTAAAAAAAAACAAAAAAACTAAAAAATAAATATATATATATATATATATCATGTACAATTTACTTAAAAATATATAGGCTAATATATAGTTACTTAATTTGATATATAGGCCTATGATTTGTAGTTTTCTTTTAATTTGCAAAAAAAAACAGTTGACATGTTTGTATCAATATTTGTACACAGTACAGAATATGAATTTCATTGTCAATGAACAAAGATACAAAAAAGAGAAAGAACACAAAATAACCTTGAGGGTAAGACGTTTAAGGATCAATTACAATACATATATTAAAATCATTACAAAATGAAATAGTTCTGTTGGCTTTTTTTCAGATAATGAAATTTTAGTGACTAACTTCTTGTAAAAGAAAACAGGAAAATATGGCTTGGTATGAGTAAATTTGCATTTGTGGATATGGAATTTACAAAGAAAATAAACTAAATTTATAATAAAACAAACATTTCTTTTACTAGAGACAGATTCATAATAATCAAAAATAATATCTTTAAAAGTAACAGAAACATTTTGTTGTATATTATCATTACAGTTTTTCCCAATTGCTTACCCACAATTACTTGTACTTCAATGACTAGAACATGTAACTGATGCACCAACCCCCTGAACCAATTCTGCTAAACTACAAGCACAATTCCTGTTTTACACTCAAATTGCAGGTTTAAAACACACTTTTTGCAAAACATTCTCTGTATTTGGCACAATTTTTATGCAGAAAATTTCGTTTTCACAAGGAACACACTGACGTTCAAAATTGTAAAGTCAGTTGTGCTACTTTGCATACTAACTCATCACATGAGTAAACACCTGTCACACAGAATTGCAATTTAGAAATCAGAGCTCATCTGGTTCATAACTGGTTCACTGCCCACCCACGTTTTTTAATTGAAAAAAAAAACTGTTTCTGTATGAAATTCACAAAATTTACATTTTACATCAATATATATATATATAGTTTAATAAGATAAAATCGGTTGATTAACTTACAGTTTTTGCAACTGCTTGCACACAAAATCTTTTCTCGTCACACAATTTCTGAAACATCTCACTCAAAATGCAAACTATGTCCAAAACCAGAAGCTATTTCTCAGCCTTAAACTCAGTTTTCAAATGCATAAAACAATTTTTAAAAAAACGCTACACACAATTCTCTACCCAAAACACAGAAATTGAACAGGAATCTACTTGCTTTTCTTTTCCAGACAAAACCAATCAAAATGTTACACTTATTCACCAAGACACACTGACACACGCACAAACACACATACACACGCACGCAAGCACGCACGCACACACACACACACACAGACACACAATCCTTAAATGTGGAAACACAATTCTTTACTGATCACTAACCAATCACTGCTTTACAGTAGTATAGGCCTAAATGTGTCTGTACTTCAGACACAAAATTAAAGACACACTGTGCATAGTACAGTAATGATTGTATTGCATAACTTTACCTGGACAAACTGGTGACAGTCTTTTTTGATGCACTTAATATTCCTTTTAAAAACCTCAAGAGTCCTCTTTTAGAACATATCATGTGATTGGAAAAACCTCAACACCTAATTGTGGTTCCTAGATGGGAATCTATTGTGATTTAAATATTTACATAACTGCAATAAGCTGTTTCTCACTGGAAATGTAATAAAATACAGAGAATATACTTGTGTTTCAATTCACAATGTGAAGCATGTGATGTTCACAGCAGTTCACTTTGACTTCAGCCTATGTAGATTATGTTTAGAACTTGATGTTATCTGTCATGACATACAGTGTGAAAGCATTTGTAAATTTGACTGTAAAATTACATTGCTTTGGTCTTGGTGGAGCTTGGGTGTAAAAGAAGTTCATACTGTATGCATTTTGTATCAAATCAACAAGATTTATGTGTTAATTGTATAGCCTACAAAAACGGATGTTGTGCTTACCGTGTTAAGAGTTTAAGAAACTTGGTAAATGTATTTAAAAAACTGTCATAGCGATTGTAAAAAAAACTAATTTGTGTCACTGTGACGCGAACGTGACAGCGCTTCCCTGACGTCAACAAATGAGCCTGGGTGAAATGTTTGCGCGCATGCGCAACACTGCAGCCCTCGACTAAATTGAGGTCTTTGTTGAGACCAATAGACAAATCTTGCTCGAGCTTTACCGATACCTCAGGGATATTTAGTGAAAAGACAACCGTTTTATGCACAGTCGTGAACAAGTAGGCTTCATGTTATCCCGAACACGAACGCGAGGAAATTAGCAGAGCTGACAACATCGGATGTACACAAACAAACCCATCGCTGTCGTTTTAAGGTGGTATTTTTCAGCGTGACGATTTTATTTATTGAACATTTACGACAATCGCTTTCGTCGAAATGGGGAACTGACATATTTAAAAGGAGTAGATTTCCTCTTCACATCCAGGATATCATGAAAGAGGAGAGCATTTGTATGGAAAGGCTGCCCATGGCACGCAGAAGTGGGTTTCAACTTTCCAGCTGCCTCGTCCAGACAGAGGAGAAGAGGGACGCAGAAAGAGGATATTTGTGGGCCAGCTTTATTTCACATAAATAGTCCAACTGCAATATTTGGGATCAGGTCGGAGATGGAGACTGTCGGGAAATTCGAGTTCAGCAGGAAGGACCTCATAGGACACGGTGCCTTCGCAGTGGTTTTCAAAGGCAGACATCGAGAGGTGAGATACGTTAATAGTAACGTTATCTGGAAAAAAAAAAACAAATGTCTCAAAGTATTTTAATTTGCGGCAATGGTGTTATTGTGCGGTTTTTCTAAATTTGGTTTGTTTACATACTGGTTGCAGAACTAACATTACCACCTTAAAGGCCTCGAGCACAACAGATGGAGACGAGAACGAGAGATTAAAGCCAAATAATATATAACAGAGTTGTGGAAAGCTTTAAAAGCACATTATATACATGTATCCGAGCTTTAAATGTGTCATTTCCGATTTATACATGAAAGCTAATGAGAGAAACTGGGAAACAGTAGAAACAATAACACTGGCTGACTATAGACATGAACGGGCATGTCATTGTACACGTTTTATACAGTATAAACTACAAGGGGATTATGTATAATCTCTTAAATTGTTCACATTTTTTCAGAAGCATGAATGGGAGGTTGCCGTCAAATGCATAAACAAGAAGAATTTGGCCAAATCGCAGACTCTTCTGGGCAAAGAAATCAAGATATTGAAGGTGAGTTTTGGTTTTAATGACAATGCATTGCATATTCAGACCATAAAATTAAGTGTGAGCGAATATAAGTGTGTTTAAGTACGCAAATAATTCGTATTTGTTATTTCTAGGAACTGAAACATGAAAACATCGTTGCATTGCACGACTTTCAGGTAGGTTGATTTGAATCTGAATTTTGCAAATATTTGAAATAATATAAATTGCTAGATAACTTCATATATTAATTAATTTACTAGTTATCATGCATTAAAATGCTCCTGAGTCTTGTTTGACTTTCTTTGCAGTGATTGGTTAAAAGCAGTCACATGTTCCTCTGTTGACATGACATGTGCACTTGTTTTTAATGAGTGTGCTGCAAGGCATTATGGGCATTGGAGTCTGGGTTACACAATTGTTTTTTTACAAGAGGGATAGAAATCGATTTAATTTTGTTTTCTCGTTTGATCCAGCATATGAAGTTCATTGGCACACAGTAAATGTCTTATTGCGAGTGAAAGCTGCAACGCCAGACTGTTAAATGGTTTCATTGAAGTATTGACACGCTTTTCAAACACCTGGGTTCTCAGTATTAGCTCTGTCCTTAGGGTCATCCGGAGGTTAATATGCCAGGCATGTTTTATTGGTTTAGGGTAAAGCCAGTTGGACTTCAGAATACATGTTGTATCTCCAACCATTAGTAGATCTAATTTAAAGCAGTGTTTGTTTTTGAACCGAACTTGTAACCATATTAATTAGTTTAATCCCTTTTGTACTTGGCACTCATTTATGTTTCTAGATAGCAGTACCAACAACATTAGTCCTTGAAAACCAGTTAATCAGGTTACAAAAAAACATTGAGCTTTCATGCAAGGGTGTGAAATGTAATTTGACTTTGATCTATATACTATACCACACCACTAAAAGATTTCAATACAGTGCAAGTACTGTTTTTAGTTAGTATTCCCAGTTTACACTGAGGTTGATTGATGTTGCTTTTGTCTCCAATCGGTTAATGGCAGTTTTGTGAAGGAAGGCTCACACTCTGGTGTTGCTTTCAGAAGGTACAGCTCAAGTGTCTCGGTTCACATACTTCTCTGATCTGACCTCCTCTCACATCATCTGGATAGTCACACCACTTTCTGCTGTGGTGTTGCCTGTCTGTGAATTGAATGCATTAAAGTTTGAGGAGTTATCCTTGCACTACCCTGAAGGGAACAGTCACAGTGAGCTTCTTGGCTCTTTGCCACATGTGACAAACTTGTGCTTGTTTGTGCAGGATAACCCTGGCAAGAGTTAATCTGGTCATCTCTCCCTTGAGAACATAGAAACAAGCTTTCAGGCAGAGCTTATTTTTAGTGCAACCGAGCTATTTGATTATTAATATTAAAGAGACACATAGATATTAACTTCTTTATTCTTTTAATGAAAGTTTATTATTATTATCATTGTTTTTTTTTTCATTATTTGGATCTTTTTTTTTTTCTTGATTTGAATATTTTAGCATTCATAGAACAATTCAATTTAAGCCCTGGTCAGATCACACGATTTTTAATGTCGGTTACAAAGTCACTATGTCAGATTATGTGATTTTGGTCTTGATAAAATCTTGACTTGTCGTGGCTAACAAATGTGCAAGACTATTCGTTCCTTCACGATCAGTCATCTCGTGATATCTACAGCGAGTGTTTTTTCTCAAAGCAGTCACGAGTGTTGCTATAACAATATTTCTTTCCTCAATTTCAATTTTTTTTTCCTTTTTTAATCTTAATAAACACTGATGCTTGCAGATAATAACTACATTATTTAAGGACATCCTTTACACCAGAGATAGGATCAAACTTATGATTCCTTTTAATATTAAAATTTTTTTGTTGAAATCTAAATGTGTATTTTCCTGCCATAGGTTTCCTATTAAACAATCCCTAGCCTGAACTTGCCGCGGGTGAGACAAAGAAAATGAAAGCACATAAGCACCAAGGAAAAATCAGATGCGCTAGACATAATCTTTAAAATAATGACATATAAAAAAATTTGCAAATATATAACTGAGATTTATGATACAATCTCAGTGTAGCATTTATTAAAACCTTATTTTGCTCAGAGTGAAACAAATCATCCACCTGTATAGTTGAGTAGTGGAGGGGCACAAACAAAAATATATTTTGTGTATTTTTCTTGGAAAAAAAAATTTTTTTTAAACGAATTTCATTTGCTATAATTTTAATCTTAATTTTAATGTATCTTTTGTTGGTCAGTTGTCTATAAATAAGAATAATGAATAACATTTGAGGTGATTTACTTCAAGACAAGTCCGCTATATGCGCCAAAACACAAATTGCCTTGAGATTCTGTTGGTTTGTTAAATAAAATAATTTAACGTGCAATATTCACAGTTTCAGAGAAGCCTATATCAAACTGTTTGCACTATTAATGACAAATTTGAATAAGCAGGAAGTGCTTTTGTGATGTATTCGCCGCACTGAAAATGTTCCCAGATTACATCAACAGAACAAACTCTATTGGAAGGATAAGAGAACTCAGAAACTTGTGATAATGAAGATGTCTGCATATTTATTCCAGTCTGTCAGGTAAAATTGCTTAAAACACTTTATTATTTTAAAAAAGGTAGTTAGTTTGCACAACCAATGATCTTATCCACCCAAGACCCACCCATAAGTAAATATGCAGCCTATTTTTTGATTACCTGACCAGTGCATTAACAGCAGCACCCACTGATATAATCGAAATTATGTGCTCCTATTGCACAGTGTCACCCACATGACAGAACTCAACGTGAAGAATGAGAAAAAAAATTAAACATGCTAGACTTTCTGGGATGGTGTCGTGAGTCATAGCAGGAATGGGATCGGATGTCGTGATCTATGCCACATTACACAAGAAGAAACGATTGAATCTTGTATTACGATGCCCATTTGTCGTTTACAAATCACCACGACACCCTACTTCAGGATAACTGTGCCAAAATCATGACAAATTCATGTGATCTGACCAGGGTAAAAGGGTTCTTCATAGTAAAAAATATATTTACTCTTAATAAAAAGATACTTTAATGGCATTTAGAAATTTTATAACCAGCTTTTCGTGTCACAAAAGTTTCTTAATAGTGAGAAATTGTTCTTTAGATTGTTTTAGAAATGTTTTTTACTGTAGCAAAAAGCCATTTAACTACATTCTTAAGACTATATAAAAACTTTATTGGCATTTGTGGTTCCATAAAGTGTCTTTAAACATTGGTACATTCTTTCTTTTTCACAAAATTGGTCTTTATAGTGCAAAAGGTTCTCTTTTTTTGCACTCAGTGCTCTTTTAAGAAGCGTTCACCGAAAGGTCCTAAACAAGGCTAAACAAAAATCGGTCATGTTAATACTTCTGAACATTTATTTTTATAAGTATAATAGTCTGGCTGTGAAACTCCCAGTTAAATGTGTGAATATATAGTACTTGATCTCAGTCACTTCAGGGATACTACAGATCAATATTAGAGCGCAAACGATCACAGTTGCATTTGAAACGAAATGAGTAACAAGGTAAAATTGCATAAAACTCCTCTCCAGATCCAGTTTAGCAGGATCCCTGCCATGTCTGTGGTAAAATTCAACATTAGCCACTCTCACGGGCCTGCTGTGTTCATAAGCAAAGCTCACTTGATCACCCACATGAACATCAGTCATCTAGGCACCTTGCTGTCTGTGACTGTATGTTGGATTTTGGAAGCTCATTCGAGCGCTAGTTGTCATTAAACAGCGATGTTTGGCCTAGTTTCAGTATGACTGCTCCGAGCAAAGCCAATTGAGGTCTATCTTCAGTGGCAGAAAGTAAAACTTCAGCAATGCAGAGTCAGCAGCGTTTGCCACTCACAGATCAGCCGATTCGCCTGATTGGTTGAAGCAGACACCAGAAGGGGGAGGTCATCTGTTGCTTGGTGATAAGGTTGTTCTAAGTGGGCTACTCTGTATTTTTTTTTTCCAGAGGCCTTAGCTGTAAGCTTGGGAAATAACAGGATTATGGTGTTGTAAAAGCTGACCTGACAGCAAACACCAAACCTGTCCTGTGGGTCTGATAACTGTTGATAGGGTGGTTGCATGTTTAGTTCTTTTTGGAGAAGCCCATCTGGCATGGATTCAACAAGATATCATGCTTTTGTTTTGTTTAGTCTGTTCTTGTTTACTGAAGCCAGGTTTTTATAGTCTTTGTGTGTGCATATGTGTTAATCATTGCCCTGTTGCCTACTGACATTACTGCTTTATTGCTGTCTGGATGAGGAGCAGCAGGTTCAAAACCATTTCTAAAACAAGATTTTTTATAGCTGCAAGCATCATCAGAATTGTTGCTTAAATTTAACCCTTGTTTATCCTTATGGACATCTTTCTCTTTTTTATTTCTTGATAATTTTGCTTGTGTTAGTTTATCAAACGAACATGGTGATAAAAATTGCTTGTATACATGCAGTGTGTTTGCCTTTCTTTATGATCATTGTTCATTAATCTTAAGCATTTACTAATGCAGCTTTAGCCAATTTTGACAAATTAACAACTGAAACAATAGGCAATATGGACCAATAATGGGCAATACTGGAAGTCAAAAAATAAAGATTTTTTTTTAAATAAAAGTGACAAAGTCACTTGAAAAAAGTACATGCATACACAGACAACAAAAAAATCATTAAAAATGATGGACGTATACAGTCAAACAGGGATGCCGATAGCAATTTTTGGCTCTATGAAAGAATATTTAAGGTTGGGCCCCCTCCTTATACTCTTAAAGGCTGATTTCTACTTCTTCCTCGAGCGATTGCCATGACCCACCGTGCATGTCATGTGCATATCCATACATTTAAACTTCTGAGTGCAGTTTGTGTTGCTCTGTTTTAAGTTTCGTTGTGGGTGTTTTGTTTTTTCTAAATGCTATCTTGATGTACGCATAGCTAATACTTGCTTATTTTGAGGTGGGAACCAGGGGATGTGCAACAACTTTAATCATAAGGTTAACACAAAACAAAAGTTTCTAACTGAAGCTCCTTCACGGGATTCAACATTGTAAACAACCAATCTAGTGGGTTCGTGCGACTCTTGGCCCCTCCCACACTTGTCAGTGCTACCAAGCCGACCAATCACAGAGCTTGTGCTATGCGTTGTTGCACTTGTAGTTATTTTTTTGAGAGGTGCGCATCAGCTATGGCGAGGGCTATGCGTCCGCACAAAAACTGGATCGCCTGCGTGCTTAACGCAGAAGTATAAATCAGCTTTAATACTAATAAAACAGACCTCTGGGGGCCCCAAAGTGCATGGGCCCTTAGGGCGTACTCGCGCTATGTACAGTTGCCTTGAAGCCTTGAACCGGGCCGAAGCTCACTTTTTCCCCCCCTCCCGTCCTCCCGGACGGCCTGCACTCAAATTGCATTTGGGCCTGAGCACGCTTACATAATCTGATGCGCTGTTCAGTAAAAAGCGCTCTCGCTCAGCACAGTGGAGATTTCTTTAGTTATATCGCTTTGGTCCTTTGGGATGCAGTGACACGCAGTGAAATATTTCGCTGAACAGATCAGCCACTTTTGACGTTCATAAACAATCATAAAGTACTTGTGCTGCAGAAATTAAGCGGTTTACTAAAGTTGCAGCAGTCATGCAGTGAAGGATTTGCGTCTTTAATAATCTACGACAGTTTGCGTTCATTGAACAGTATAATGATTAATAAATCCATATGAAACAGTTCTTTAAAAGTCACTCACACTACAAGTGTACCGCACCAAAGCCCAAGTGAACTGCGCTCAGGCACACCTCTTCCAACCGGGCCAGGGCCGACCAAGTGAACCGCGTCTGAGCCCAATTCAGAGCACTCACACTTCTCAAACGATCCGGGAAACGGGCCTGGGCATGGTTCGGATAGCATATTGTGATTGCATCCTTAGAATCAACTTAATCCTGCTTAAAGGCATTCCTGCCTGCAAATATACTTTTAATGTTGTCAGGCAAGTATAATTTCTGATGTTTTGTTTTAGTTGGCTAACACAAAACTGTTAAATTACAATATACAACCTTACCTTGTTCATCACAATATGTCTCAGGGTGTTTTTTTTATTTTTTTATTTTTTTTACACGATGGTATATACTACACTCTGGAAATCTGCCACAGTATCGTGGCTAGCAGCACTCATATTTCACAGCATCAGCAGTATCAGTGCTCTCTTGTGTTGAGTGAGTTTCAATGGTGTGTGCGCTGTCTTCAATAGAAATCTGTCACACCAGTGCACGGTTCACATGTTGAACTGTGAAAATGCCCAGTGAAGCCTGTAACCTTTGGTCTCCACCTGGCCTTTATTAGCCCATTATTACCAGAGCAGGGAAAAACACTCTCGCCATGTGCGGATAAGCATCAGTTCACTGCATTTACAACACACACACACACACACACACATGCTGTTAATACCAGCTCCAGTGTCTGCTGTAAACTCTACAAATATAACTTGTTATCAAAAGTTTGTTTAAAAAAGCGTTTCCCAAGGCTACATTTATTGGATGTTTAATAGGTATTACAGGGGCAAAAAAACAAGTTAAAAAGTCATGTCATAAAAACCAGTGATCCCCAACCTTTTTATCACCGTGGACCAGTCAACTAGGCATGAGAAGATAAGCGTTTTCAAGGTGTACCGCGGTTTGGAGAAGTCAAGGTTTTAAAACCTTTCTGTACCGTTCTTAACGTATATGTACGTTTTTTTTTTTTATTTACATTTTTTTTAGGACAACAGTATGTCTAGCAGAACATATTTGCAAAAATAGTTTTTAAATTTAAAGAAATGTGTGTTTTAGAAACAAATGAAGAAAGCAGAAGTCAATGATTAATTTGAATTATTCAGCCTGACATGTTTGCTGCTCCAAAATATTTTAAATGTTTCTCAAAATTAAATATATTGTGTTCAAAGGGGAAAAAGTGTTTGCTTTTTAACCAGACATTTAAAAAGAACATAATTTAGAGACATAATCACGATACCTTCAAACGGTAAAACCGTGATAAATTTATCCAACGTTATCATTTCGTCCAAATTTTTATACCGGCCCATGCCTAGTCAACGCTTGGAATTTTTGCCATTGCCCGGGTTGGTTGGGGGTTGTGGTTCTACGTAGATTTCTAGACGACCATCAACGTTTTCTCAGAGGATGTCAAGCTGACAAAACATCGCTGTAACTCTGATACAAGTTTTATTTATGTAGAAAATTAAAAAAAAAATGTTTGTCTGAAGTAATAGGTCTATAAAAATCTGTAAATTTCATCAGTGCATAATGGGGTTTTGGGTGCTTCAGCACCTGCTCTTTTTTTTCTTGTAGAGAAGGTGCCCCCTAAAAATGAAAGTGCCCTTATGCCCAACATCCCTCATCCTCTTCCCCCACCTCTCCAACCCTCATGCCCCTAACCACCCTCAAAGGTCTGTGCATGGCACTTTATTCCATAAAAATCATGAAGTTGCTCGGTCAGTTCTTGTCATGTGTCAGGCGGTGTGCTTGCAGCAGGTGCTCCCAATATGCTATGCAATCCGTGTGCCTCCATTGGAAATAACCAACTTGCACACACAAAGATGCATGATTCACCTTATTTGTTGACAAATGCATTGAAGATTAATTTCTTGGCAGGTCCTTCATTTGGGCCTTTTCCCCTTTGCAAAGAAACTTTCCACAGACATCTGCTTCTTACTCATTTTGCTAGCTTGTGGGTTACATTTTAGCTCTCAAGTGTCTGAGATATAGCCAAGAATACAGTCATTTTTCAAAGTAAAAGATTTTTTAAATAACTATCGTTCAGACTCAGATAGTAAATAAAATAGAAATAATTAATGATTTCTTGTGCAGCCTGGTACCGATTCATCCATGGACCGGTACAGGTTCATGGCCCGGGGGTTGGGGACCACTGATATAATCAAATAGAAAACAGTTTTGTTTTCACTGTAATAATAAATTACAAAATCAATACATTGAAAATAATACATTATTGGTGAGCAGAAAATGCTTCTTTCAGAAACATTTTAAATTGTATTTGTTATTACATTTATTTGACTGTCAGTGTGTTAACATTGTTATTCACATGTATTTTTAATATTTTTATGAAAGAACCAGAGTTCATTTGAGCACATGTCTGTTCCAGTGTTAAATCTCATTACTCATGTCTCTTTCTAGGAAACGGCTAGCTCCGTGTACCTTGTAATGGAGGTAAGTGGGCCTGTTTTTTCCTTATTATTCCGACTTGTACCTGGTAATGCGTTCAATTAGCCACACCATAGAGTCAATGGAAAACATCTGCAGTCATTAATAACACAACAACCTCAGAAAGATATGAACTAGGAATTTGGTTTGATTCAACCCAGTGAGGATTTGTTAAGTTTTTCCCGATTGTTCTGAAACTCTGCCTGCTATACAGGCCACACCACCAGCTGTCAAAAAAAGCTCAAAGAAAGGCAGTGGGGCTGCTAGGAAGCTCCTCATGGGTGTACAAAGGGACATAATGGCCCTTCTTTTCTGAGTGGCTTGTTTTAATATGCATCTGAATGAAGCTTAGTTCACTGCAGATGATTCAGATGCGAATTGTCATGCGGCATTGTTTTGTGGTGCTCTTATTCAAAGTAAAAAGATCAATGTTCTTTCTTTAACTGCAGTACTGCAACGGGGGAGACCTGGCTGACTACTTGCACTGTAAGTGGGACATCTCATCTATCATGCTTTGACCTCGTTTTTGGGTTGAGGTCATTTTTTTGTGCTCTGTGGATTCTCACCGGCACATCTGGTTCTTTTAGTAAATTAAAGGATTTCTTTTAAATAATGACTCATGAGTAATTAATGCATCCTTATTTTGTTGGTTTGGTTTGAATTCAGTGACTTAAGAGCTTGTTTTTTGGCACAAAATTAAAAGGTTTGAAAGGTTGTTGCAACTTTTATCACAAAATTGCCAGCTTATATCTCACTGCTTTAAAGGATTAGCTCAGGTAACATGTAAAATTTCCTCTCACACCTAAGTGGTTTTAAACCTTTATGAATTTCGTTCTTCTGCTGAACACTAAACAAGATATTCTGAACTGAAGAATGTTAGAAAAACAGCCATTGACGTTGATAGTGGAAACAAAAATAATATGAAAGTCAATGGCTTTTTTTCCAGCATTCTTCAGCATATCTTGCTTTGTGTTCAACAGGAGAAAGAAGCTCAAAGTTTTTGGGTGAACTATCCCTTTAAATTATAAACTCACAACTGTGAGGATTCTGTTTTATACTTAAATTCAAACTTTTCACAATTCTAATTTTATTTCCTCCACTTTTTCCTCCTAATTGAGATGTTTGATTGCTCAAAATGGTTGGGGTGAGACTACACTTGTCTCACAGTTTGCTACAGTTACGATTGTCATGTCATCGATTCATTTCAATTATACATCACAGTGCATTGATAATGCTTTCCATCCACAGTTATACAGTTGAAGTCAGAATTATTAGCCCCCTTTGAATTTTTTTCTTCTTTTTAAAATTTTTTAAATTATGTTTACCAGAGCAAGGAAATTTTCACAGTATGTCTGATGATATTTTTTCTTCTGGAGAAAGTCTTATTTGTTTTATTTCGGCTAGAATAAAAGCAGTTTTTAATTTTTTGAACACCATTTTAGGGACAAAATTATAAGCCCCTTTAGGCTATATTCTTTCTTGAAAATTTACAGAACAAACCATCATTGTACAATAATTTGCCTAATTACCCTAACCTGCCATGTTAACCTAATTAACCAAGTTAAGCCTTTAAATGTCACTTTAAGCTGCATAGAAGTGTCTTGAAAAATATCCAGTAAAATATTATTTACTGTCATCATGGCAAAGATAAAATAAATTAGTTATTAGAGATGAGTTATTAAAACTATTATGTTTAGAAATGTGTTGAAAAAATCTTCTCTCCGTTAAACAGAAATTGGGGAAAAAATAAACAAGCGGTCTAATAATTCAGGTGGGGCTAATAATTCTGACTTCAACTGTATATATAGATATTTTTCACAACACAAAAATGTTTCAACAAATTTTTTTTATATATTTATATTTATACAGTATGTTATTTGTAATACAATTTAGTCCCTTACAAGCAGTCAAATAAACAAACTGTACCTTTAACTTGAACTGCTCAAAGAAAACACTCTTTGAATATTTCAAACTAAACTCAAATACAGTCACAGAAGATGACATGAGCATTTATAGCTAATAAACTAATGTAAATGTTCCGTTTGCTTTTTGAACATCGAGCATATTCTTATATCCTTATGATTGGTCATTGTGTTCACACGCTCAATCGAAAGGGCTGCGATTGGCTCTAATACCGTCAGCGCTGTTTACCGATGAGTGACGTGACTATATGCGTGTAATAAAGTGCACATTGCGCAGCAATCACAGCTGATCCGTGATACATGGCATGGAGGAAACTCGCTCTACAGATACACTCATGTCAGGATCCCTTAAGTATCGCTTTAGTAGCGATAGAGGAGAGGAAAAACCTACCTTACAAACTTGGTAGCAGTTCAAAAGTCTAAAGTGAGAGAGAGAGACTGAGACAGAGGCACACACAGAGAGAGAACAGTAAAAATAATAACTCTTGGTTCTGCTGTATTTCAGTGTCAGTGGAAAAGATGTCCAGCAATCTCACATGCAGTGTCTGCTTTTTTAGGAGTTGGAGCATTTTATTTACTCGCCCTCGCCTCATGCGAATACTACCATGACATGGCTCATATGAGATTAATTACGTCAGTACGTAATAACTGGTGATGATCTATTTATAAACCGATACAGAATTGTCCACATCTGCATTGCAGTGATTCGAAGAAACTTTCATTTTGACACCCCTACAAAAATGGTGAGATGTAAAGCTTTAATTCTGAGGGAAAAAGTCAAAATTGCAACATATAACCTCTTAATTAGAGATCATAAGACATGATATTAGAAGTGTGTGAAAGGATGTAAACTCAAAAATACAAATAATAAACTTTCAATTCTGAGGAAAGTAATACTTACAATATAAACTCTATTCTTTTCCTCTCTATTTTGATTTAACAACTTGCAATTCTTACTTTTCTCTTGAATTGGCCATCTTGCAATTTGGATGTTATCTTCAGAAGTGTGACTTTATTTGTCACAATTGTTTTTAATTACGAATATGATTATTCTCATGCAGTTCTGAGTGTAGTACTGAGTTTCTATATACTTGGTCACATTTTTTTTTTATTCTCATAGTTTTTTCTCTCAGTTCTGACATTTTTATTTCCTCTTATTTGATAAGCGTTTTGCTTGCTTGCAAGATGAAACATGTGATATGAGTTTATATCAAAATCTTGCAAAGCAACACTCAGGAAGTTCGACCAGAACAGTTTTGGGTGTGTGTTTGTGTATGTAAGTTTTGTTTGAAGCGGGTCTGAGGAAGCAGCAACTGTAGACTGTAGGGTGTGAGCTTGTGTACAGAGGAAGTAGTGGTTCTGGAGTGTCTAGACACTTATGGAATCTTGACTTTTCAGGTCAAATCAGAAAGAAAAAGTTAAAGCATACGGAAACTAAAAAAAACAACACAATATTCTTAAAAAAACAACAACATATAAATGAAAAAATGACTCTTTCTGCAAGATTTTTTAACACATTTTTAAAGAATAGTTTTAAAAACAAATTTCATAATATTTTACTAATACATTTTTATCACTTCACTTTTTTGCAAGATACTAGAATATCTGAACAAAGAAATTTAATTTCTATTTAGTTTAGAACCATCAAGTGTGGGTAAACAGTGAGGAAATTGGAAATTGTTCATTTTTGGGCAAACTATCCTTTTAAATGAGACAAAAATGCAGCAACATAATGTACAAAAATAATAATATATTGTAAGTTTTTAATATATATTGCATAACTAAAGTAACATGAATTTCTTTCAGCAAAGGGCACTTTAAGTGAAGACACCATCCGAGTATTCCTACAGCAGATCACAGGGGCCATGAGGGTTCTGCAGGCCAAAGGGATCATCCACAGAGACCTGAAACCCCAAAACATCCTGTTGTCCCATCCTGCAGGCCGAAAGTCTCACTTCAACAACACCTGCATTAAGATAGGTGTGTGTGCGTGTGTGCGTGCGTGTGTGCGTGCGTGCGTGCGTGCGTGCGTGCGTGCGTGCGTGGGTGCACGCGTGTGTGTGTGCACGCGTGTGTCTGTGTGTACCTGTTTGTGTCTGTGAATCTGTTTGTGTCTGTGAATCTGTTTGTGTCTGTGCCTGTGTGTTTAAGTGTCATGTATATAATTTTTACATTTTCAGCTTTCAAAACTTTAGAAACTCTTGAGACCACATCCATATACTTTAGGGCATCTGGCTTTTGCTGATTAAACATTGTTTTGGATGTTTTGGTAAAACTGAATTGGTGTAAACCAGTGATAGAATTATGTTTAGTGATAAGGGAAAACATTACTATAGTTATAAAGCAAATATTAACTTCAAAAGACTTTGTAATGTCTGTTATTGATTTAACAGCATGTTTTTTTTGTAAGCCGCAACTGCTTCACAAGTGTAGTTTCTAAGATCTTATTTTGGTTTCTTTTAGCTGACTTTGGCTTTGCGAGGTACCTCCAGAACAACATGATGGCTGCCACTCTCTGTGGGTCTCCGATGTACATGGTATAATGGTTATTTTCTTGTTACACATTGCATGAGTGCTGTCTGACATAGATTCTCATTTTTGGGAGGGATTTTATTATAGATTTTTTAAATTACTATCGCTATTTTTAATAATGATAATTAAATAGTATATTGCTGAGTGTGTTTTTGATATGACAAATTAATATGACACTAAGACCACCAGTAAATTCATTGAAAATTAATTGTGTCTTTATAAAATTATCATTGAATAATTGCTTCACTCAGTTTATCATTGAGCCATTAAGAAATCCATTAATTCAGGAATGAAATGCAGTAGCGTTACTCTGCGATATCAAATTTTTCAGAACTGAATGTTGCCAAAAAAAAAAAAAAAAAGAAGCCAGACATACGCAATGTTGTTTCTAAAAAGAAGGTTGTATACATTGTAAATCACATTTTCTGTAAGCTTTTCAACACATTTTTAAACAATAGTTTTAATAAGTAATTTCATAATATTTTTCTAGTTATTTTGCAAAATGCTAGAGTTCAGCTTAAGGTCCAATTTCAAGGTTTTACTGGGTTAATGAGGTTTCTTGTTAAGTGGGATGTCACTCGAAGCGGCTTTCGGGTCCAAGTGCTTTATGTATAAAGAGACTCAACAAATGGTAATAATAAATGTTTACAAAGTGCTGTAATACTTTCGAAAATTATGATCATAATATATAGATACCCATGCTTTACCAAAAATATATGTACACCCATGAGAAAATATTTATTTTTTTTATAAATTGTTAAAATATCGGTGTCTGTGATGTAGCAAGTCCAGACACTGTCGTGTACACAATGATTTTATATAAAATTCATTTTAATGCGTGATAAGACTATAGTGGCCATAAACTAATATTTTCTCAACTCAAATGAGTAGCAGCTTGGACTCAGAAAAAGTATTTCATACGTCGTGACTTAACAAGACGATAGGCAAGTTAGGTTAATTAGGCAAGTTGTTTGTTCTGTTGCCAATCAAAAATAATAGGCTCCGAAGGGGGCTAGTAATATTTATCTTAGCAGCTTAAAAGATCAAATGATGCCATCCAAACTAAAAGAAATAAAGAAATAAGACTTTCTCTAGAATAAATATAGGAAATACTGTGGAAAAACGTTCTTGCTCTGTTAAACCTCACATGGGAAATATTTGAAAAAGAACACAAATTTCACAGGAGGGCTAATTATTTTCTCTTCGACTGTATTATATTCTATAATAAAAATAAATAATTCCATATAGGGATTTGCAGAATTGTATTTGAAAAGGCTTCATCACACATTTAATGCTTTCAGACTCTGAAGACAAGTTTTGTATTTGTATTATTTATTTATTATTATACATATCAGTTAAATAGCATTTACACCTCTCCTTTGCATATATGTGCATAACTTTGATTCTACTTGTAAAATGCTGTTCACCAGGCTCCTGAAGTTATCATGTCACAAAACTATGATGCCAAGGCTGACCTGTGGAGCATAGGGACCATTGTGTTTCAGTGTCTGACTGGGAAGGCTCCATTTCAGGTACGTACCGTAATGGGAGCAGATGCACGTTGAGTTAACTATATAGCTGTCATTTTAACCCTTGTGTGCTGTTGGGGATGTTTTTATCCACAGTGGAGTTATTTTGAGTCTTAATTTGGCCACAACTCACTGTCTTTCAGCAAATGGAATGATTTTTAGGGACAAATCTTATTTTGACACATATTTTGGAAAAATGCTTTGAAGAGTTTCAAAAACTCAACAATATACTCTCTGGGTAAATTTGCTACTCTTTCATTATGTTTGTGGCTGTTTATGCCCCATTAACTTCGATTGTAGTGACATTTTTTTATTGCAAAGCTATGATACCATGTAATTAAGCATTCTTTACTCTTGGTGGTTTTCTCTGTTGGGAAGAGGTACAATGTGTGATTTGTACTGTTGATCATCAGTCGCAGTGAAAAAAAAAAGCTTAGTTCCTGGCTTTTACACTGTGTTATATGTAGTACTGTGTGCGTGCGAGCGAGCAAGTGTGTGAGAGAGACCTTTGTGCACTTACCTTGATATGTCTGAGAAAATGAAAATAAGCAGCTCAGCTCTCAGAACATCCGTAACATAGTAAGTGTATCTATGCATGTACACTATAATCTGCTGTTTTACTCCATAGCCAAAGCCAGATACTGTTTTGCACAGGCCTATCTAAAGGGTTAATCGTACCAAATGATAATGAGCAATAAAAAAATATTACACATTGTACCTCTTGCATCCAAGGAAAACCACCAACAGTCAAGAATGCATGATTATATGGTATCAGTGCTTTGCAATCAATAAATGGCATTATAATAGAAGTCAATGGAACAAAAACAGCCACAAACAAAACTAAAGGTGGTCAATTTGAACAATACACAAGGGTAGAGCATGATAAATGATGTATAATTGACAGTAGGAAAATGAAAAATAAATTGAAATAGAAAATGATTTTCGTTGCATTAAGTTAGTTTTGATTGTCTTCCCATCAGGCCAGCAGTCCCCAGGATCTCCGCTTGTTTTATGAGAAAAATAAAACTCTTAGCCCAAAGTAAGTGCATCTCTTATTGACTTATTGATGGATTTAACCAAAAATATTGTTCAGACTCATCTTAGCCACATGTAAAATTCCATTCGGTCTCTCTATTTAGCATTCCCAGAGAAACTTCCACCCATCTCAGACACCTGCTGCTCGGCCTCCTGCAGAGGAACCATAAGGACCGAATGGACTTCGGTAAGTATCCTACAATAATCAACATTTGAAGTGGGTCAAAATCTTTCATCAAAGTTGTCCTAAAACGATTGTACAAGACCCACTCTTGTCTAAGGACAATTCTGAAATTATCCACTTCAATTATTGATTACGCCATTCACACTAGTTGGAGTTCTTATTGTTTAAAATGATTCGGTCACTCTTTATTGTACAGCCATCTTGTGCTCATTGTCAGATCTTTTCTGTTTTTCTAGATGAATTCTTCAGACATCCATTTTTGGAAGCAAGCTCATCTATGAAGAAGTGTGAGTTATACACGCTGTTTTAATCGATGCTTTTTGTCAATTTTAAAAGGTCAGACAAAGCAAATGCAAATGAAGAGGAATGTTATTTTAATTTTATTTTCTATGAGCTATGCAGGGTTTTTGTGGTTTTTAAAATCTTAAAAGGTCTTCATACAGATCAGCAAGTTTTATATTCATATGATCATAGCATTATTTCTCATGAGGAATTGTTTCCTTGTGTGTTTTCATTTTAAAATGAAGCACAAGAGCAGTGTAACTTCAGCAGTAAAGATCATCATCGTCATCTTTGATGCCTTCAGTGTTGGTGCCATCGTGCTTGTGAATGAGCTGTATCATTCTGCATCAGTCAGGCCATCATTCAGGAATGGGGTTGTAGTTCATAATAGCAGATTTCACTTTTTTCTTAGGTCTGTGGGTTACGCCTTTTATATAATAAAGTGATAATGCATGCGTAGTCCTGTAATGTGTGCTTGTCAGGAAGCCAATAGGGAAGAAGAGAACTTTTACTTTTGAATTCTGCAACACATGTTGAGAATTCAAGCATCAAATATCCATATCAAGAAAATAGAAAAGTAAAAATTATTTCTACACTTAACTGGTTATCATATTTTTGGTCAAATTAATTTAAAAGTAAGTCAGATAATTTTGTTTATATCTAAAAAAATTAATACCCATCCATCCATCTGATCTGGCACTTAATTGTGATTTTAACAACACTACAGTCTTCGTAAATGAATATAGAGTGTAGCATAATTAGCATCATATGTTCTCCCAAATTACAGAAACACATTCTTATCCTATTGTCATGCTGTCCAAAGGGTCTAAATCATAAATCAGAGTTGAAAAGGTTGAGATGACCTCTAAACTGAAATGCATAGTCATCGGAGAGCATAGCATACTGTATTTATGGAAAGTACCATCCGTCTTGCAGCATCATCATTGTGTATGTGTATGTGTATGTGTGTGTGTGTGTGTGTGTGTGTGTGTCTACGTATCTCCACAGCTACACCAGTGACCGTGACATGCTTTCCCAATTCAGCCTCTGCAAGCTCATGCAGCAGTTCATCTACTTCACACCTGGCCTCTCCTCCTGTAAGTGTATGTCTGTATGTACGTAAGTGTGTTTTTACTTGCTTATGTGGTTTTACAAGGACATGGAAATGTATAATGGCACAGGATTGACCTAGTTGTGCTCTATTAAATGGTTTTCGAGACACACCTTGAGTCCTTGTAATTCAAAACGCTTAAATCATACTTAACAGTGTTTTGACATGCAAAATTGGCCACGGGCTTCCTGTGGAGGGTGGGTTTGGGGTAGACGTGGTGTGAACCCATTTAATAAGCATTTTTTTTTACCATTTAAAATACATTACACATATGGAGAGTCCTTGTAAACTGTGTACAGTATACAAGTGTGTCTGTCTGAGCCATTTGTTTGTAAAATCTGTGTCAAATGATAAATGTCAGGAGTTTGTCACAGACATGAAGATAAATAAGCAGAGCAGGCAGCTGCCTCATCCAACAAAGACACACTTTCTTAACTTTTTATGGTGGCTTGTAACACTAATCCGTGATAGGAGACACATGTTTATCAGCCATGTAGATTGGGGTATTTTATGAGTCTCGTGGTATCAGAATGCTGTACAGAGGTCAGGGTTTTAAAAGCAACGATATTATACTGTAATATTCTGTAGTTTGAGTTCTATAAATAGCTAGTTATTTAAAGATACTATTTATGGAAATAAATGCATTTGTTAGACTGTTTAAGAGCTGCCTTTGGTTGGTAAGAAGTTACATAAATGATAAATGACTAAAGATCTTGTCCAATAGCTACATCAGGGCTGTAAACATGTTATGTACACTAAAAATTCAGGAATCAACAGCACGCTCTTTATGCTGCAACATTTTTACGTATTTTATTTACATTTTACATTTTACTCATTTTTATGTATTTTTTAGCAATCGCTTGCTGAGATCCAGCATGTCCGTGCAAAGGCGTTAGCCTCCCCTACCCAGGATTCTCCAGGATATCTGCTGAAAGACTCAGGAGGAGGTGGAGGAGGCAGCAGTAGCAAAAACTCATCCTGTGACACTGATGATTTCGTCATGGTTCCAGCTCATTTCCCCAGTAAGCCTGCAAGAAAAATCTCCTTCAAGCTGTTTGACTTTTTTCTTTAGCGCACAAAAGTCTGTTAATGTGGTAATGCTGGAGATTCATCTTTTTTCATCTTTTCTGTTTGTCTTTTTAGGTGAGCTTACCTGTGACATGCCAACTGGAAAGGTTCTCCAGGACAGTTTGATGTATAGCGGGTAAGATCGCGATATTAATGGTTGACAAATACCATAAAGATAACATGTGTCCTGTTTGGTTATATAATATTAAATCTGACATATGCATAAAAACTCAAAACCGCTATAAACTCATTGAACGTAAGTATAGTTATCATCAAACCATTTACAACACTGTTGTAGTGCACCAATAAATTAAATACCACCACACAAACAATTTCTGTAGACCATTGGTATAAAACTAGCAAGAACTAATGTTGTTGATGCAGATTTTAAACTGTCTTGCAGAATTATCCTATGATTCTGATAGGATGTTTTAGTGCTCAATAAGCATTTCTTAGGCACTGTTTACTCCTGGTATTCAGATGTGTTTTTGTGAATCCCAAGCAGCAGCACTAAATACAGGTGTAAATGGAGTCTAAATTGTTTTGAGTTTGTCCACTTTTGACTACTTCCAGAGGTAATTGAAAACACATTTGATCATATTGCTTACCCTTGCGTACACTTTTTGTTGAGCAGCCACAAAAGAAAGTCTAATCTCCGCCTAAGGCACATTAGGAGAAAGTGCACCAAAACAAGTTATTCATACTTCACTGAATTGTAAAAAAGCACAGATGAAAATCATTGTTGCTGCGTAACATAACTTGAGCTTGTTTTTTATGTAGTCATAACTGTGAAAATTAAATCATTGTACAACAAATGTACTCACAAGAATGCACTGAAATACCAGGTGGAAAATGGCTTTATTATAATTTTTGAAAATAGTTGTGCTGCTTGATGTTTTCGTAACATTTTCCCCTCAGAACTTTTTCACAAGAAAACAGTTTAAAAACTTTATTTGACCATTAATTCAAAATTGAAGATATTTATTTCCTGTTTGTTTCAAAAATAAATTTAGTCATTCTAGCTATATAATAGATATATAATACTAATGTAATTAATTTCTAAAAAAAATTTTTTAAAAACTTACTGACCCCAAACTTTTTGGTCAAATTTTGAAGGGATACAGCTGTGGACGCATGCATTAATATTGCATATTTTTTGTAACACTGTACAACAATAATTACTATTTTTCCATTACTGTGAGGGCTGGGGTAGGGTAGATGTTAACAAAATGCAATTTAATGAATAATTTGAATAATAATCAAAATAATTACTGTTTTTACATTACTCTAAATGTTGGGGTGTGGGAAGATGTTAATGAAATACAATTTAATGAATCATTTAATAAATAATATGAATAATAACTGTGAAGGTTGGGTTTAGGGTTGGGGTGTGGGTAGAAGTTAATAAAATACAATTATTGGGTAATTTAATAAATAATAATTTACTTTCATTAACTTTTGGCCATAGAAGTATCCCTTCTAGCAACAATATATGATATAAAATAAGGAGCTGTTAAGAGCCTTCTAAGTGTTTAACTTTTGCAGTTTGATACAATTAAATGGAGTAGATTTACTAATTAACTACCCTAACTTATTTCAGAGTAGTGTTTGATATGAATCCACTGTTAATATTTGCCATCTGTATCTTGCTGTAGGAGTTCTCTTCTGGCGTCCGGAGGTCAGTGCAGTCAAGGAAAGACTCCGCCACGCTCTCCATCATTCAGCAGCTCTCCAGGACCCAGCGGGTATGATCTGCCCTTTAAAACAAAAAAGAAAGAAATAAACTACCAAAATGGCTCTCGTTTTTGTTTTTTTTGCAAGCAAGTTGGGATGAGCCACAGTAGTTAAATAGTCATACAGTAATTTGTTTATATTTGTGTTGTCATTTATTTATTTAGGGGGGACCTATTATGCTGCATTTTTAAAGATGTAAAATAAGCCTCTGGTATCCTTACAAAGTTTCAGCTTTAAATACCCCACAAATAATGTTTTATAACGTTTAGGCTTTGATCCAAATTGTGCTATTTTGGTGACTGTCGCTTTAAACTCAAATGAGATTGAGATGCTTCCAGTCCTCTTTTCAAAAGGGGGTGGAGCTACAAACACAGCTGCATCAGCATAGCGGCAGATTCAAAACAGAACTAACGTTATCTCTGTGAAATCTGAAATAGTCAAAAGTGTTTTAAAACATTGGTCCCCAACCCTCAGACCAGCACCCCAACCCATTTGTCAATAAATTAGGTGAATCCAGCGTTAAAAAAAAAATCAACTGCTGGAGATTACAAATAATGGCAGCCATTCACCTATTGCGTCTTTTCCACGTGCAAGTTCGTTATTTCCAATGGAGGCGTATGCATATTGGGAGCGACACACGCAGCGCCTTCCAGGCCCACACAGTTAAAAACATATTTAGAATGTTGCAAGCGAACCGCAAATCACGTGACAAGGACAGACCGATCAGCTTCATATTTTATTACACACATTTCGGTAGATTAGTTATCTCAGACAAGCACTGCAGTGCTTTTTAACTCTCTTAAGAAATAAAACTTGTATCAAAGTTGCAGCAATATTTTGTCGGTTTAGAATAAAGTAATCTACGGAGACTGCAGTATTCATTTGTGCATCCTAAAACTCAACATTTCAATTCAATTCAGCTTTATTTGTATAGCGCTTTTACAATGTAGATTGTTTCAAAGCAGCTTCACATAAATGGTCATAGTAACTGAAACAGGGTAGTTTAGTTTTTAGTGTTTAAGTTCAGTTCAGTTTAGCTCAGTTCAGTGTGATTTAATCATTACTGAGAGTTCAAACACTGAAGAGCAAATTCATCGATGCGTAGCTCTACCAATCCTGAACCATGCGAGCCAGTGGCGACAGCGGAGAGGGAAAAAAAACTTCATCTGATAGGAGTGAAGAAAAAAAACCTTGAGAGAACTAGACTCAGTTCGGCACGACCATTTTAATTTCTCCGCTGGCCAAAAGTCTTGTGCAAAGCTTAAACATTTATAATGCCTCTTAGTCCCTGGCATAATCTTCAGCAGGTATGATGCTAAAACTCTTAATGGCAGACGGCTGCTTCTCACTCAGGGCTGTCTATGACAAAGGGAAAACGTCAATCAAAGTGTTTCTGCAGTTTTTATCAAGTGTGGTTATAAAATATATATATAATTAATTAATTTATCATCATAGGTTGGCTATATTCACACACTGTTACCACACAACTGTGTTTAAACCCCTTATAAAAGGTGAAGTTTTGCATATTAGGTCCCCTTTAAATTCACACATTAAGATTCACACAACCCACCAGTGCATTTTCTTAATATAATATTTTTCTCACTTTTTGTTGTTGTTATGGTTAGAAACAATAGGCAGTTTTTTGTTGCATATTTTTACATCCAAGACTTCCTCCTGTCTAGCTAATCTTTTCAGTGTTTGGTTTCTGGGTCATTGAAGATCGGGACCTTCGCCACAAGGGAAATGAGTCCCAGATTGGCTTGAGAATTGCATCTTTGATAGGCACAGCTCATCCTGTTCTCCTCCATTATTAAACACGGCCCATGAAAGCCACAGCCACACACAATAGACAGCAACTCCCAGGATCTACGTCCTACTGTTTTACATTTTTTTATGTGATTCGATACTTGAAATGTTTTTATCGATCAGGAGCTGGAGGGTATATTGATGGCTGCTCTTTTGTGCTTTCCCTGTCTTTCTTTCTGTTTATTCACTCCATTTCTTTGGCTTTTCCTTTACTTTTGATTTCCGGCTCATTCTCAGCAGGCCGAGTGAGTTTTCTGGGAGTAGCTATGGCAACTATGGGCAGTCTGTACCCATTCCAGTGCCCACACAGATTCACAACTACCAGCGCATGGAGCAAAACTTCCAGTTTCCAGGTCAAGAGGGTTCTCCTCGGTGAGTGAACGCACATCTCATCAAGCAAAATCAAACATTTCCCTAGAAATTCAGAAGTTTCATTTGATTTGAATTGGCCATGCAGTACAGGGAGTCCAGTGGGTATTTGATTTGATTGGAAAATTTATTTACTGAATTTTCAGGTAAAGGCAATCTCAGTTATGCATCAGAGACTTTTTATTTTTGTCCATCATGTTTTGCAGCAAAATGAATAATAACATCAGTAATTATTCCCTTGTATGTAATTATAATAATGCTTTTTTTGCTAATGGAATGAATTTGTTAACCTCTCTGAAATTGAGTGTTGTAGCCCTCAAAACTTTAGTATATACTTTTATTTTTGCCTAAACCAGACCACAATATGTAAGGATGTCCAGATCCGATCATGTAATCAGAAATTGGGCCCGATCATGCAGTTTCAGACTCGATCCGACTTGGACGTTACCTCCCGATCAGGACTCAAATATATATATATATATATATATATATATATATATATATATATATATATATATATATATATATATATAAATATATATATATATATGTATGTATATATATATATATATGTGTATATATGTGTATATATAAATATATATTCTTATTATTTTTTAACACATCTATGGTTATGCGGTGGCACAGAGTTAGACCTCTTTCTTGACTTCAGAAACAGCAACGTGTGCAGCATGACATCACTTTGGTGCAGAGATGCTATTGGTTAAATTCCGGCAAAGTAGAGCACAGAAGCAGCTTGAAGCAGAAAGCACGAGATTGTCTGCGGTCTGGGGGTATTATAAAGTTGATGATGATAACATTGTGAGATATGTAAACTTGGCATTGCAAGACATGGAAAAGAAAAGGCTACGTTTAACACAACAAACCTGATAACACACCTCGAAAACAAATGTAAAGCTTCAATTTGAAATGCCGTCTTACCACTATTTAACAGAAAAAGCTCTGCCAGCCCTTTAAAAGAAGATTTCTGACAAACTATTTATCCTGTTATAAGATGTGTAGCCCATGTTTCGTTCTCCACAGACATATGGAGTTCTTCTGTAATTCCCATGTCTCTACTAAGCCTTATCACACAATGGATTGACTCCATCCTGGATCTGTTTCTTTGCTCTTCTTTATTTATTTTGTGTATTATAGAAGTATCAGATCAGGTTTTGTTATCGGTTGATCTGCAAAATTAAATGACTCCCACTCGAGAGCAAAAAAAACCTGATCAGGACATCCCTAACAATATGTCTAACGCATTGTTTTGAATCTACTGTATGAAACAAATATTTAAACTTAATTCTAAGTGTTTTCTTTTTCTGTTGTTGTTCCTAAAATAAAAGTTAATTTATTCTGTATTTTTCTGGAAACACTCACAGTTGTTTTTTTATAAAATATATTTTTTTATATTTTTATTATATATATATATATATATATATATATATATATATATATATATATATATATATATATATATATATATATATATATATATATATATATATATATATATATAAATGTCATATTTCCTTATTATTATTATTAGTAGTAGTAATTTATTATTATTTTAGTAATTATTTGAAGTTAAAATAATTTTTTTCTTTCCGGCATAGATCTGGTTTGGCTCAGAGATGCAGTAGTGGTAGTTTTCTGGCCTGTGGAAGGACAGGGCCTTCTCCTCCTCGGTCTGGTTCTGCTGTCATGTCCCGCAGGCTTTCCACAGGAGGCAGCAAACCCTTCCAGCTCTCTCCACAGGGTGAGTACTGCTTGATTTGGCCAAAACTATGGCTAAAGATAATCCATGTGTTTTATTTTTTTGCAAACGTTCTCCCTCCCTCTCTCCCTTTCTGTTCTCCTTTTGTCTCTCCCTCTCTTTCTCTCTTTTCTCCTTTTGTCTTAAAAGTGGGCACCATTCCTGAATTGCCAGGCCAAGTTTGCCCAGCGAGTGCAGAAGTGGGTCACAGGGGCTCTCGTGGTGGAGGTAAAATACTTCCTTCATTTAATAGACTTCTGTTGTTGTTGTTGTTGTTGATGATGATGTACTTGTTCTAAATGGACATTTGGTCAGTGCCCTCAAGTGTATATTGGGATATGAAACAAAGTTATTAACCCTCATGTGAAATATTTATTCTTTTCAAATATGTGTCAAGTAATATTTAATGGAGCTAGAACATTTTCACAGTATTTCTTAGAAAAAAAGAGATTTATTCTAGATAAAGTCTTGTGTTTTATTTTTGCTGAAATAAAAACAGATTGCATTTTAAGGTCAATATTGTTGGCCCTCTTAAGCAATTTATCTTTTTTTTAATTGTCTAGAAAACAAACCATTGTTATACAGTGACTTTCCTAATTACATTAACTTGCCTACTTAACCTAATTAACCTAGTTTAACCTTTAAATAGCACTCTAATAGCTTGTTTCCACTAAGTAGGAGTAGTTTGCTAAAATAATTATTTTGCTCCTCAGTTTTTTTCGGCTTCTTTGTTTTTTCACACATCAGTCTCACGTTTGTAGGTTTCTGAAAGGATCATATGTTAGACGTACTTCAATAATCACGTGCATGTTATTATCATCAGCGCAAGATGTTATTTATTTCAAATATAGACATATGGTCGACCATGTTTTGTTGTTATATTAAATATTAATATAAATATTACATAATGGTGTGATGTCTCTGCTGTGTTTTTAAAAACGGCGCTTGCTTTGTTTTCATTCTCCTGCTTGTTTACGTGCGAGTGACGTATCTCTGTAAACCAATATCGTTCAGCTGCACGTCTAGCTCCGCCTTTTGGTACCCTTTTGTCATGCCAGGTACCCTTTGCAAAGGGTATCCAAAAAGTGGTACGGTATGGTTCGCTTTTAGGTACTCTTTGACAGTGGAAACGGCCATAAAAACGAACCGAACCATACTATACCATACCACTTAGTGGAAACAGGCCATAAAATGAATACTCGTGTCTTAAAAAATAAAAATGATGTACTGTCATCATAGCAAAGATAAAAGAAATCAGTTATTAAAAAATAAGACATTAATACTATTATGTTTAAAAAAAAAAAAGATCTTCTCTCCTTTAAACAGAAATTGGGGAAAAAATATAAAAGAAATCTTCTTATAATTCTAACTTCAACTGTATATCGCCATCTCTCTGTAGAGCACAACTGCAGTGTTCTAGAAGAAAACCCCATTCCTTTCATACATTCATTTCCTCTATGGGGAAATTGATTTTTAACAGTAACTGATAAACCTTTGAAGACAGACATGTTGTGAGCCCTGAGGTTAAACGATTGAATATGTCTTTGCTAAGTTCACATTAATCTGTTTGCGTTTGTAAAACAGTGTAATAATTTAATTAGTGGTGCAGAAACTACTCCCATAAAGCATAGCAAATGACATTATCAAGTCTGTCTCGCTATACTCTCAGAATACTTAAGTATTTGAATATGTTGGCACCAATAGTGTAGTGGGAAATGTGCCAAAACATAGTGCATCTGTACTGTGGGGCATCCCAAGGTAAATAACGGCCCTTCTTTTTTAAATTTTGCGTCCTATCTATACACTGTCCAGTCATAATAAAAGAAAAAAAAGAAAAACATGTGTGTGTATATATAATTTTAAACTTTAAATCAAAATTGCCGATGTCATGATTACCCTTTTAGCTTGTGGGTTTGATTCATGGCTTAAAATGTTTTAACTGACCCAAAAGAAAAATCGTTTTAGAACTATTGCTACTTAAAAAAAAACCAAAAAGTACACCTTTTTTCTTTTGTTTTTTTTTGCATATCTTGTATCTAATCTAAATTAAATCTAAATATAGATTTAGTTTTTTCGTATGGCTCATCTTGCACTCTTAATGTGTGTATGTGTTCAGAAGCCAAGACTTGGCCTCAGCAGCAGGGTCTAGGCACGCGGCTCAACAGTGCCCCCTGTTTGCTGGAGGCCGCTGGAGGCTGCAGGCAGAAGATCAGGAAGCAGCACTCAGATCCAGTGGTCGCCCCTCAGGCAAACGTGATGCCCTTCAGGACCCTGCACTCCTCACCCAGGCTCAGTGAACTTATGCAACGCAACCCCCTACCAACTATCCTGGGTTCTCCTTCAAGAGTAAGATTTCTTTCTCTCTGTATATGTTCATAATCTTGTTGTATATACATTACACAAGAGAAGTTAGGGGTCAGGTTTCCCAGTTATGGGTTGCCGTTGGAAGGGCATCCGCTGCGTAAAACATACGCTGGATAAGTTGGCGGTTCATTCCGCTGTGGCAACCCCAGATTAATAAAGGGACAAGGGAAAATGAATGAATTAATGTATGAATGAAGTTAGGAGTCAGTCATTTTTCTTTTTATACATTGTTACAAACTCTTTGATGTTTGTCTAGGGCAGGGCTGTCCAAACTTGGTCCTGGAGGGCTGGTGTCCTGAATAGTTTAGCTCCAACTTCCTTCAACACACCTCCCTGGAAGTTTATTGTACCCGGCTTGTTTAGCTGGTTCGGGTGTGTTTAACTGGGGTTGGAACTAAAATATGTAGGACACCGGCCCTCCAGGACCGAGTTTGGACACCCCTGGTCTAGGGTAAAAGGAATAACATTTAAAAGGTCTGGCAATTTTACCATGTGATGGTGGAAGCAAAATACATGGACAACAGAAATGCCAAACTTAGTGATTTGATGTACAAAAGTGAAAACCATAGACATGTGCAAATATATATACAAAAAAGAAATATTTTAAATAACTAAAAAAGGTAATAAAGTAGCAAGTAAAAAAAAAAAAAAAAAGTATCAAACAAAATATTAGTTCAACTCAGGAGTAAGGGGATGGTAGTGAAGCCAAACAAAAGAAAGAAATGTAACAAAACAATTCTAACTCCTGAATAACCCTTTACCTCGCTAGAAAGCATATGCAAACAGGGCTTGACATTAACACTCACCAAATGCAGGTAGATTTCAGCTGTGGTGAGTAAGACAGTCAGTCCCACTAGCAACTTTGGCTGGTTAAAAAATTATTTTTAAATTGTTGTTTTCTTAGAAGCAGTTTGACATTAAGGATGGCCCAATATTCATGCAAATGTGATCTTGGAATATATTAAAAAAAATACTGTGCTCACGTGAGCAAAAGAAAGCTGGTGAATATCGAATGAGAGGATGATCATCACGTAGTGATGAGTGCGACTGTTAAAAAGCGCACACACTCCCGTTTACTTGCGCGAAGTACTGGTGTGATCGGTTCTCTTTAAAATAGACTGGACAAAAAGCACTGGTCGTGCACACAAACAGTCCTGCTGCTTTCAAGAGCTCAAGAGTTTAAATATATAGATATATATATATCTTTCGTCTGAATTATTCTTTGAATAGATTATTAACAGGCCTACCATTAATCGTGTGTGCGTGATCATCCTTTCATTATCACTTACGGTGTTTTTTTTACCTGCTTTCTTTTGCTTAGTTATTTTTGTTAGTATAGTTAATTATCTGTTTTTTTTTTTTACAATAACATTGCTTTAATATGAGATTAACTCTCCATTTATGTGTAGGCAGGACAGATTACTGTGCATATTTTATGTATGTATGCATGTATACAGTTATATTTAGCTTGTTTTTACACATTTAAATTTTGTGGCTAAGAATCAAATATTTATTTTTGGTGTAGGTAAATCCTTTATTTTGAGCCCTGAAAAGTCATGTGAAATGAAAACTAATTGCAATGTGACACGACCTATTTGCTTATGCACATTGAGCAAGCTCATACTCGACACACAAAAAGTGAAATGAATAAGGAGTCATGTGGACATAACACAAAATCTAAATCAAGTGATTTTAGCATGTTACATTCAAATTTATGCATATAAAATATATTTTCCCAACACAAAAGTGTGGCTAGTGAAAATGGCAAGTGGCTAGTTATGTTGGCCACAGTGGCTGGTGATCAATAAAGTTAATGCCCAGCCCTGTATGCAAACAAAATAAAAGTCTTCAGCGCTGTATTCTTCCCTATTCTCAACTGAATGTTAAATAAAACAAAAGATGGCATTCACCTCTTACCTGGTGTCTCTAACAATAAATTTCCTACGTGTTTGCAAGGTGAAGTCGTACGACATCTTCCTTATCCACCTTACTCTGACAAAAAAGTGAACTTGATGAAGTATAGCTCAATATGACTGGAAAGAGCTGGGCCAACAAAGTAACAAACAAATCAAACGAAATATTGTACAAAAATCACAGGATTCTCAAAGTGGGCAAAAGTGGTGCAAAATATTTTTACCCAAACGAAAGTTAAGCAAAAACATCGAAAATCTAAATTATGTCAGCAAAAACGAGATCAAAGGAAAAATACACTTGCCCTCAGTTCTTCCAGGCGTCCTTTTTATATGACCGCACCACATCGCCCAATGATGACGTTATCCAGCTTTCCACCAAACAGAAATAACAGGCACGGAGAGGGAGAGAGAGCCAGAACGGGAGGAAAAATACAACCAATATATGGCTATGGCTATATTTCCTTATTATTATTGTTATTATTATTATTATTATTATTATTATTATTATTATTATTATTATATTTCCTTAAACAAAACATTTACTTGATTTTTTTCACAGAATTTCCGATAGTATTTTTTTCTTCTGGAGAAAGTTTTATTTGTTCTATTTTGGCTAAAATAAAAACGATTTTAATTTTTTAAAACCATTTTAAGGTTAGTATTAAAATTGAACAGGAGGGCTAATAATTCTAATTCAACTGTATGTACTGTCTCTGCGATGCAAAATGCATAAATATCAAAGAATAATAAATAATGTAAAAATATCCTTTCCTTTCTCCTTCCCAGGCCATGCCCCCGTTTGAGTTTCCCAAGCCTCCGAGTTCCCCAAACATGGTCACATTTCTGACCCAGCAGGGCCTCAGAACAGCTCAGGGAGAGCCTAGTTATTCACCTGCCTACCAGCCAGAGGAGCGGAAAGGATTTGGGAGGTAAGAGAGGAAGAGTTAGATGGATTTTTCTCCATTACAAACCTTGTAAAAAAAAATTGTAAACTTCTTTGCTGTTTGCATAGGCAGAGTTGTAAACTAATTGTAACCTCTAAAATTACTTGTATGCTCTTGCGAACGCTCTTTTGGTTTTGGAACGGTGCTATTAATCATTTTGTTAAACTTCTGCATTTCAAATGTTTTGATTTTTCCTCGTTTTATGTTCTGTCTTTTGACATTTTTTTTCTGTGACAGGTCTCAGAGCGCTGGTCGCCTGTCTGATGTGCTGCTGATGGCAGCATTTGGAGGACAGAGAGGAGAACGAGGCAGCATGGAGAATCTCAACACTGACAGAGCCATCGACATCACAGGTCCGCTATTTAAAATAATTTGTTATATATTATTATTATATATTGTTAGCTAGGGAATCCCCCCAAATGAAAATTCCAGGGCGAAACTGACAGTGTGCTTTTTGGTTTGCCTAGCAACAAGCACGTCATGATTTTGCCAAGTACGATGTGATCCTGGAACATCATTTTTTTCGAAAATGTAATTCATACCTGTTCCCTACTCCTAAACTTAACCCTAACTGTAAAGAATTCCTAAAATCAGAGGGGAATAATAGTTGGATAACAATCATGTAGAAGTGCATAAACCTAACAGTAAGCCTAAACTTAACATAAGCGGTAAACATATCCCTGAATTCTGATTGGCTGATTGGAATGTTGTTCCAGGATCAACATAGAAGTTAATCCAGGAACATGTCCTACTTGATGAAATCAGGTTGGCGTAGCAAACAATTAAAATTAAATTTTATAGCGAATCGCTTTCAACTTCTGTTAAAAGCCACGGGCGCTAGGAGAGTAAAACGTGTGCTACAGCATAGCCCTGCTCATATAAAGCATAACTTTTACACACTTTTCCTCTTTTAATAAAAAAGCAGTATTGACTGAAAAATTTCAGCATCAGCAATTTGTTGCATCCCTAATTTTAGCATGTAACTTAAAATGTAATTTATTTCTGTGATGTCAGAGATGCATTTATATCAGTGGTTTGTGGCATTTTTAAAAATGGTCGTTTATCTATATCAGGGGTCAAACTCAGCCCTCGAGGTCCTGTGTCCTGCAAATTTTAGCTCATCCTTGCAGGTGTGTTAAGGCAAGTTGGTTTCTAGAAAGCCTAATAGGAGCTTGATTAGCAAGCCCAGGTGTGTCTGATTGGGGTTGGAACTAAAGTCTGCAGGACAGAGACTAAGAACCCCTGATCTATATGCTTAAAAATTCATGTTATTTTATTACATTAGGATAAACTAAATGGAAGTGTTTCCCTGACAACAAGCAAATTTAAAATAAGTACAGACTGTTACACAATAGTGTAAAATGATTTGTTGATGAAAGGGAGCTGTTGTTCAAGCTGTTTTCATATAGTAAAATATTGCATTTTTAATGTCAATTTATGTAAAGTAGGGATGCATGATATTGTGGACAAAAACAGACAATACAATATTTTGTTCGTGAGATGTATTGCTCGATATCAAGAACACATACGGGAAGTTTCAGGCATCCTCCGTTCTTGCGGTCTTAAGGATTGGAACTGAACTTTGGCAGTTGATAATGATGTTACATGAAAACACGAGGACGCAAGATCGCTGAAGAACGCATATTGAGAAACAGCCATATTGAGCAGCCCTAATTTAATTACTTATTCTTACTTTTGTTTCTCTTCTCTCAGCGCCACCTGGTGGTGGGGGCATCGTGGTCGGCTCAGGTAGCCCTGCTCGAGTGGTGTTCACCATTGGTTCTCCACCCAGTGGAGCAACACCTCCGCAGAATTCTCGCTCAAGAAAGCTCTCCGGTTAGTTCATTTATTCCTCTCCAGTTCTGATTCATTTGGATTTCTCTGACCCCTGAACCCTTTTGGTGCTCCACCACAGCAGGTTCTTCAAGCTCCGTTAGTCCAGTAGGCTCTCTCACCAGCCGCTACACACAAGCAGGCAATTACATGGACTGCTATGAGGGATCTTCCAGTCCCCGCTACGGTTTCTCTGACCCCATCTCAGCCGTGACTTTTGAAGCCCCTGAACTACCAGAGGAGACCCTGATGGAAGTAAGCACCAAATTCGCTGTGTTTCTGTCTCAGAAATACTTTTTCTTTTATTGCCTGACGCAATATTCCAAAGTGATTTATAAGTGTAACACCACACTTCTCTCTCATCTGCAGCAGGAACACACGGAGACTCTTTGCAGGCTCCGCTTCATGCTGGACTTTGCTCGTTGTATGGTGGAGGTAGCAGGAGCTCGGAGTGGAGAGATGGCCCAGACTGAGCTCTCCTCCACCAGCCTGCTCCAACAACAGAGCCTGATGGCCGACCAGATCAGCTCTCTGAGCCGAGAGTGGAGGTGAGTGGATCTCTCTAGGAATGGATGGCATTGGATATTTATTCTAGACTTTTTGACTGCAGAAGGGTGCGCTAACTGTGTGTCATTATTGTTTTGTAACATGACTGGTTACTAAAATATCAGTTAGGCAAGATCTGTCATCTGAAGTGTTGTTAAATTAAGTGTTATGTTGCAGTTATGCTGAGCAGTTGGTGCTTTACATGAAGACCGCAGAGCTTCTGTCATCTTCACTACAAACAGCCATGGAAGGAATCAAGCAGGGAAAATTGTACCCCTCAAGCACCGTCAAACAAGGTCAGCAGTTCCGACACGCCACCTTCTCTTCATGATAGCAAAGCACAACCATGGCAGTGTTCTTTGAAGCATAGTTTTCATTCATTTTCTCAATATGCATTTACCTCTCTCAGCAGTTTCAATGAAAAGAAAAAAAATTATTTATTTTATATTTATATACAATATATAGTCTAGCAGTGGTCACCAAACTTGTTCCTGGAGGGCCGGTGTCCTGCAGGTTTTACCTCCAACCCTAATCAAACACACCTGAACAAGCTAATCAAGGTCTTACTAGGTAAACTTAAAACATCCAGACAGGTGTGTTGAGGCAAGTTGGAGCTAGACCCTGCAGGGACACCGGCCCTCCAGGACCGAGATTGGTGACCCCTTGTCTAAAGTATAATATAAAGTAGCCAAAGTCACCAACACCAATGCTCCAAAGGTATTTGGACTGTATTTAACTGTATTTAAAGGTCCCATGAAGTTAAAATAAACTTTTTTAAGATCAGTTTTGTTAGTTTTTAAGATATCTATAACCTAGTGTACCCCAAAATAGTGACAAAATTCGCATTTAGAAGATATAAAACTGAAACGTGTAAACCTTGTAGTTTGTTACTTGCGAAATTATTCACATTAATTTGCACTACAGTTTCTCACCACATTGTAATCAATAAAATGCTCTCTAGTTTCTGAGATGCCACGCCCCATTCAAGACGCTTCTCATTTCTTTTCATTTGATGCGCTTGAGCTCAACCACTCACACTGGCAGAGCTGTGATAAAAAACAAAACCCTACTGGTTGTTTTTTATTTTAAAAAAGGATAGGGGAGCTGGTCTATTTCCCACCTCATGTTTTGGTTAAAATTACGTCAAGCATTGAGTAAAAATACATATTTCAAAGCACTTCACTGGACCTTTAATTAAAGAAATCTTGTTGTTTTATAAATAAGTATAGATAAATCTTATTATAAACAGCACATCTCATGTCCAAACATTCCAATGAAGATTTTTCTTTGAGTTAAAAAAAAAAACACTAAATTTAGTCATTTTATAAATGAATGCTGTTTTGACGTTTATTGAGAAAAAAAGTCAATAAAACGGCTTGTAAAAAAATGTTTGCATTATATTAGCCTATATATATATCATGATTTTGAACAGTGTTTTTTCTATATATGTATTGTATTTACACCTGTAAGGGATGTCTTATTTATTTTAGGAGACATAAACAAAATAGCTAGTTCCGCTTCAAAATGACTCAAAATAAATAAATGGAAATCTGATATTGCTTTCGAATTGTGATTCAACCAAAGCATTTAAAAGGCAAACTAATAAAACTGGCATGGACAAAAATAGAAGGGTACCAGTAATCTTGTCGACATCTATATATGAATAAATAAACATGACAAAAAGGTTTGAAAAATAAAGTATAATTTTATCATTATCAACAGCAAAAGTCAGTTTGTGGCAATAATATATACAACCCATACCGCTGAACCACCAGGGGACACCCCTTGCCCTTAAATGCGAGTCTGTTCTGTGCTTTTGTTTTATTTGAGCATGAAAACACTTTAAAATAAATATAAAAACAGTGCGATTACCTTCCTTATAATTTCAGGTGCCGTCGCCCCTTCTATGCAATCCTTAAAACATACATATAGTAATGCCCAAACATACAATGCCCATTTTACAATGCAAAACTCAAGAAAAACAGAACAAATTAATGAACAGAATACATACATAAATACATAAAAAATTTAAATTTGAATAAATAAATAATAGCATAATAGCAATAATAATAACTAAATAATTGAGATAAAATGCACAAATTCTATTATGACATACCATAGCTCTAAATGCAGCTTAAAGAAACCAATAAAGTCCAAGTAAGGAGTCCAGACTTGATGAAAAGCCTCAGTGGACATATGAATGACACAGGTAAGGAATTCTAAGGGAATCATTTCCCTAATAATATTGTGCCATCCTTTCAAGGATGGGGGTTTGTCACTGATCCAGTTACACCTCTGCTATTTAATGTAATCAAACGAAAGTCTAAATAACTGAGAGATTCATTCGTTGCTCTTTAATCAGATTATGTAAGTTATACAGTGGGGTGTTATGGTGGGCATATCCCAATGTTGACGGGTATGGTCCAAGGCACTCGAAAAATGTGGGGAAATTATTTAAAAGCCTTCATTGACATGATTTTTCCTTAAATAAGAATAGTTATGTCAACAAAGGATTAGTTATATTTTTTTCTCATATTTCGAGTGCCTTGGACTGACTTTTGCTGTTTATTCTGATAAATGGCTTACCCAAATACCACCAATTCATTATTTAAGTTACCCTCGAGCACTTTTTGTTTGATTTTGTATAATTTTATCATTCTTTTTATACGTCAACTTAATATACTGCCATGTGGGCACATTATGTTTGCATGAAAATGATTGTGTATGTCTAATATATTAATTAATAATAATAAAACCACATTGAAAATTCAATTTCAACTAATCGAGACCAACTGCAGTTCTGCCATTGCGCAGATCATCTTATTCATCACTGATGATATACAGGCTGTTAAACTGAGGTGGTGTTTCACACTGTGATGTTTCTCTTCTCAGTGGTCAGGAGGTTGAATGACCTGTACAAGTCCAGCGTGATGTCCTGTCGGTCTCTGAGCAATCAGCTGGAGCGATTCTTCACCCGAAAACACAAACTCATGGACCACATCAACAGCATCACTGCAGAAAGGCTCCTCTTCGGCCACACTGTGCAAATGGTGAGACTATAGCCTGGAAATGATAAAAAATGTCTGGGAAATTCATGAAGATGTAAAATAGCTTGCATTATTTCTAGGTTGTTAGCCATTTTGCTTTGCTAATGCTTTGAGAATTTCAGCTTCTATCTACTGAACGTCAGGTGTATTTACGTGGTGTTCTGGTCTTACAGGTGCAGGCTGCAGCTCTGGATGAGATGTTTCATCAGGGGGAAGCATCAATTCAGCGCTACCATAAGGCCTTGCTGCTCATGGAGGGTCTGTCGCTTCTCCTCACTGAACAGGCTGACATCCTTAGCATTAGCAAGTGTGAGTAAAACAATATATTAAAGATACTGACAGACTTCAGCTTCCATATTAATATTTAAGGTATATTTTAAGTGCTCCTATTCATGAAATTTCTAGTATTGCTTTTTGAAAAACAACCTGTCAGATTTCAAAGATGAAAAATGTAAGATAAATGGAGTTATTATCTGTCAAGAGAAAGAGCTGATTCTGAATTAAATAAAGTGCGTTATTATAAGACTTTTTGCACAAACCTACACAAGTTAGTATAATGCCAGATTGTGGTCTTCATTGGCTGCCAGCAGAAGTTTACTTGGATCCTCGAACACCAGTTGTTGCTGAGGTCTGGAGGAGTTTAGCTCTTGTTGTCAACATGATGAGAAAATGCAAATACAGTTTTAAATCTAGATCAATAAAACAAACACTGACTTAACTGTTCATTAAGCTACATTTACAAATGCTGAGGAAACTCAAAAATAAGATATAATTGAGGTAGTTTAGTCTCCAGCATGTGCAGTAAGTGGCTGACCAGTCTTACCAAACTGGACCATTTGACCAATCAGAGCAAAGCAGGCTCTGAGAAAGGTGGGTTTAGAGTGATCACATCCTTGAATTGTATACACGTTGCAAAAAAGGAGCAGATTATGCAGTGTACATTATGAGAAAACTAAACTGATTTTGATCTTGAAAGATGCAAACCTACACTCAAGAAAATTAGGAACATTAAAACAGGACACTATAAAGGAACACTTCACCTTTTTTTTTTGGAAATATGCTCATTTTACAAATCACCTAAAGTTAAACAGTTGAGGTTTATAATTTTTTTAATCTGTTGTCATGTATAGCCAATGTCCAGGGGCCTTATGTGCAAAGACTTGCGTTGAATTCATACTAAAACGTTGCGTACGGACAAAGCTGTATGTGCGTACGCAGTCAAAAATTCAGATGTATGAAATACTGACTACACGTAATCCTACGCATATTCTCTTTTGTACATCCGAATAAACTGAGCACACGTGCACGAGCGCAAAACCCCTCCCTGCCTCCTCCCCTTAATAAATATGGTAGTGAATCCACTTTGGCAAAACCAAATGAAAAAGCAATGGCAAAAGCAAGCAAGAAGAGAAACTTCACAGAATGTGAATTGGATGTTCTCTTATCAGAGGTAGACTGGAGAAAAACTGTTATTTGCAAACTGTTTGTCCTCTGGAATTATTAACAAAAGAAAAAAAATAGAGTGGGAGAGTTTAGCTGACGCAGTTAAAGCAGTGGGGTCCTAACATCACACTGTGAGTGAATTTAAAAAGAAATGGTTGATGTAAAGGTGAAGGTTAAGAGGAGAACAGCGGCGCACTGTCAAAGTGTGGACCGAACAGGGGATGCTGAACTAACACCCTTTTAGGAGAGAGTTGCCTTAATTGTGGGCGACACTTTACTGTCTGGAGTAGTATCCGTGTCTGTGGGAGACACAGCTGTATTAAAGGAACAGTTTGTTAGGGCGGTATAGCAGCACCCCTCCGCTCTTATCAAGGCAGTTCCACTGGCATTTCAGCTGCCCAATCGCCCACACAACCGACTGAGTGCCTGCCACCTTGAAGCCTCATCCCAACCATGCTGTTTGTGAGGTTGAATTAATCATGGGTTGACCATTGCCACCATGCTTCAATATTTGTTCAGCGGATTTGAGCATCACATATTATTTGCACATTTATTGAATGGATATTTCCTATTCACGTATGCAAATTCATCTTGAGATGGCGCTTTTATAGCAACGCGTGCAGTCGATTACTCTGATTACATTGGGAAAACCGGCGATCGCTGCAGATTGCGATTTAATGTTTGGCTTGGTATGGAAATCTTATATACCTGCTAGACATGCGGATGATCCTCCTCCATACAGCTGCCATTGCATGGCTCAAAGACACTTTGTAGTGTGCAATTTAACATAATTGCCTCTAGGAGTCGCCAATGGGAATAAAACAAACACACACTAGAAATACATGCACACCAGACATGAATTTGGCATGGACCAACACACATTCTCACGTTCATTTCATTGTTAGTAAATCCAAACGTGAGTGTGAAATCTGGCGTACGCTAAGTTTTTGTGCATACGCAGCACTGATACATGCGGCCCCTGGTCTTTCAGGAGCCCAGTTAGCTTAGCTTAGCAAACAAATCAAAAAAAAGAGTTTTGATAATTTTTCTATGTAAACCTTGGCTATTCTGTATTAACATCATGTACTTAGACCAACAGAAAATGAAAAGGCTATTTTAGGTCAATGTGGCTAGAAACTATACTCATTCATTCATTCATTCATTCATTCATTTTCTTGTCGGTTTAGTCCCTTTATTAATCCCGGGTCGTCACAGCGGAATGAACCGCCAACTTATCCAGCAAGTTTTTACACAGCGGATGCCCTTCCAACTGCAACCCATCTCCGGAAAACATCCACACACACACACACACTCATACACAATGGACAATTTTCATTCATTCCTTCATTCATTCATTTTTTTGTCAGCTTAGTCCCTTTATTAATCCGGGGTCGCCAGAAACGCCGACTGAGCCCACAAGCTTTGCCTGCAACTATACTCATTCAAGTGAAATAATTAATTTCAATAATTAATTTTAATTAGAACTTTGCTTTCATATCGTGGCTGTAGCAGCCACAATGATTTTACGCAGCGCTGTTACCTGCTATGGAAAAACTAATGAACAGCTGGGAACTATTTTTAGGCACTGTGTAATATAATTGGACTAGTCTTAGTACACAACATGGTACAAGATGCTCATGGTCTAATCCAATGGTCTAATTCAATGATTTATGCTATGCTAAACTAAGCTTAATGGTAAAACTCAACTGCTTTAACTTGAAGTGACTTTTAAAATGAGCCTATTTTAAAAAAAGGGGGAGTTTTCCACTTTTTGAATAAATTACAGTTGTATAACCATTGTAATGTTTCCTTACAGGTAAACAATGCATTGAACGCCGTCTCACCGCCTTGCAGTCGGGTCTCTGTGTGTAAAGTCTCTTCGCCACACCAATGTTTCACCCTTAAGATTCCCGTTTTCGCAACATCCTCCAGAATCTTTTCCCATTTCCACCTATCAGAGCTCTCTATGGGATTGAACGGGCCTCTTGATTGGACCAAGTTTGTCTGATATCAAAACAGCGCAGATATGAAATTCTGCCACTTTGGATCATCTCAAACACAGAAGGACAGAGTAAATATTGTGTCTGCAGTCCAGATCGAACCCGATTCCACCACTGAAAAGAGAGTAGTTCCTCGGTGCACTTGTTGGCTTAAATAGGATGCGTGTTATAAATGGGTTGTGCAATCTTAGTTGATCTGAGATCCGATTTACCCACAAAACATCAGTTTCTTTAGGTTTTCAAATTAGTTATCACTACATTTACTTGCAGACTGACGCTGAAAGATTTTTTAGATGATTATTAGTGATTTATTAGTAGAGTTTGAGCTGTTTTGTGTGGTTGAAGTTGGTTGATTGGTTAGTTGGTTTCATTCCAAGTGTCTAGTTTGAAGAATATATAATCCCTGGATGGATGTTTCAGAATTTGTGCACCATTTGAATGTAATAAAAGGCCCAAATTCTCCCATTAGAGGAGATCAATCAGAAATTCACTGACCAAATTATAAGCCATTTATTTAAAGCAAGAAAGTTTTTAATTTTGCCAATTATTTAAAAAACATTCTCATCGTTTCACAGAAGGAAACTGTACAAAGCCAGCAAAACCTTTTGTAGCACTTTAGTGAATGTTTACCAAGAGCATGTCAAATCCCTGTTTCCTAATACCGTGTGCAGTGTTTGGACATCTCTTATGACCTGTTAAGTTCCCCCCTTTTTTAAAGATAGCTATTATTGTGTTTTATTTTGTGTTTGGCAATCACTTGTCTGAATGTAGTTCGGTTTTGTTTTAATTTTTAGGGCCTTCAGCTGTAATTTAGGCAGAAATATCAAGCCAAAACAAATCTGCAGTGTTTTTTTGTAGCATAAACAAAACTATTTAAAAGGAACTCTTGATTTATATCTGTTTTGCTATCATGCGTGCCCCGTTCCTGATTTATACTAGGACTTTAATACTCATTTTAGTGTTTGTTTGAAGACAGAATGTACTTCCTTTTTGGGTCGTGCATGCATAGATGTTCCTGATGTGAGATGTGTTTAATCTGAAGCAGGTATATTAAAGACAGGTCTTAAGATAAGTTTATCTGCACTGTTCGAGGGCTCTTTTGAATAAGTCAGCTGAAGACATTCAAACGCGAGCGGACCAATTAGTGCGAGCACCACATGTTTTGTGTAAAGTAATAGAGTTAGTGCTTTTTAGCCTTTATTTCAATTGTGTCGTGTATGAACCTATGGAAGCCTGTTTTTGCAACTGGATAAAAAACTTGGGAAACACTTAATAATTACACACTGTTCATTGTTTGTTAAGCATTAGCAAATAGTGAATTCTTTATTTGTTAAGCATTAACTTTACATTAATAGACGTTAGTAAGCTGTTTATATATGCTCTATTCTTTATTAAAATGTGCTTAATTTTACCTTCATAGTTTGTTACTGATACATTTTTCATGACTAAATTAAATATTGCATTGTTTACAAATCATTTGTATTTAAGAGTAGTTGGAGGTTTTTTAGGATCAGTCAGAGTGAGTTAGTAAATGATTAATAAACTATTCAAATCAATATTTATACATTAATATTCAGGCATTTATTAATAGTTAATTTGTATGTTAATAAATGCTTTATTAACTCAACTTTATGCAGTTTTATGACCTAATCCAAAGTGAGGACAATTTATGCTTTGTAGATCCTTTAAAAATGATAATTAAAGGCTCAGTATTAAACAAACAATAATCTTTGCAATCCCATCTAAAATTAAAGTTACTGTAAAGTTTAAACATTGCTGAATAACATGAGTGTCAAAGTAGTAAGGGTTGTCATGAGACCATAAATTTAGGCCACGATACTTTACCAGTTAAAGTACCAGGATACCAAGTAGAATCACTATGTTGTATTAATTCATAACTCAAATCTACGAAATAAAGAAAATTGTCACAAATACTATGTGCTATTTGTTGTAATACTTAAATTTACTTTACAATTTGCTCATTATTGAAAACTTATTATTTGTACAGACGTACAAAATGTTTTGTTGTTATTGCAATAAATAAATAAATCATTGACCACACCATATGATCTGTCAAGACTGCAGAAAACTACAACCCGTCTGAATCGACAGCTCCGAAAAGATTAATATACAAATTATACCAAAAGATTAATATACAAATTATACCAAATAAAATTTGTTACAAAAGATTTTTTTCAACCAAATATGAAGTAAAAAAATATTATTTTATTAGTGTTTCCTGATGCTATTGTCGATACTATGATACTATCGTTTACAAACTACAATGGCACCGCAATTATTTTGGAGCCATAGTATCGCGGTGCTACTGAAGTACCGGTAAACCTTCAACCTTACAAAGTTAAACATAAAATTTTATAAAAAAAATTTAAATTTAATAATTTAACTAATATATTATGATGCAACATTCCAATGTTATTTAGCGAAGTTTAAACTGTGAAGTAGTTTTATTTTAGGTAAAATTTTTAAAGATTTATTTTTCATTTGATTCAGTTTCATTTGTGTATCTTAAAATGAATAAAGTCGTATATGTTCTTTTGTCCTGTTTAGAATATAACTGCCTTCAATTGTCATTTATTTGAGATTTACATGTATTGTATGTATTAAATTTATACATATTAATATGCCTGAATAAAAAGATATTTACTTACATATGCTGAATAATCTTTAAAAACCAGCAATTTCTCTCAAATAACTGGTTTGTAAATGATCAAATAATTTAATAATGGAAAAAAATACAATCATTAAACACATTATATATGCGTTTAAAGTCAAGAATAGAGCATTTGTATCTGCAGTTATAAACTGCTTACTAACGTCTGTTAATGTTTTTAGTTAATGCTTAACAAATAATGACTTCACTATTTGCTAATGCTTAATAAATGATATATAGTGTGTAGTTATTTTAGTGTTGTATTTATTTCTCACAGTTTTACTTCTTGTCCAGCAGTTCTGAGAGATTAGATTTTTAAATCAGCTTTTTTTTCAAGCAATTTCATGTATACTTGTAATATTTATTGTGCGTTTATGATTTGCAATTGCGAATTATGACTTTATTTAGAGATTTACATGCTGTCTTAACACTTTCTGAGGTGTATCTTGATATTATTTACTACTTTCTCAATTTTTCACTCGTAATTCTGAAGTTATATATCACAATCCTGACTTGTTATTTGAATATATAAACTTGTAATTTATAAAAAAAAAATTAATCTCTTAATTCCATTACAAAAAAGGCTGCACTATGGTGTAAAAAAGTAACAATTGTCCTTTTGTTTCCTCCCTGGTGGAAACAAGCTTCCATACATTATTATGTTTGTGTTAAAATATTTAAAACCTTTTTAAAATGTGCCTTTAAAGGAGAAAAAAAGCAAAAACTGAAACACTGAAAAATATTTTGTTGTTATATTTAGTTTTTTATCTGATTTCGAATGTTGTTAGTATGGAGTGAGTTATGTTGTGTTTTGTTGGGTTGAATTTGACAGCAGGGAGAAGGATTTCCTAGAGTTTTGCTTGACTTTTATGTGTGTGTGAATGTATTTGGTGTGTTTAGAGATCATGCTAGCTAGTTTTCTTTGAATAAACTGATGCGTGTGTGTGTGTCTTGATAGTGAGATATAAGCTATGATGTCTGTTTTGAGCTCTGAAGGCCAGTTGCCATTCATAGTACCATGCATTTCCTTTTTTTTAATACCAGTTAAACCGACTTTTTCACTCATTCTCAGTTACTGATCAGTTTGGATTATGCTGCATTAAGAAGCAGTGTATTTGTGCTTTTTAATCTGCATAAAATAAACTCCCATCAAATGTTAATCACCGCCTAAATGGACATTGGATATATTGTGTCATTTTAAATCGCTATGTACAGCATGAAGTGTTTGTTTCAGTAGGTTTCTCTGATTTGAACATCACACAACACTAATGTCTCGCTCTCATTTTGTTCTTGGGTAATAATAACGTACGTCTGTTTTACCTTGATCTCTCAACGTCACGTGTAAATATGGATTGTAAATTATCGCTTGAAACCTGTACATTGAATAATAAACGCATGGAGATTTGCTTTTCATCGCCCTCTCTCCCCACCAAAGATATGAGCGTTTCCAGTTGTGACTGTTGATGGGATATTTACAGTCGTTTGTTCTGTAAAAAGACCTGTACACACTCTTTCGTGTCTATATAAGATGTACCTTTTTGCTTTAAACAGTACAGCACCAATAAACGAGGAAAACAAATGTATGGTCTGCCGGCGTCATTGTTTGTGTCCCATTGTATTGACTATTATTTTGAGCAATCTCTAGTGATATTTCATATTTTTCGTAAATTATTTAAAAGTTGAAAGGTTTATGCATGCAAATTTCACAAATAATTTTATTTATATTTACCACATGATATTTTTATTATTATTTTATTAAATGTTTTGCTTTAGATTAACAGAAAACCGTGAGCATTTAATAAATTGTATTTTTAATAACAAAAATACACATGTACAGTTATTTAAAAGTTTTAAACTAGGACAGCACTTTCAAACTTTCAAATTGTCTGGAGTTATGATTGATAATGTTTTTCTTGATGTATTTTCGAGGCTGTGAGGTTCTGTAAACTACTAATGACTGTAATAATAAGTGTATTTTTTTTCCACAAAATGACAATTGGACAAAATCATTTAAAATGACATGTTTTTGAACATTTTAAAAGAAATGTCAAGACAAAACGACGACATGGTGACTGAGCACTGTCGCCTCACAGCAAGAAAGTTGCTGGTTAGAGTCCCGGCTGGGTCATTTGGCATTTCTGTGTGGAGTTTGCATGTTCTCCCCATGTTGGCGTGGGTTTCCTGTGAGTGCTCTCGTTTCTCCACAGTCAACATATGCACCATAGGTGAATTAAATCAACTAACTTGGCTGTAGTGTGAATGATTGTGTAAGGATGTTTCCCAGTACTGTGTTGCAGCTTGAAGGGCATCCACTGTGTTAAACATATGCTGGATAAGTTTGCGGTTCATTCAGCTGTGGCGACCCCTATTGAATAAAGGGACTAAGTTGAAGGAAAATTAATGAATAATTCATATATTTTATCGTTTTGACTGCCCCTTTAGCAAACGATTGACCATGTTTTTACTGTTTTAAACAATGACTGTTAAAGTATATATATATATATATATATATATATATATATATATATATATATATATATATATATATATATATATATATATATATATATATATATGTGTGTGTGTGTGTGGGTGTGTGTGTGTGTGTGTGTGTGTATATATGTGTATATATATATATGTGTGTATGTATATATATATATTAGGAGTTAAGAAATGCAATCCAACATTTTTTTTTCTTGGTGGGGTAGTTAAAGGGTTATTTATTATTATTTTATTAAATGTTATCCTGGGCGAGGCAGTGGCGCAGTAGGTAGTGCTGTCGCCTCACAGCAAGAAGGTCGCTGGTTCGAACCTCGGATCAGTTGGCGTCTCTGTGTGGAGTTTGCATGTTCTCCCTGCTTTCGTGTGGGTTTCCTCCGGGTGCTCCGGTTTCCCCCACAGTCCAAAGACATGCGGTACAGGTGAATTGGGTAGGCTAAATTGTCCGTAGTGTATAAGTGTGTGTGTGAGTGTGTGTGTAAATGTTTCCCAGAGATGGGTTGTGGCTGGAAGGGCATCCGCTGCGTACAAACTTGCTGGATAAGTTGGCGGTTCATTCCGCTCTGGCGACCCCAGATTAATAAAGGGACTAAGCCGACAAGAAAATGAATGAATGAATAAATAAATGTTAATTAACACAAAAAGTGAGCATATGGTTAATTGTATTGACTTTTGTAGTAACTTAAAATACACATGTACAGGGATTTAAATCCAATTTAGAGATAAAAAAACAAGATAAAATCTAATTTAAGAGACTAAATGAAAACTTTCAGTTTGTCTGGATTTATGATTTATTATAATAAGTTTTAGATTTTTTAGGGGGGCTGTAGGTTTCTGTAAATTACTAATGATATTTCTTTCAAATACAACAATGTTTTGTTTACATAAAAAGACAATTTGTCAAAATAACTTTTTAAAAATGCCATGTTTTGGATGTTGATTCATTCATGCATTTTCTTTTTGGCTTGGTCCCTTTATTAATCTGGGGTCACCACAGCGGAATGAACCGCCAACTTATCCAGCACATGTTTTCATGCAGAGAATGCCATTCCAGCTGCAACCCATCACTGGGAAACACCCATACACACTCATTCACACACATACACTACGGACAATTTAGCATATTCAACTCACTTATACCACATGTTTTAGGACTTGTGGAGGAAGCCGGAGCACCCAGAGGAAACCCACGAGAACATGGGAAGCATGTTTTGGACATTTTTTAGATAAATATTTAGACTACACTACTTTTTTAATTCCAGAAGTCTTTAAAAAAAACAGTTTGGTGAATAATGATTTTTTTATCTATTTTTTTATCAATCTATGATAAAAAAAAATGCTCTAAATGAAAACATTTTTATTTGATATTAGGATCGTCAGATGTTATTAGACGGGCATCACGGTGGCGCAGTGGGTTGCACGATAACCTCACGGCAAGAAGGTCGCTGGTTTGAGCCCCAACTGGGTCAGTTGGCATTTCTGTGTGGAGTTTGCATGCCTGTGTTTGCGTGGGTTTCCTCCCGGTGCTTCGGTTTCCCCCACAAGTCCAAAGACATGTGGTATAGGTTAATTGGGTAGCTAAATTGTCCGTAGGGTATGTGAATGTGTGTATGGGTGTTTCCCAGTGTTGGGTTGCAGCTGGAAGGGCATATGCTGCTTAAAACAAATGCTGGATAAGCCGAAAAGAAGAATGAAATAATTAATTTTATCAGACCTTTACAGAATAAAACCTAATGAATCTTGTTTTGAAGAAAAAATTTTTTGTTTTTGGCACGTGCTGACATCTAAAATTTACAAAATAAACGTACTGTGGATAATGATAAATGTACACTGAAGTAGCTACTCACCTCACATAGAGATTTCTTTAGATTTGTTTCTCTTTTTTCCGGTAACATTAACGCGACTGAAGGCGTTCCGTTTAGCATATTTTCACAAAACCTGGCAACCCATTTTAGGTCACGCGATATTTTGCGAGATGTGAAAGTTCAGCGGCTCCACGTGGGAGTATGCATGTTACAGGGGAAGTAAATAAGTTGTAGCGGTTAAAACGGATGATTCAGCTGTCAAAATACAAAGCATACAAAATCAGTGTTATAGATTAATTCCGCTATTAGAAATTCACATCAGAGAGAAGCTCCCCGAGAGTCTGCAATGACATGCTGAAGAGCTCCTGTCGGATCATTAATAGTGTATTATCACAACATTTACTCCAGTTTTCAAAATTAAAGGTGAGGTTTTTTAAACACTGCATTCTGGTCTGAAGTTAATGATGTTTGCTGGTTTAAATGTTCACCTTTAACTTGGCTTTTCTGTAGGGTGACCAAACTCGTGTGTTTTGCTCGTCTTTCAACATGACTGAGGATTCAGTCAAAGCTGTGAAAAGAGCAGCAGATGATGATCCACACACCGAAACCGAGCATGAAGACAAGAAGCTGAAAACAGACCAGGAGGAGAGGAAATACCCCAAGAAAAAAGTGGCCCTGCTCATGGCTTATTCGGGGAAAGGGTATTATGGGATGCAGGTGAGTTATGATGGAGCAGGACAGTGATTTATGAGGATGTCCAAATCAAATCACACTGTCAAAGGTGATTTTGTATACTTGTGAAGCATATTAGGTGTTTATTTAGTAATTAGTCAAGTTAAAATATCAAGATATGTATAAAATAATGTTTCATTTTCATTCTGCATAACAGTTAAATCCAAGTATAAAGGAAACAACACATCCATTTGACCCATACTGTTGAAATATATGACAGAATAAATTTTAGTAATGCTTTTTTAAATTATGTATTTGCTTAAATACTCGCTGATTCATTAGAAAAACCGAATGTAATGAAAGATATATACATAATATCAGTGGTGTAAAGGTAACAAATTACAAATACTCAAATTACTGTAGCAAGTAAAATAATCTGTCCTGTAATTTCCATCCAATCAAATCACTTGTTGAAAAATAGCATCATACAGAACAACCTCAAGAAATGGGTGTTTCATAAACACAGCAAATAAGTACAGCGTGGAAGCTTTAAAAGTGTCCAAGAAGACACACAATCACTGAGAGACTGTTTAGATCAGGGGTGGCCAACCCTGTTCCTGGAGAGCCACCTTCCTGCAGAATTCAGTTCCAACCCATATCAAACACCTGAACCAATTAATTAGGACCTGAACACCACGTGATAATTACAGGCAGGTGTGTTTGATATGGGTTGCAACTGAAATCTGCAGGAAGGTGGCTCTCCAGGAACAGGGTTGGCCACCCCTGGTTTAGATGAGGATGAAGTAGTCTACTGTGTGAGGACTAAAATGACCCTAAACAATAACTAAAATCACTACAGATTGTATTATGTTTTTACACAAACGCACAAATTGCATGTAAAAGCATTAAGCTTTCACAGTGTAATACTCACTACTCTTGAGTACTTTTAAAAGGGCTGTTTTTACTAATACTTTGGTTAATGTTCACAGCAGATACTTTTACTCTACTTGCACTACATTTTGGGGCAAGTAATGGTATTTTTTATTGAGTATGATTTTTCAGTACTCCTTCCACCACTGCATAGTATGAAGAAGATAAATAAAGGTAAAATTGGTTAGTCTTTAATTAGATATTTATATAGAGCTTTTTTATATTCAATAAATGAATCTTGTTCTAAATTCAGGTTATATGAACTGCTGTTACACTGAATGTCTTTGAAGTGGTTTGTCTTGTCGTTAAAATGTTGGTTATGTGATATTGTTTTTTGCTCAGATTTTTTTTAAAAGGGACATATGCTGTTGTATATCAAATGAACACATTTTTTATTGTTAATCTCGATTCTCTTTTTATATTTCACCCTTTTAATAATAGCAATCCTTTTCGTTTAGAGAAATGCAAGAAACTCACAGTTCAAAACGATTGAGGATGAACTGGTTACAGCTCTTGTTGGAGCCAGATGTATCCCTGAAGGCCATGCAGAAGAGATGAAGAAGATGTCTTTCCAGAGGAGTGCACGAACTGATAAGGTGAAGACTTTAATTTTTTAAAGAATAGATTAAATCCATTTATTTTAGTGAACGTTATCGTACAGTTGTTTTACTTGAAATAAGCTATATGTTAAAATAGTTGCATTATCATTTACTTTACTGTAATTATGTAATTTATATAACAAAAATAAAAATTGGTTGAAAAAAAATATGAAAAAAATAATAGTATCCCAATGTTACTAAAATGATGCTGATTATATATATTTTATTTTATATATATATATTTTTTATACATTTAGAAATGTATTGAAAATTTGACATTTTAAAATAATAAAATTAAAAATATAAGAATTGCATTTAAAAAAAATAAAAATAAAAGCAATTAGCAAATAAATACTAACATTTTATCAATTTTAAAATATTAACCGAAAAGATATACCACAATAACTCATGTCCTCTTGTTGCATTGACAGGGTGTTTCTGCTGTTGGTCAAGTTGTTTCCCTGAAGGTGTGGATGATTGAGAACATCCTGGAGAAAATCAATGCTCATCTGCCACCGCAAATCAGAGTTTTAGGTTGAGATTCTTTTTGCATATTTACTGTAAAATGCCATTTCTTTATTGTTATTCTATTACTCCGTGAATATTTGTAGTTTTTATTTGATAATTTTCAGTTTAATTTGTACTTTTTAGTTATTTGCAGTAGAGCTGGGCCGATTAACAATATTTTATCAAATCAAGATAACATTTATGTCAATAACAATGATAAGCTCTGCACTTTTTACTCTATAGTGATCTAAAAGTCAATCACACAGCAGAAATGCGCAACAATGGGAATCTAAAAGTGTGTTAATATTAGAGATGCATCGAGTTTTCTTCTTGCTGTGAGGAGACATTACTAACCACTAAGTCACCATGTCACCCTTTGTTTTATGTTCAGTTCAATTAAATTTGTCAACCAATTATCTTAACTAAATTGATTTGGGTTGGGACAACAGGAATTAATTATGTGGAACCCTGCATTTTTTACAGTGATCATTCTTTTTAACTGTTTTAGCTAGCAAAAACAAAAGCTGACCAACATCTCCACGTCATATTTTTAACTCTTCTCAAACTTCCAGGTTGCAAAAGAGTCACCGGTGGCTTCAATTCCAAAAACAACTGCTACGCCCGCACCTATTCCTACATGCTGCCCACTGTGGCCTTCTCCCCGAAAGACTATAACCAGGAGGACACGTCTTTCCGTCTGACCTCAGACACCCTTCAGACGGTCAACCGGCTATTCGGCCTGTACAAAGGCACCCACAACTTTCACAATTTCACCTCGCAGAAGGGCCACCGGGACCCCAGTGCCATGCGCTACATCACCCACATGTCCTGCGGGGAGCCATTCATCAGGAAAGACGTTGAATTTGCCGTCATCACAGTCCGAGGCCAGAGCTTTATGATGCACCAGATCCGCAAGATGATCGGCCTCGTGATCGCTGTGGTTAAAGGATACGTGGATGAAGGGGTGATAGAGAAGAGCTGGGGAGAGGAGAAAGTTGGTGTTCCCAAAGCTCCGGGGCTCGGGCTGGTGCTGGAGCGGGTGCATTTCGATGGCTACAACAAACGTTTCGGAGGAGATGGCATTCACGAGACTCTTGAATGGACCGAGCAGGAAGAAGCCATCGCGGATTTTAAGGAAAAGCACATATATCCTACTATCGTGGACACCGAGCTCAATGAGAAGTCAATGGTAAATTGGATGACGTCGCTGTGTATTCATGATTTCGAAGAGACGGCCACAGGAAATCAAGACCGCAAAGTGGGTATTTTATCACAGTTGTAGTATATATTATTATGCAGTATAAATTTTTTGACTTTTTGCCTTGCAGTTTTGACTATTTTTAAGACAAATTCAAGTTTTTAAATATGACAACTTTGACTTTTTTTGCTGGCAGTTGTAAGTTATGGGCTCTTTTTTAACGATCTAGGCACAAAGTCTAAAGCGCATGGTGCAAAAGCATTATAGCTGTGTCAGAATCCCCTTTTGCTACTTTTAAGGGTGGAAAAATATGCTTGCATCAGTAGCGTCACGCTATGGCACAATTGCTGTTTACATGGCGGACTTTGTAAGTGAAACAACCGAATGCTTCACTAGCGAGAAAACAGTTAGGCAGACCATCTGTGTGAGGATAAAGAATGAGCCTCCTCCATTGAGCCTCTTAACTTTCTCTTTACTTTTACTCTTTATTTTACTCATTGACTTTCGTGGATTAAGGAAACGGTGTTGTATGCACTTTACTGAAGACATCCATTAGCCTACATATTTAATATCGTTGGCTAAGTGCATTTTGTTTCAAAACGATTTCTAAATTCAGTTCTATTTTCCAGCAAACGAATAAATTAACAATAATAATGAAGTGTGGTCAAGTTATATCCAACCACACGTCTTATTCATATCCTCCATATACGCATACATCTTCAAAACCTGACAGGTGGACAAATAAAAACTCGTTTTTATCAAAACGAAAATAAATATGCATAAAATAAAAAATAATGCTAATAAAGATAACATTATTATAACAGAGTGGCGCAAATGGATTTGCTATTTAAACCAGGGGTGACCAACCCTGTTCCTGGAGATCGACCTTCCTGCAGATTTCCGTTGCAACCCATATTAAACACACCTGCCTGTAATTATCAAGTGCTGTTCAGGTCCTAATTAATTGATTCAGGTGTGTTTGATCAGGGTTTGAGCTGAACTCTTTAGGAAGGTCGATCTCCAGGAACAGGGTTGAGCACCCCTGATTTAAACAGTGTGGTGCAAAACGTGAAAATTACAGTTGCACTGATCTGAAAATAGCAACAAATCACGCAAAACACGTCTTGCGCCTTATTGCGTCGGGTGTATGATAGGGCCCCATATCTTGCACATCTGCAATAACTTTTTTTTTTTTTTTTTCAGATTTTAGAGTTTATATTTTTGAATTTTTTAGAATTCTCATTTGCATTTCTCTATTCTGATTTAGTTTTATTTCTAAGTTTTTATCTTGCGTAAACTTGCAAATTCTTAAACTTGCAATTTCTTTATACTTCTAAAATTCTTATACTTGCACTATTTTTCTTAGAATTGCGACTCTATTTCTTGCATTTTGACTTCATGAAAATAAGATTGGTGATCTATTTACTTGTAATTGTGTGATAACGTTACAGCACAAAGAAAAATATTCTAAATTGTGAGCTATTAACTTGAAATTTTGAGATTAAAAACATGCTAAGAAATAACTTTTTGAAAGGATGAAGAAACGTCAAATGAAAATGGTACATTAAATCTGTATGCCATTAGGTGATGGTAAGTAACTGTTAAAAATTACTTTTGGATTATTTGTTTTAGAATCTAGAGATTTGGTCAAAATCCTTCATCCAGAAATGAAACAAGTCTTCATTTAATCAAACTTAAGTTTTAGAATGCAGCCGCGTTTGGTCAATGTTTTTGAATAGACTTCTCTTTGATTAATGTCTTGTGGAATAATCATGATCTCATCATTTTAAACAAAAGAGAAGTATTCTTAATTGATTCAGAGTATATTTTGTCCTAATGTGTACAGAATGAATATCATGAATTATTCACTATTTATCAGTTGCTTTATTTTGTCCTCAGGATGATGACGAAGATGGAAATGCATCTGACTGAACCAAAGGAAACGGATCTCCTTTTTTTGTTTGTTTTACTTTTGTGAGAATTCAATTCCTAAGTTTGCATTATTATAATTCTGAAATAAAAAAAGCTTTTATTAAGTCTCCTTTGTTTAATTTTGTGTTCAACGATAACAGTTTGTTAATGTTAAGAGGTTTTGTTCATGTTCATGACAACAAAGCCAAATTAATTACTGTAGTCACCTTTAAGTATTTATCTATGTATTTTATTATAAATGCATGTATGTATGTTGTTGTTGTTGTCGTTTTTACAATATACAAATTGAAATTAGACCCTAAATTTGTACTAAATAAAAAAAATGCATTGCTATGTAACCACAAAGAATTCTGATTGGTCTAACGTCATGGGCGCTAAAAAGGAACAGGTGTCATATGAAAACAGAAGAGGAGTCTGCTCAATAATCATTTACACTTAAAAAAAACATTTTATGGGCTTAGTTTATTTGAAAATACCCCGTTCGAATTTCAAACGTATTCGTTTAAATTAAAATGAGGCGTTCTAAAAAATTATTCTCACGTTCTAACCACAGTCTATGGTTCTAACAGCTTAATTCATTTTAATGGCAATACAGCAGCTGACCACTAGAGGCGACATCACCTTTTGACATGAACGCGCACCAGAAACACGTGAAACCATCATGGCGCCGTCCGGGGACAGCAACGTGAAAGAACATAACAACCAGGTTTCATATAAGAAAGCTATAAATACTAAAACAGATCTTATACTTCAAAACAGAAAACATGCCAACGATATATTCGACGTTATTGAATATTTGCAGGTGTGTGCATTTTTTAATCTCAGAGGAATTCAACACATTTTGTAAAGTTCTTTGAATTAACTCTAACGTTACTTTCTAAATAAACATGCGTTTCTTATTGCAGTCCGAAAAGGAAAAAGAAATCATTTTCGCCACCAACGCGTGCAGTAAGATCTTCTGTGAGCTGATAGAGAGAGGAGATCTGTTTGTTGGTGAACTGCCCAAAGAAGAAGATCTCGCGCAAGGTAAATAAATACCCGTTTTAGTTTTACTTCAGATGATATAGTTAATTTGACTGTCCAGTGAACCGATTACCAGTTTACCAAGGGCAAAGATTACATATAGCTCACTGCATTAGATGTACGATTTTGGTCCTTCATCAAATGAATGTTGCAAATGACATAATGTAGACAAAAACATTAAAAACAAAGTTAATTTATTGTTTCACATGAATATTAATATAATTCAATATTATATCATAACACAGTTGTTTTGGTATTTCTGTAATCAACAGCGTTTTGATATTACTGTCGCCCTGAATGTCACTTTGGGTGGTCTCCTCCGTAAATCATGATTCATGTGTGCCTAATTTACTCTTACAAAACAATAACAACTATATATTATAGTAGGCGCATATTATTGGTATTAATATTAATATTGGTTGATTTTAATTTCAGGTGATCGCAGTGCTGAAGAGAAATATCATATATTTATGAGACACCGTTACAACAGCTGTGTGGAACTAATGCTGGAAAATATAAGCCATGAATCTTTCCAAGTCAAGGTGACTAAATTGTTTGTGTGTATTTTATATATTCATAATGACAATTGTTCCTGTTATCAGTATTTATTTGTAGATCTAATTCCAGGATGTCTTTGCGGGGTCTTAAAATGTCTTAAATTTCAAAAACTAAAATTTAAGCCTTAAAAAGTTAAAAATTTGCAGAAATATTAACTTGTAGGTCTTAAATCATTTTAAACGGGTCTCAATTTTCCAATGCTCATGTAAAGCTGCCTAATCAGGCCAACACCTGTATATAGCATACAGTCACCAACAATACATCTCAATAAACCTTTAAAAAAAAAAAAAAAAAATATATATATATATATATATATATATATATATATATATATAGGTATAGAAAAACGATGGGTAATATTTACAGACGAATGTACTATGAAAATTATATACAGGTTATATTAGCTATGAACAGATTAACAATGATAAATATATGTACAGGTTGCTGTTACTAATCAGAAGTGTGTAGATAGATATGAACATAATTACAAATGTATATGTACAATGGGTATTGTACAATTCAAAATGAATGTGCAATTTTTAAATGTGCAAATATTAAATAGTGCTGTGATTATGGAGAGTATAGGTTATGAGGGGGCAAAAGAGTCAGTAGGGGGACACAGTTCAAAAGGGAGACAGTTCTAGAGAAATGGAGACAGTCTGCTGGTTTTGACTGGCGGAGCCTGAAGCGCATGCCAGAAGGCACAATTCTATTGAACAATATGGTTCCTGACATTAACAATTTTAAGTTCTCCATGTATTTACAGACCATATGTGATGAGAACACTGACCTGGAAAGACTTGCACATTTTGTTCATTGTAGTTTTTAAAGCTTGTTAAAGTATGGATGGTTTGCTTGTTTTGACACATTATTCAAGTAATTAGAATTTGTTTTTAATGCGGCAGGTAACATCCTTACAGTTTAGCCCTATATAAGTCTGAAAATTTATTCATAATGGTCTCAAAAAGTCTTAAATTTGACTTGGTGAAACCTGCAGAAACCCTGAATTCAGTTTGGTTTTAATATCTATAATTTTTTTATTTACTAAATATCTCACTATTTCCTATTTGTTTTCTGACACACACACACATACAAACAAATATATATCTCACAAATAGGAAGTGTCTCTTTGCCATATGTATATAATAAGTTTCTTTTTCAGGTTTATTTCAGTTGACTTGTTATTTTTGTATTTATCTACATTATTTTCATATCTTAAAGGAGACATCGCTCTGTGCAGTGATGAAATTTGTTGCGACAGAAGGCAAACACCCCCTCCAGAATCTGGACTGGAGTGAACACTACAACTTTCCCAGGGAGCTCATACAGGCAGGTTTTCTTTATAGCAACATGTAGTCATGTTCTTCCTCTCACAGTCTCTGTACAGATATAGTCCATTTTGAGGGATGTAAACAAAAAAAAATGGTCCCAACGTACTTTATGTTGTACATTTTTAATTTCTAAAGCTTCTAAGAATCCAAAAAGAGCCACACATTGATTAATAATGTTATGATAGCTTTTTTAGCATTAAGTTATGATTGAATTGCGTCTTGTTACAGTTATGAAATAGTTTGATAACAAGCAGGAAATGTTTGTGGGCCAAAGACATGACTACATTTAAATGGTGTATAACATGTTATAAAGACTGCTTTGCTCTTGATTGTTAAATCCGTCAGACTAGCAAAAACTGCTATAACAGCATTCATTCTGGATCTTTCTTGTTTTTGATGCTGTTACAGGGATAGTTCATTAATAATTCATAAAATACAATTTTTGGGTGGACTATCCCTTTAACCACCAAATCCTCCCATCAGCCCTGGCAGCCCAGAAATTTAAATCTTACCTCTCATGTCGATCCTTCAGGGTCTCTTGTAGGGCAGATAGTCCGAGGTGCCTCAGTGCTTGGGCCGCTTCACCTCTCGGTCTGCATGGCATCACTAGGATCTGTTATTCAGAAACTTATGAAGACTTTAGGTCAAACCATCTGCTAAATGATTAAGTGTAAACGTGTTGCTCTTTCATGTGCACAGGCCCTGGTGGAGCATCTTCTGTCAGAGAAAGAAGACATGTCACTGCTCATCTCCAGGTTTCAGGAGTTCATGGAGAAGGATGACGTGCGCTACTACGTCATGAGTTCAGTGCGATACAGCACAGCCACTGTCATGGAGAGAAACAAAAAGGTGGGTGCAGTTTATCTGTCTGTCTGTCTGTCTATCTGTTGTATCCTATGTATCATGTTGTCTGTCAGTTAATCAATCCATACATCCATCATCCTTCTAACTATCTATCCATACATCTGTCTATCTATGTCTGTCTGTCTATATCTATGTATATATGTCATTCTGTCTATTGATCTATCATCCTGTTTATCATTCTGTCTATCATTCTACTTGTCTGTCTGTCTGTCTGTCTGTCTATCATTCTACTTGTCTGTCGGTCTGTCTGTCTATCATTCTACTTGTCTGTCTGTCTGTTTATCATTCTACTTGTCTGTCTGTCTGTCTAACATTCTACTTGTCTGTCTGACTGTCTATCATTCTACTTGTCTGTCTGTCTGACTGTCTATCATTCTACTTGTCTGTCTGTCTGTCTGTCTATCATTCTACTTGTCTGTCTGTCTGTCTGTTTGTCTATCTATCTATCTATCTATCTATCTATCTATCTATCTATCTATCTATCTATCTACTTGTAAGTATCATTCTACTTGTCTGTCTATCTGTCTTTCTGTCTATCCATCTTTTTGACATGGGTATCACAATAACACTGGACAATTAAGCGCATTTGTTTAGGTGTTTAAGCAGTCTTGCTGATTCTCAACACCTGTCCACAAGAGGCTTAACATAAAATAAATTTAAAATGGATACATGTACACAACATTATAATTCTTTACATAACGCTTAGTTTATGATTTCATTTTCCACAGTATTATTTTATTATTAATTTTTTACATAATGGTAATACTAATAATTTCAATTAATATTATTCACTTTATTTTTATTGCTATCATGAAAAAATATATATTTAATTTTTTTTTTCATGTTAAGTTTCTCATATTTTTTTCTGTTATCAATTTAACTGGTGAAATCTTGGCTTATCTCATCTGTTTTGTAGGCTGTGATTCCTGTATTTCAGAATAATGTGTTCAATCTCCTCACAACCATCAACATTCCCAACCAAGCATCAGAAATGACTAATTTCCTTGTTCAACAGCAAAGTAAGTTTGTTTTTTTTTTAATTCTGCACTTTGCCTACAAATCTGCATCCCTCCTTAACAACAGTAATTCTACACCATTTTAACAGGCAAACATGACGACTGGAAAGCAGCCAAATTAAAGGTAAGTACAGACTACATGCTGTCTTTATTTACATTTTTGCATTAATATTTTTATGCATTTGTATTTGTCTATTTGTTTTTATAGGAGCATAAAAGAGCATTTGAGCAAATGTGGCTGCTGTTTCTCAAGTACAAGGTAAAAGCTGTATTTTAGCTTCAGATTATGTACTGTTTTGTATAAAGAAAAAAACTTTCCTAATTTTTTGCTTTACTGTGGTTTGGGTTTCACTAGTTGCCTGGCAGCATGTACAAGAAGATCCTGGTCATCCTTCATGAATCAATACTGCCACAGATGAGTGATCCCAAGCTGATGATGGACTTCCTGAGCGCTGCCTACGACATTGGTGAGTTTACTTCGGGATTTAGTAATCAAAATCTGCATTACTTGAACAGGGTTTCGGCGGAATCTTAAATCTCAAAATCCAACTTTTAGGTCTTTCAAGTCTTAAATTTATTGAAATATTGTTGCAGGTCTTACATTTTTTTTTAAACAAGTCTTAATTATTATTTTTTTGTTCATGTATTGCTACCAAATCTCACCAAAACCCATACAATCACCAACAAACATCTCAATAAAACTTTAAACCTTTCATTTAATTTTATTCAATATTTAATTTAATTTTTAACTCCAATTTTCATAAATTATTTTCGTTACAATAACATTTGTTTAAAAGTGCTCCATGTATTTACTGCTGAGATACTGACTTGGACATATTGTTGTACATAAATTTAGTTTATTAGAGTTCTTAACTTTTAAAACATTTGTTTATTCTTTTTTTTTAAGTTTATGTTGGAAAAGTGTATGATACAAGTAGAGCTTGCTTGTTTTCCACACAATATTTCAAATATTTTGCTAAGTAATAAATTATTATTAAATGTATTAAATTATTAAAAAAACTAATTTGATAGGGCTTTTTCAGTAGCAGCTCCAAGACTCTGGAACGATCTTCCACTTTCCCTAAGAACAGCTCAAACTTTTGGGTATTTTCAGAGGTCACTGAAAACACACTTATTTTCTTTAGCTTTAAGTCATGTGATGTGAATTTATGTATTTTGGTTTTGTGTATATTTGCATGTGTTTTGTGTTTTATGTACAGCACTTTGGTACCCATTGTGGTTTGTTGAATGTGCTCTAGAAATAAATTGAGTTGAGTTGAGCAACTGGGTAAAATGTAATATTTCCCAATCATTCATTCCTGATCTGAACTCTTCTTTAGTCTTTTCAACCTGTTGTTTTTATAGGGTTAGAGAAAGCAAGCTATTCAGTGCCTTTTTAAGTATGTGGGATGAAATGAATGTTAAAATGCTATTTGCAATATTTAATTGTGTTATACACACAACATTTGTAACATTTACTAGTTCACATGGTGCTTGATTTCACTTGTAGATTGCATTTAAAGTACATTGTTTTTCTGGATATTCATTGTCCATGCAGCAGTGGATTCTATCACCTTTTCATTTATAAAATCATGTTTTTTTCTAAGTAAATCATCAATTTTTTGATTGCCATTCTTATTTTTATTGTTTCACTTCACTTTTATTAACATGTTATCACAATTAACTATTATTTAGCAACCTAAAAGTCATCAAAAGCTATGAATTTCTAAGCAAAACATATTTTTATAAATTAAATGATACAAATTATAGGCAGCATTGACTAATCTCACCAGGATTTCATCACAATTTTGAATATTATTTGAGTGTTCACAGTGCATTGTCATTGATATTTTTTGTAATATTTCTGTCTGTGTGGTATTCAGGTGGAGCAATCAGTTTGTTGGCTCTGAATGGCTTGTTCGTCCTCATCCATGAGCATAATTTGTACGTATTACAGTATTTTTTAAAAAGCAGCTGTCTGATCTAAATGCCTTGTTTTTATATATAAAATAAAAATGGAACAAAACAAAAATCTCTTTTTTGTGTAGGGATTACCCAGATTTTTATAAGAAGCTCTACAATCTGCTGGATCCTTCTATCTTCCATGTCAAGTACAGAGCACGGTTTTTCCACCTGGCAAATATTTTCCTGTCTTCAACGTAAGCATACTCTACAGGGCTGTTCAAACTCAGTCCTGGGGGCTGATGTCCTGCATAGTTTAGTTCCAACTTCCTTCAAAAGACCTGTCTGGAAGTTTCTAGTTTCTAGAAAGAGATTGATTTGCTGGTTAAGGTCTAATTGTGGTTAAAACTAAACTTTGCAGGACACCGACCTTCCAGGACCTATTTTGGGCACCCCTGCTCTAGAATCACTTAATATCATTATCAGCAGTAAATCAGTCTGATGTTTAATGATATGTAATCTGTGTGATGTGAACTCTCTGACAGGCATCTGCCAGTGTATCTTGTGGCAGCGTTTGTGAAGCGTCTTGCTCGTCTGTCTCTCACAGCGCCACCTACAGCTCTTCTTATTCTGCTGCCGTTCATCTGTAATCTAATTCGCAGACACCCCTCGTGTAGAGTCCTCATTCACAGACCCAGTGCTGCTGACGGTATATCACTCGCACAATGGCTTATCAATATTTTATAGTTAGTTATGGATTGTTATCCATACTTGCAATACAATTAGTTTTTACTAGAATGCAGTTGGTAGAATTCATAAAAAAGTCACTTTTTTTCATATTTATTTCTGTAAATAATTGATCTCATGAATGTGTTAAATCAGAGCCTTGTGATGACCCGTATGTGATGGAGGAGGAAGATCCAGCTCAATGTCATGCTCTGGAAAGCAGCCTATGGGAGATCAAGGTAATGCCAAACATGGAAATGTTCTTTTCCACTGCCTCACCATCCACAAACCAGGGGCGTCGCTAGACCCCATTTACTGGGGCACGTGCCCTAGTAAAACTCTCCAGTGCCCTAGTAAATGCTTTGAGATAGGATTTACTTTGTATGCAAGTGTATTTATTAAGAGTGGTAATCCCAGAATAAAGACGTTATTCTCTATGCAACTGAACCAATGCTGGTAAAATCAATATAGTTTAATCAAATGCAAACCGAGCATGTGCACAGAAAAAAAACATACCCGCGCACCACCTTCACGCACCACTTCACGCTTGCTGTTGCGCTTCTTTGCTACCGGTGTCCCTGTAAAAATAGCCGCACTACTAATGCGTTGTGAAACCAGGATGTCGGCACGCCGTAAGTTTTCCAAGTGGACAGAACAAAGTTTAAATATTATGGTGGTGATCTTATTTAGACTAACGTTAAGCAAGCATAGCTCCTGATAGTTTTTGTTTTTTTGTATAAAGCAAAAAGGAGGGATGATGAGTCAGGGAGGTAAGACTCAATAAACCTAATTCTCGGCCATGAGTGGGGTCTAAGACAACACGCAACTGATAATTCTATAAAACATATTTGTTTTGCGTTATCTATAGAATTTCATGCTAACAAAATTAATATTCATGCAAAAGTTTTCTTAAATTATCTTAGCATCACACCAGTTAGATTGTTATTTAGGACTAATATCTGTTCTGTGTATATATACACATTTGTTTTAATTATTATTTTATTTTTTTGAGGGGAAGCTGTGCCCCAGTTGAGCTTTATGTCTTGCAACGCCCCCTCCACAAACTCTTAAATCTTTTAATATCTAGAAAGACTTACAAAGTAAATCTCTTCTTAGACCTTGCAGAATCATTACCATCCAGATGTGTCCAAAGCCGCCACGATGATCAATGAACCACTTTCTGCACAAGAGGAGGACATCAGTGAACTGCTGGAGCTAACAACGTTTGAGGTGATTAGCAACATTCTCATTGTAAACTATTGCAGTCAGTAACATTCATTCATTCATTCATTTTATTTTCGGCTTAGTTCTTTTTCAGTCAGTAACATTAGTCAAATCACTTTTAGACTTGACCAAAGTAAGTTTTCATCTATTACTAAACCATTAACTTGGACTTTTGCTTCAAATATTCAAATATGCGCAAATATTTAATTTAGTTTTCTTTTTTTTTTTTTTTTAACGAAGGCAGGGAAAACTACCCATGTACTTGTACACATGGCTTTGCACTGATTAAGTGTTCCACTTAAGGCTAGTAATGTGTGCTAGCAAATAAGACATGCATAAATGTACATTTTGATTCCATGCGTACTTTAATATTTAGGTCATAGTAGAGGTTTTAACTCTTTAATTGAAGAAATTAAGGTATGCATCTTTTTTTAATTAATGCTATAGAAAATATATTGATCTGTTTTATTGTATTGAAGTTATAAAGTACATTCTCGTGACACTAGTATATGTCATATGTGCAAAGTATAAAATATTGTAACTCATAATTTTCCTCCATTGTGAACGTCAGCTAATGGAGCGAGAACTGAAGGGTGAAAAGAAGACTGTTCCGCTGGAGTTTGACATGGCCACGGATCTCCTAAAGAGCTCCAGAGAGGTGCTCGGAGTACACTTTACTCTAGAGTAACACCCCTATTTACTCTCTCATATAGTCCTGTTTTTTTGCCAAATGTTTTCTTTTATAATAAAGTATGTGTGTGTCCACTCTAACAGTGTTTATCTCTCTATACTGAAAAAAATGCTCTGTTGTCACTTTCACAACTTCAAGATTTCATTGACTTTAGAAATGTAAGTTAACACTTTAGTATGGAAAACACGTGTACAGTACAAACACTCTATCCATACTCATATTTTGAATGGGGAAAAGTGTAACCCCGCCTACTAGTACAGGAGCCAATCATTGATCACTTTATGGTGGAGAGAAAAAAAAGCCTGCCTTTTAGCACAGGAGCCAATCATCGATTGCTATAGACTGACTATAGTCTGGGAAAAGGACTCGGACCAGATGTGAGTTTCTGCAGATTTTGTGTGATTTGGACGTTTAGTAATCAAACTAAAAAGACAGTTGCGGTTTAATTTTATTGGTGATTCCTAATATGAAATTCAATCGTAAGCTTGGCAAGCAATTATGAAGAATTTGATGTTTCCCCATTCAGACAGAATGCCCGAAAGGCGTTTCAAAGATGGCTGTCGAGTTAAATGGCTTGCCTTAAAGGGACTATAAATGCAGTACATATGCTTCTTTATAGGTTGCAAAACTAAGCTGTTGTTGTAGTATATATGTTTGTGTATGGGATATGAGTAAGTGATCTACGATATGCTTATGAAGAAAAAAGCATTAAAATTGCTTTGTAGATGCTGTTAAACAGCCAATGTGTCAGCTAGTTAAAACTGAATTGGTCCCAGTACTAAAGTGTTTCTAAAGAAATTAATTTTAAGAGTAATTAAAGTAATTACACATAAGCTATTGAAATTACATCTTGCAATAAAAAAACTGTTTAATAGTAAAGTGTTGCCTCAATGTATGGTAAAGCAAGTCAGAACAAGGTAATTTTAGTTATACTACTACTGCACAAACATGGCAGCATCATTGTACTCTTGGGAGATTTTATATTTTCAATTTTTGAGCATTTTTGTACTAATTTGTGTATACTGGTTTTTTAAACCAATTAATCATTTAATAATTAAAATACATTTACTTACGATGAATGAAATACAATGCTTAAGATTCATTTTCTATAGTAAGTGATAATATTTCAGGGGAAGTTTCTGGTCTTCGGTTTTAACTTACCATTTCACAATTTAAGGTCCTAATAAGTACTTAAATCCGAGCAGAAAGTCTTAAATTCATAACTTCGTGACTTAAATGTTGCTTAAACTGCAATTTTCATAAGAATAGTTTAGCAAACAAACAAAAATAAACGTACCAGTTTGGAGAGAAGTTTTGAGTATGCCGTACTTGCTCCAAACCGGAGGGTGTCGCTAATGTGAACACGTGTGTTCAATTCAACACGGTAAATGAAGCTCTTTTCTTCTGGCGCTGGATTGAACTTCGCTGTTGTGTTTGGGGTTTTTTTACGGTCGCTTTTGCAATAATGTCAGCGGAACGTCTCGCTAAAATTCCAGAGGTGGATTTAGACCCCAACGGCGTCTTTAAATACGTCCTCATTCGCGTTCATAGCAAAGACGACGATTCATATGTTGATATAGTGAGAGGATACGCGTGGGCCGAATATCACGGTAAGATCCATTCATGTGTATGAGCCATGAATTACAGCTGATAGATAACCGTGAGCACTGAAATTAACACTTGTGGCATTAACAGTAGTTAAATATGTCAGAAAATGCCCCCAAAAATTATTATGGCTATATCTTAATTACAGCTGTCTTGTTTTTGGGCTTATTTTTTCTGCCATAAATTCAGTACAAGCGTCTCGTGAAAATTAACCACCGTTTTACTGCAAAGAGAACCCAAACTTCAACGTAAAATTCATAACCACACATTTATTAAAGTTTAACTATTATGTTTTTTAGTAAACCCGCAGTAAGCTACAACTCGTGATCCATACTCTCCACTAAAAGCATGTTTGATGTTACTTCAGTTTTCTGCGATAAAAAAAAACATAAATTTTAAGTGTTGTGTGTTACTTGAAAGTTTTTTTTTTGCCCTTCAAAAACATAATTTTTAGGCAAAAACTGAACTCCAATCTTTCACAAACTGACTGAGAAATGTCAGATATAAAATGAATCAAATATAAAACCAAAGTCTAAAAAAACTATATAAAATAAAAACAAAAATAATCAACAAACCGTGCAGACATCAAACAGAAGCTTTGTAAGGGGTTAAATAAAACCATATTTTTGTTTTTTTATATTCACAGTCTTCTATATTTACTTTCTCCTTAAAAATATAATTTAAGAGTATTTGCAAATTCTAAATGGTGAAATTATATCAGCAGCCAATGACTTTAAAATACAACATTGTTCACAATCAAATAAATAGTGCTAATGTTGTTTTGAAGTCTTCCATATGATTTTAGGCTAATTATTCAAAGTACCATGGTAAACAATATAGGGAGCGTGTCACCAGTTGTCACAGAATGGATGTGCGAATATAAAACCATTTTACCTCAGTTCTCACCCTTCATTGTTTTTAAAGCCTCTGCATTGGTGGCAAACTCATTTTTAAAGACAATCAAATAAGGAGCTGTTTTCAAAAATGTGCATTTATAAAAGAAGAATTTGAGTAAAATAAGTAAACCATTTGCAGTTAAGTCATCATTTTTGTTGTTCAGATGTACTCCAAATTTCACAATGTCCCAACAAATAGATGGAAACATTGAAATATATTGTTTTATCCAGTTACCCACATTAGAACAGAAAGGATTAGCCAAATTACAACGAAGAAATAGATTCAGTTTCAGTATCATTAGTTTCAATATCACTACAGCAGAATTGCCAAACATTACAATTCACATTGAATCTTTTTCTCAGAAACTCCTTTGCAGGGTAAATATTGTACATAATTTTAAAATGTGCTTCTTTATATTTTGGAGGAAGAGGAAATGTCAAATATTTGCATTTAATTTTCTTAACTAAATACATATTAAAAGGTTGGAAAATATAATTTATTTTAAAAGGAGCAGGATAGCAAACCTCCATAAGACACTTTCTGATAAACATATTTGAACATCTCTTTTCCACAAAACTCAAGTACTTGAAAGTATATAAGGTTAAAAAGCATATAGTTTCTTGGATAGAAGTCCTGTTATACTGTGGAAAGAAATGTGTTATGAGCAAGTCAAAAATATTACTTTGAATACTTGGAAATGGTTTAATTTTTATAAGATTATATCATCATTCTATATGTAAGTATTTATGCATTTTATGTATTTATTTAGCATTTTTAAGCACCTTTTTGGATAATAAGTTGCAGTTGGTCTTCCTTTGTTTGATGGCTGTGCTTCTGGCTTCTGCCTTAAATCAGTTTATTATCCATTCGTTTTCTATTATAAATATTAATAATATAAATTATTTATTAGCATGTTTATTTTATTATACTAGCTGCTGTTCTGACGTTTTTTTTCCCATTTGCATTTTTGTTTTAGTGTTTTTTTTGTTTGTTTTTTTGTTTTTAGCACTTTTTGCCATGCACTGTAGATCAAAAGTGTCTTTTTGTCCAAGCACAAAACCTTGCTAAGATTGTATGTCCTACAGCTGACATATATGACCGTGTGTCTGGAGAGCTGGAGAGAGCTGGAGGAGTGGACTGTGAGTGTCTCGGAGGAGGAAGAATCAAACATGACCAGGACGCAAAGAAGATCCACGTCTACGGTTATTCCATGGTGCACATGATACTTCAGTGTTAAACAGTAAACCCCTAAATAAATCAAAATATTAATCATTTAAATTTGTGTGTGTTTCAGGGATTTGGCAGAGCGAAGCATTCAGTTTCCACAGAGAAGATAAAAACTCATTACCCAGATTATGAGGTGACCTGGGCAGATGAAGGGTATTGAGTGGGTTTACATGGGATACGCTTGACGACCCAATATGAGAACACAGTGAACTGTTAAAATTAGCTTTGAACTGTTGCATTGGACTTGCATTGGCCAAGACTGAGAGAAAACAGAACTGTTTCAGATATGGTTGGATGGATAAAATGTTTGCCTTAACTAGAGGAGAGGTCATCCTCATTTTGTTTGGTTTTTAACTTAATGTGTAGCTTAACACATGACAATGAAAAGAGAAAAATGCACTTCTGTTCATCCATTGGTCTTTTTGAATGACAAAATATAAGAAAAGGGGGAAATAAAGGATACTGCAGAAGCTTAAGGTCTTAAATACAAAAAAGCAATGACATCCTAAAAAACTTCCAGATGCCCAAATGTTTCCACACAGTTATGTAATTGGAGATTTAAAGTTTTGAAACGATTGATTCCAAATGATTTACTCATTTGAAGCGTTTGAAACATCAATGTCTAGCGACATCTCCTGGACAAAACCAAGTAATTGAAACACAAAACTCAAAACAAACATGGATTAAGTTTGCCTTTTTCAAACGCAGTTAAATTGAAGTTAAAACCTATCAGATGTACTTGGTTTATCATCCTATATCATTAAATATTAAGTGTTTACAAAATAAGCATTCTTTTATCAATTCTGTTTTATGGCTTGATCCATTGTGGGTTCTCATAAACAGTACAATGTAAACAGAGTATTAACTAATGTTTTTCTTTTTTATATAACAAATATCCTATTAAAATATCCACAAACTCTTTAAACAGATCTGAGATTAGGTAAAAATGCAACCTGTTTAGTTATTCACCACTAGGGGATCATCTTGGGGGGCCCAAATAGAGAACGATTACATTTTTCAAAATGTTTCAAATCAGTAATGACATAATGAAGCCCGTTTACTGAAATCATGTGACACTGCCAATTTGATATGAGCTCTGAACCTCTGATTTGGTACAAAAGATTCGCAAAGATTTGTCCATCACTAGCAAACAGGCTATATACAACAATAAGACGGCTTGTACTGTAGTTAACGGGATAGTTTCCCCCAAAATAATAAAATGCTGCTAACTTACCCTCTAGTCATTCTAGATCTAGGTGATTTTGATTTTTACTCGGTAGAACATTAAAGATCATAAGCTAGTGCCTTTGTCATTTAGGAAGTGCTAGTCAACATCTATTTGAGAGTAAAACAAATTATACAAGCAGAACACTGAGGTCTTATGAAGGGTAACAGTCGGTTTGTGCAGTTGACTTGCATTTTATGAGTTGCCAAGATTTCAAAGCTTCTTAAATGTTCAACTAAAATCAGCGACATCCTAAATAATGTGAGTGTAAACTAAGAGAACTATAAATGATATATTTTAAAGGGATATTTCACTCAAAACATCATCATTTACTCACCCTTCACTGGTGTCATAGCTTTATGAGACTCTTCTTCTGCCAAACACAGAAGAAGCTATTTTGAAGAAAACTGGAAACCGGTAACCATTGACTTCCATTGCTACTGCTCTTGCTACTACTAAAATAAAGGAAATCATAAAGGTTTGGATTTACTTGACCATGTGTAAATTGAGTAAATGTTCAGTTTTGGCTCAACTAAATTGTTAATGACAATATATAAATATAGAGAAACCATGACTTGATGATTTGTAAAGCAACACAAATGCACTGTAAAAAAATGCAACAGCAACAAGGCAAGACACTAGATATTTTATGATGATTGACCTTATTTTAATAAGTTAATCAAGTTTCACCTTCATTTTTTAAAGTTATACAGAGTTTAACTTCATATTTTGAATCAGTTTGATTAGTGTAAGTTGAGGTGGCTAGAAAACTTAATTTGATTCAACTGAAAACTTTAAGGCAGCAATACATTTTTTACAGTGTGTATTTAAGACCTGATCTCAGACCTGATCCGGAGGTTGTAAACGTTGCCTGATAAACTTGATGATTCGCTTCACATCCGTTTGTCAGCATTTAAATTAGAAGATGCCATTAAGATTTGCAATGACATTTAAAAAAAAAGACTAAAAGTTTTACAATCTAACAACATCTAGAGAATTGACAAGACAACAAAGTCATTGCATTCATTGCACGGTCATTTGCGATTCAGTTGTTTCCTTAAAATGAACTCACATTATTTTCACCATACATTTAATAAATTATTTTTTGCACCTAGCATTTGCTGTCTCTTTAATTGCGCCATTCATTTCTTATTTCTTTGCTTATCTGTCAAGGTTTACTTGCAAGCCAAACCCTAACAATGGTTTACAAAGTACTACTTTCAGTAAGACCAGAATGTGCGGAGATTTAGCTAAATAGTAACATTTGTCAAGTGAAGTATTTGGTGTTGAGTTTCAAATAAACTGAGCTGTCTGTGCTGTATATTTTCAATAGGGCAGAGCAGGACTAAAGACGAATCTGGCACTCGTCTGGGGGTTAAAATGTAAAGTCCAGGTATTATCTACTTGTGAAATCAGGAAGGAGGGACGCAGTTGAAGTTAATAACCTCATATATGTCAGAACTGGGCTTTTGTGCGCTGTACGCAGAGGAAGAGATTGTATTGTGATGTAAAAAATGAAGACAGGATTCATGGCTGCCTGCTTCTGGATTCTTGTGTGTGTCCTGCTGAATGTCTGTCAGAGGGGTGAGATCTGCTGTTTTTGAGCATTTGTTTATTGTAAAGGTTGATCTAATGCATCAAAAACACCATTATACATACGACTATGAAAAACATGAGAGCACTTGAAGAATCACAGTTTCTCTGGATTTATATGATATGTGTTTGAATAAAATGTTAAAGGGATAGTTCACCCAAAAATGTTAAATATATATATTTTTCTGTTTAACACTGAGGATGTTTTGAAGTAATACCACGGGAGTGATATGGTCAGTGTTTACAGGTTTTCAGCATTTTTTAAATATTTGTTGTGTTCAACAGAAGAAAGAAACTCTAAGGTTTGAATCAGGTAAATGGTGACAATTTTCATTTTGGGGGGGAACTATCCCTTTAAGTCTTGTTTTATTTATGTTATAAATTCTTTTAGCAAATTACAAATGAAAACATTGATATTTAGAGCTTTTATTTCACAGAAAATTAGGTATTTTATCATTGTGAAAAGTGATTTGTTGTTTACCTAAAAAAAAAAAAAAACTAAAGCCGGTTCCTTAAAAGCAACATGATGTTTTTTAAAAAAGTACACTTGTAACATACATGATAAGTTGGCTTAACTTAATTTTTTGATTTATGCACATAGTTCATTTACATAACTAAGGCAACAGGATTACTCACTTTTTAAAGTGAAATCTCTTTACAGTGAACTTCAAGTGTTCACTGTAAAAAAAATCCTGGTTGCTTTTTAAGAATTTTTTTTTTAAAGCTAAATCAAATTAACCTCATGAGTCCATTGAACTGATATTATGTTAAACTGAGTTAAAACAGCTTGTGTAACTTATAAAATTAGGTTAGAACATGATTACAATGAACTAAAAACATGCTGTCATGACAAATTGTTCATATAATTTTTTACAGTGTTGATTTTATACATCTGATGTTAAAACATTGGTTTTGTATCATGTAAAACTGAATATAAAGGCACTGTTTTTTTATGGTAATGCCCAAATATCTCTAAATTACATAATTTTTATTTGAAATTTGAAAGAAATGTCATCGACGTTGATTATAAATGTGTGATCAGATTTATACAAAACGAAATGGAGAATTACAAGTGGGCTCTTGGTTTTAATTTTTTTGATCTGATTTTTAATCTGATTTTGTTTTAATATTGTGCAACATTTCTAACTTTTTAGCAATAATATTTCTAAGACTATATTACTTCATAAGCTGTAAGTTAATTTGAAACATATATTACTTAAAATTAATGCTATGGAAGTTCATTTTCTCAGCTTCAGAAACATGACTGTACTCCAAAGTTATTCCTTATTGCTTTGCTGCATTATACAATTAATTATATTCTTGTATGCAGGAATGCAATCTTATATCTGAAACGTATTTATCAGAGACCTTTGACTGCGTGTGATTACTAAATAGACAGACCTTTGTGACGACTTGAACAGGAAGATTTATAAATTCATGCGGCTTAAATTTCTTAACCCACACAAACTCTGATTTCAGAATAAATAAGACTTTTAGTCACTTGTAGAGTCAATTAAACTGATGTTGCTTTAAATATGTGCTTGATTAATATGCATTAGTCAACGTTTGAAGTGGATCAAAAAAAAAAGATTTGTGGCAAAACAAGAATGGGTGTTGCTGAATAGTTTTAGGAAAACTTTGATGAAAAATTTAATCCACTTCGAATGTAGACTGCTGTAGACTTTCATGTTTTGAAGTTTTTGATTGTTATAATTTCTTTATTAATATTTTTTAATGATTTTATAAGGTTTAAGAGGGATGAATTCAGCTTTGCTATTAAAAGTGCTCTTTGCAAAAGTGTTAATGAACTTTCACTACAGTAAAAAAAAAACTATTTATGATCCAATAAAATCAAATTTGTTGAGCTTAAATTCATTTAACATCATCACAAAAACTAAAAACATCATTGATATTTGCTTATTATTTCAAATAACATTACCTGCCACAAATGTATCAATGGTAGCAAATGATTTCTGTATTTTAATATAGCTTATTTAGTTTTATTTGTACAGTAGTACAATTTTTCTGTAGAATCTGCTAGTAAATGTTACAAATAACACATAAAACTGAGATTTGGAAATGTAGTATTTTCTAGTGAATCATAACACAATGCTTTTTATTCACAACATTGACATCGTTTTATGCCAAATAGTTTACCATGTTTAAATTGTGTTTGTATTTGTAATAATAATAATAATAATAAAATAGTTCAAATGTATAACCTAAAAAGTATTTATGGCCTTTTTATTTATTTATTTTGAATTATTTTTCTTATTTAAACTATCGCCAACCTATCTGTTCAGTGTAAATCTAAGTTGATGCATCTCTAAAAGACAGGATGGAAAATTGTTGGGCACGAGTAATATTTTAATCCTCAATTTTTTTTATGAGAGTTGTGTTCTCAATCAGGTGGAGAATATTCTGAACAATCCAACTCATTTCTTGTTTCCACATTATGAACTGCTTCCCTCTAGTAGGAGATATAGTCCCAAAGTGTAGGTTGAACCGTTATATGAAATCCTTTGTACCTGTTTCAGTGGGTTTGTTTAATAAGAGTTTATTTTAATTAGCATTATACATTTTGTTTCTGTAGTATTTTTGTATTGTTTTTATTACTTGTTTTTATGGAATGTCTGCAGCAATAGGTGATGCCTGTAACAAATTTTCCTGTCAAGGACAATGAAGTTTACTACTACTTAAAAAAAAATGATATTATCTTTTTTTATTGATTCTCTCATCTGTAATGGGTTAAATGTTGGGGAGGGGTTGTTCTGAAAATACATATATTGAAAAATCTTTTAAAAAAAAATTAAAATAAAATCATGTAAACATTGATTAGTTTCACTGAAATTCATAGTTGCTAAAAGCTAATACATTTTCTCTACACTGCAAAAAATGCTTTTCTTTCTTAGAGATTTTGTCTATACTTTCTTGTCCAAATATTTTAAAATTCTTAAATCAAGAAGCATTTTCTAGACCAACAAAATATTGTCTGACATTCAGAAATATTAAGTCAAAATAAAGTGGGGTTTTGTTCCTATAATCAGTAAAATAATCTGCTTTTTTGCTTTGAATTTGGCTTGTTTTATGAAGTACCTCACTGGATTTTGACAAGCTGTTTCTGAAAACAAGACAATATATTTTTTGTTTGTCTAAAAAATGTTTCTTGATTTAGGGTTTTTGAGATATTTGGGCTATAGAAACAGGTAAACACAATATAGAAACACTGTAAAAGGCCAGTCCTGTGTGTTGATCACTGTTCATATTCAGCAGCTGTGGCTCTGGATGGAAAGGATTGCAGCAGTTCTCCAGAAAACAGATGTGACTTCATTTGTGACTGCAAAGACTGCAGTGATGAGCAAGACTGTGGTAAGATACTCACCTTTTATTTATTTTGACCTTTTCGCATCTGATATTATTAACTGCACAATTCTGGATAAACTCCCTGTTGAAATAACAATAATAGAAAGCATAGATTTTTGCAATAGTTTCTATGATTATAGTGTAAATTAGAAGTCGACTATATGTTGTCCATTGGTAATTGGAATCAAAACAATATTCCTGTCGATATGTTATGAGATATGCTTGTCTCTCCTGACACATTTTTCCTGTTGTCTTTTGGGGGTTGAATGGAAGGTTATCTTGGGCCAAAGTTTGTGTGTGATTTTGAGCATGAGGGCAAATGTGGATGGACTGCAAAGCCAGCTGAAGGTGCGTACATGTGGCAGAGACAGAGGAGAGGAAAAACACTGCCGGACAGCGGCCCGTCCTCAGACTACACCACTGGAACCTCAACAGGTACATGTCCATTCAACTTAATCCATTCACAAATTTACTGGGGCAAATAAATAAATAAATAAATCTTAATTAAGATGGAAATTAGTTTTCGGTTTAGCAGATTTAGCTCCATACAAAAATGTGAATATATTAAGTGGAAAAAAGCTAGTTGAAGATTTTCAGTTTTTTATTTTTATTTTTTATAAAATTATGAAGGCAAATCTACAGTTGAGAATTGTTCTGAAGTTTGGGATCAGTAAGATTTTGTTAAAGAAATTATTGCTTTATTTGGGCAATGGTCAATTTAATTAATAAACTGTGACAGTAAAAACATTACAGTTTTACAAATAATTCTTTTTACAAAAACGGAATTCAAAAATGTATTACTATATAAAACTTAGAAATCTTTTATAAATCTTAAAATCTTATATATTTATATATATATATATATATATATATATATATATATATATATATATATATATATATATATATATATATATATATATATATATATATATTAGAGATTATTAAATTGCTGTGAAAGTGTTATTAATTTTTACTGTAAAGTGCCATGAAATGTTTTCATTTGTGTGTTTCAAGGCTGGTTTATGGCAGTGACGGCAGTGACTTCAGATGCACCCCAAACTGCAATTCTTGAGTCACCTACAATAAAACACTCCTCTCCGACCTGTCGCCTTCGCCTCAGATACTTCATCTGGGACTCAGGTACACCCACATACTTAAAACTGCTTTACGTATGGAGAAATTAAAACGAGGAGCAAAGATGTGCCATTAAGTGACTTATGAAATTGCATACTGCACATAGTCCCTGACAAAAAAAAAAAAAAGTGTTTTATGTAGTATGAATGGGGGTACCAGGGCTGCATCCGGAATCGCCTACTGCTCATTATGTACTATATTTTGAATTAGATTTTACTGCACGAACAGTAAAAAAGTGTGCTCTATAAAGTATGAATGTTAGTATGAATGGAGTTCAGATGTACTACATCTGCCAGTTGTCATTATCACGTGACCTAACCGCATCAATTGTGTCACTTCACTCCCATTCATTCATTCTCTTGCGTAGCATCATGAATCCATTTGATGCATACTTCAGAATCTCGCAGAAGGTAGTAGTCATCCGGGTACTTCTCGCATACTGTTTTTTTTTTTAATACTATGAACCTAAACAAAACAAAGCAAGAAATAAAACTAAATAAAACAAGATGTAAAATGAAACAAAACAAGAACTAAAACAAAATAATTAAATCAAATAATTATACTGACTTCAACTGTATGTAATTGTTAGAAATCATTCCTCAGACCAAGTCAGATGCCATTTTGGGTCATATGTTTTACACCCCTGCTGCAGTTGTTGCTTCAGCAATATTGTGTGTTTCAGGGCACACAGGTATGGGTGAGACTCCTCTGTGGGGCTCAGTGAGACAGACTGACGGTGAGCAGGCTGTGGTCTGGAGGCCCGAGAGCTCCAGCTTCAGAGGCTGGAGGGAGGACGTCATCTACCTGGGCAGAATAACAGGGCCTTTCAACATGCAGCTGCACTCCAGACGCAGTGAAGGGAAACAGGGAGACGTGGCCATCGATCAAATGGAGTTTCTGGATTGTGCCCTGCCAGGTAAAGGGAAATGGGGTAAAACATATTTTGTTTGTACATTTTCAGATGAGCCAAATGTGTTATTCATCAATTACGCATTTTAAAATTGGTGGTTCATTGAATTTTTTGTTTAATTGTTGTTTTTTTATTTACTATTATTTATATTTAAATAAACAAATTAATTAAAGCCCTGGCCTCCATAAATTTTGTGTGTTTTTTTTTTGTTTATTTTTTTATTTATTTTTTATTAAATTTCTTTTAATTATTTTGTTTTATTTGTTGTTTTGTTTAGTTTTATTTCTTTTTTGCTTGTTTGTTTTGTTAGTTTTGTTTTGTTTCATTTTGTTTTGTGTTGTTTCTTGTTATTTTGTTTCATTTAGTTTCTTTTGTTTTCTTTTGTTTTGTTTCATTTCATTCTGTTCTGTGTTATTTTGTTTCGTTTCCTTTTGTTTTGTTTTGTTGTGTTCTGTTTCGTTTCATTAGGTTTTGTTATGTTTCTTACTTTGTTTCGTGTTGTTTTGTTCTGTTTCGTTTTGTTTGGTTTTGTTGCAAACATTTAATGATAGAGGTATTTATAAAATTAAATACACTGAAAACTTGACAACCACTGGTAAAATGTACAATACCTATTTATTATTCATGACTATTTGTTCTAGCTTATCTAGGGAAATATTTTGTGTGAAATTTTTATTTAATGAAATTGAATATTACTTCATTTTAATAAAATTTTATTTTTAATTATAGTGCATTATTAAGTGTTGGTCTTGGCTTTGTAAATATATATATATATGTTTTTTTTTTTTTTTTTTTGCGTTGTAATTTTGATGATGATGTTTTGTTTTCTTTTGTTTTGTGTCGTGTTTCGTTTTGTTTTATGTTTTTTGTGTTTTTTTAATTGTTTTGTTTACTTTTGTTTTGTTCTGTTTCGTTTTATTTCGTTCTGTTCTGTTTTGTATTTTTTTGTTTTGATTCGTTTTGTTTTGTTTTGTTTCGTTTTGTTTTGTTGCAAACATCATTCAATGAAAGAGGTATTTATAAAATTTGAAAAATTTAAAACTTGTCAACCACTGGTAAAATGAATAATAACTATTTATTATTCATGACTATATTTGTTCTGTCTTATCTTGTGAAATATTTTTATTTAATCAAATTAAATATTATTTCATTTTAGTTTGATTTAATTTTTAATTATATTGTATTATTAAGTGTTGGTCTTGGCTTTTTAAATATTATTATCATTATCATTATTATTTTTTTTATTTTAAGTTGTAATGATGATGATTATGATGATTGGGTTCTCTTATTCATTCAGTCATTTTCTTTTTGGGCTTAGTCCCTTTAATAATCAGAAGTTGTCACAGCTTAATGAACCGCCAATTTATCCAGCATATGTTTTACACAGCAGATGCCCTTCCAACCACAACCCAGCACTGGGAAACACCCATACACTCTCACATTCAAACATACACTATGGACAATTTTAGCTTCTTTAATTCACCCATACTGCATGTCTTTGGACTGTGGGGGTAACTGGAGCACTCGGAGGAAACCCACGCAAACATAAGGAGAACATGCGAACTCCACACAGAAATGCCAACTGACCTAGCCGAGGCTCGAACCAGTGACTTCTTACTGTGAGAAGACAGTGCTACTCACTTAGCCACCATGCCGCACGGTGTCCTCTTATTTTTGTTTATTTATTTTATTTTATTTTTTCACTAAATCAGTCATTAGTGGCAGTCGTGCTTACACTGTAATTTATTAGTGTTCAGGGAGTTTGTCTCTCTCTTTCAGTTCCTCCTGAAAGCGGCAAATGCACTGCTGGTTTTGTGCAATGTAAACGGGATGGCTGTGTGGAGGAATATAAAGTGTGTGATGGCACAGATGACTGCGGTGACGGGACAGATGAGGAGAACTGTGGTAAGAGACAATGAATCATTCACTGCTGTTTTCTGGAGTCGTAATCAGTGTTATTTTGTTATGTTCAGAGCAGAACAACAGCTGTAACTTTGAGGATGGTCTTTGTTGGTGGGATCTACGTTCGATGGCATCACTGAAGTGGACATGGACCGATCAGATGAATATATCACTTTCTGAGCCTTTAAAAGGACCTGGTAGAGACCACTCTAGCAATAAAGCATCAGGTGTGTTTAGGTTCCAGTCTGATCTGGATTATTTTAAGTATTATTTTTATTTAGTTCGTTTTCTTTCTGTATTGTCTAGTAGTAGTTTCATGTTAAACACAAGCAGGTTGTAATTTTTTTTATTTATTCATTTATTTTTCTCTTTAATTGTTTTACATTGCTTGGAAATTGACAGAAATAAATGACATTTTTAATATATTTTGTATTTTATTAATGTATTTTTAAATTAAATTATTGTAGCCTAGTGTTTTTGTTTCAAAAGCATTAAAAAGAAAACCATTCTTAAGTTTTTAAGTGCTTACGTTTCTTTAAGTGGTGGTCCACTACAATAGCAAACACTCAAAAATTCGTTTTTTTGCTCGTTCAAACTAACTTAAAATCAGCTGAAACAACACAATTCTTGAGATTTCATTGGGACAACTTAATTTTTTAAGTTTTAAGTGTGTAATGTAGCTGTGTGCACATAAACAACATCTCTAAATGTAATACGTCCAAAGTTCAATGCAAAGGGAGCCATTAGCTTTTACAAAGTTAGCTTAGCAAAGCGTACAGCAAACGAATTTGGAGACAACAAAAAATACATCCGGGCTTGTGAAATCACTAACACTTCAAGTGCTTACAGTTTAATTTTAATTATGTTCCAGAGAATTATAAAAAAAAAAGATATAGGTATCATTTGACAAAGAACAGCTTTCAGAAGCTCTCAGTTCAATGTTGAATTCGGCTAAAAACTCCTCCAACTGACAAAGCTGTGGATTGTGAGCCACAACCTGTAAGTATTTTTATATGTTAAAATTGAGCAATTACATGCACAGTTTCCAACGTTAATGGTATGTTGTTGTGAGGACGAAAACGATGTAAATAAGGGGAAATGCTATTTGCCACCTTTAACAATTTAGCTACAAATTCATATTTAACAGTCAAACCGTTGTAACTAATGTTTACACTGCACAAAAGTGCGTGCAAGTAGGGGCGTGACGTGGTGACATGGAGCCGATCAGCGAATCACTGCAGATTATGTTAGCTAACCAATCAGAGCCTCTTGAGGGTGGGCCTTTCAGAGGAACTAGCAAATGTGACGGTTGTTTTCATGTTAGCTGAGTATCTATATATATTTAAAGTAAGATAAATGAAAAAAAGAATGTGATTTTCTTATAAACACAACCAAGCCTAAAAAATACACTGTGGACCACCCATTTAAATCATAATAATTAATCATAAATATTTTATTAGGCTTAAGAGTTCTAAAAATGTGAATAAAGGTGCATTTTCCTCAATCTATTCTAGTTATGCTAACTTTTGTTATTTCTGTAAAAAAAAAAAATTATTTAGTCTTTGTTTTAGTTGGTATCAGTGACATATATGTTCTTTCTCTTCAGGACGTTTCCTATATGTTACCAAGCCGAACTTCACTGCGAGTGATTGGACGACTTTTCAAAGCCCTCCTCTGGCACCAACTAATGAGACACATCCTTGTCGGGTAAGTAAATAGACCCTTTTCACAACAACAATCTCTTAACTTTCACCTTTCTGCAACGCAGTGTATTGTTAGTCCCTTTTACCTTTCAATAGGATACCTCTCAGGAAAATTCACAACAAACTGAAAATATTAACATTGCACTTTGTGATTTAAAGGAAATTTGAGCTGTTATTACATTGTAGCTGTTTTTGTTGCCTGTGCCTTTAATGCAAATAAGCTGGTTCTCCCCGCCCACCACTCCCACCTGCATGTCAGAGCCATAGAGATTGCTACTCACTATTGTTTGTATGGATGCGGCTTGCGGATGTGGTGATGAATTACATACCGATTTTACTCTTTTTTACAAACAGCCACTGTATTAAAAACATTTGTAAAACTCATTCAGGTGCTGATAAACACAGAGAGCTGAACTGATCTTTTAATCCCAGTTGCTTTGCGCACGTCCTGTCTTGTACATATGATTATATACGTTACTATGGAGACATGTTAATATGTGGCTGTTAGTCAGTTTGGTGAGCGGGGAAACCACACTTCTACATCACGTTGCCATCTGCCTCAAAATGGGAGGGATTTGGATCCTAGTTTTAACCTCAGTAAATTTCAAAAAAGAGACTTGTGTTTATATCACTCCAGTATGACTGTGGACACATTAGACCTACTGTACACACAGGTCTGTCCAAACAGCTTTTGAAAGTAGATTTTTCGAGACTACTAAATATTGATATTGTGTCCAAATGTTTTCACTTTCAATACTGAACTGCTTTCTGAGTTTGAAAATGATTACGTTTCCGAAAGTTGTTAGGAATAGGAGTAAGCTATTGTTTATTGAAGAAAGTATATATGTTTGCAAACTTTTCACTTGTTATTTCAGTTTGATATTCCCTTAATAATGAACCCATCCTCTGCTTAGTAATCCGTTTCATTCGCAAATATACTATATGCAGCTTCAGGTTCATGCAGGCTTTAAAATTGGCTGAAAATGCCTTGCAAAAAACTCTGCTGGCTCCTGATGATTTTGGCTCTCAAGGTTCCAGTAGTCATTGACTTTCATTCAGCTATTAAATCCTCTTTTAAAGGATAGTCCACACAAAAATGACAATTGTGTTATCATTTACTCATTTTTTACTTGTTTGTCTTTCTTCTGTTAAACACAAAAGAATATTTTTTGAAGAAAGCTGGAAACCTGTAACCATTGACTTCCACAGCATTTGAATTTTTTTTCTACTATGGAAGTCAATGGTTACAGGTTTTCAGTTTCTTCAAAATAACTACTTTTGTGTAAAACAGAAAAAAATTCAATAACGTTTGGAAACACTCAAGGGTGAGTAAATAGTAAGTTTTTCTCTTTGTGTGAACTATCTTTTTAAAGTGTTGAACCTACATGTTAGACTGATGGAGGATGGCTTGAGTAAATTAAAAGCAAATTGTCATTCTGGTGTAGCCATTTAATTTTTCCACCCAATGCTTTACACCTTGGTTGCAGATGGTCATGTACACACATCAGTTTGGCCGAGTGTCAGGTGGGCTGTCTGTGTTGGTGGCAGAGAGGCAGTTTTATCCTGTATGGAGGCGTGGAGGTGCTCTTGGGGACTTGTGGGTGAAAGCCGAGGTGGAGTTTGTCGTCAACAGCACGTTTCAGGTTTGTGAACTCATTACTTCTCTGACATCATCACTGTCATAAAACAGTCATTTATTGACCTTTCCCCGTTCAGATTCTGTTTGTTGCAGCCATTCGAGACCAACCGTATGGAGGGATTGCTGTTGATGATATTGTATTGTCCCCTGGGTGCATCTTATCTAATGGTATTATATCTGTTATACACAATTGCCTGTGTATTAACTGTGATTTTAATAAATGTTTAAATGAGAAACTTTTTTTCTTTTATTTTCATTTTCCTGTGTATAGAATCAATGCCACAAGCAGGTTATCCAAAGCCTCCGGATCACCCATGCACAAAGGACAGTTCGAAAATCTGTGACTTTCATGAGGACTGTACTAACGGAGAAGACGAGGATCAGTGTGGTCAGTTCAACCTGGTGAAATACATGTGCATGTTTAGTCTGTTTACATTCTAGTTTTGGTGTGTTCAAGTGTATGGGGAGAACTACACAAAATATTTCTAAAGGAGCTGTTGACATGAAATTTAAACCAGATTTTGGTAAAAACCCAAACAATACAAACATAAGAATAAAACAAAACAAAAAAAAGCCAGCTGTCTGGACTCTCGCTGTCTTTCTAGACCTTCCTTTCTTCATGTGTTTAATACTTTTTCACTGTGTCATTTCATTATTACAAAAGCAAAATGTTAGGCCTTAAAAAGTCTTAAATTCACTAAAATTTAGTGTTGTAGGTCTTAATCATCAATCAACGGGTCTTAATTTTCCTGTGTCTAAGTAAAGCTACTCTATAAGGCTGATACCCAATCACCAATAATCGATCTTAAAACTTTTTGTTTGTATTTAAGTTTTTTTAATGCAAAAAGATTCACAACATTTTTACAACAAAATCTCAAAATTAAATTCCCTAATCAGAGAAGGAAAACTAAAGCAACACATCCCTTTACATGATCTTTCATTAATACAAAAACTATTTACAGAAGTAACTGGGCCATTAGAAAAACCCCTTAATGTTTAGCCGTGTGTAAGTCTAAAATTTCATTCATAATGGTCTTAAAAGGGTCTTAAATTTGACTTGAAGAAACCAGCAGAAACCCTGTACACATAACTTAATTCATAAGCTAATTAGTTTTTTTTTCTGTGCACATATGGATTTCTTTGGTTGTTATCAACATCTGGTGAAAATTCAACAGCACCTTTCGAAATATGTTTTCTGAAAAAAATGGTGACGTGTTCAATACTTATTTCCCCCACTGTATGTGTTTTACTATTTATGAGTCAGTTTAGTTTCACCTTTGAGATGTTTTGCACTTTTAAATTGAAGCCTGTTTTAGCCATAGACTAAAAAAAGTAAAGAAGGTAATTGCGTTATTTTTTTGTAGTGTAGTTCTGACTTTTTCTTGTTTTATGTCTTACAGTCATTCATTTTCCTTCAGCTTAGTCCCTTTATTAATCTGGGGTCACGACAGCAGAGTAAACAGCCAACTTATGAAGCATATGTTTTACACAGCGGATGTCCTTCTAGCTGGAAGCCAGTACTGGGAAATATATATACTCCATACACACTCATTCATACACATCCACTCATACACTATGGCCCATTTAGCGTATTCAATTCACCTTTTTTGTTTTTACCTGAAGATGTTTTTACTTTTTTGTCTCACAAATCTGACTTTTTTATTTCCTCAAGAATTTGTTTAGCAGTTTTGAGTTACAAAAAAGGCATTACAACAAATGTACTTTATTCTGGTAATGCTGTTCATAATTTACAGTATAAAGTAGTTCATAATTCCTGACTGCAAATTCTGAGAATTGTTTATTTTACCTGAGCTAATTAGCTAACAATTGCAAGAAAGTTCTGGGGGAAAAAGGCAGAATTGTTAACTGTAAAGTCAGAATCAAAGAATAAATCAGTACTCAATTCAGGATTGTATATAAAATCAGAAAAAAATCTGAAATTATTTTATATTTGAAAGTTAATATCTTGCAATTCTGTAAAGACTAATGGGGAAAAGTTGCAATTATCTATAGACATGTCTTGGTGTATATGTGTGTATATATGGCTAATGGTATTGCTGTGTACATAGGAGACTTCTCATATGCGAAGGGAAGCTCTGGCTGGACGGATACCAGTATAGGGAGCCAAGCCTGGGAGCTAAAAGTGGTGAATACCATAAGTAAAGGTGAAAAGACAGTTCTGATTCTCATGGATAAATGGAAATGATTCATTACGTAATTTAATAAACTTTGTGTTCTCTCTCTCTCTCTCTTTCTCTCTCTCTCTCTGTCTCTCTCTCTCTCTCTCTGCCTGTCTGTCTGTCTGTCTGTCATTAGAGGAATTCCTGTTTGTGACTGGTGCTCCTGGCCAGCAACTAAGTGAAGCCCAGACTCGAACCCCCCTCTTGGGTCCGTCAGGTCCAGTGTGCACCCTGCAGTTCTCCTACAGCCTCACTGGCACTAACCCACATATAGGTACAGTATCATTCATAACACACCTGTAATATACCTGTCTTAGTCAGCATGATGTTAGACTAGATTGTCATTTTGCAGGTGAACTGGCAGTGTATGTAGTAGACAGTGTGATGGGGACCCAACCTGTGCTGTGGGACTTTGCTGGAAGGACCAATGAGACGACAGGAACCTGGCAGAAAGAGGAGGTCTATGTTGGTGCAAGAGATCATCGCTTTCAGGTAGAGTATCTGTCTGTCCATCCCACCAACCAAAATTAGAGAACAACTTACATTTTCCACAAAAGCCAATTTCCAAAAATAAAAAAAAATCTGTTATAATATACTCTAACTTCACTTGTTTCAACCTGTTTGAGTTTCTTTCATCTGTTAAAATAAAAGATATTTTGAAGAAAGGAAACCTTGAAAACTGGAAACCTGTAACCATTGACTTCCATAGTATTTGTTTTAGCTACTATGGAAGTAAATGGTTACAGGTTTTTAGCTTTCTTTGGAATATCTTCCTTTGTGTTCAACAGAAGAAAGTATCTCATAAAATGGTATACTTACTTAAGTAAATGAAGTATTATTAAGTAAATTGTGAGTAAACTCTCACTTTTGGGTGAACCACCCCTTTAATTTCAAGGTTGCTGCATAGTCTTGTTTGAAGTCATCATCACAGTTTTCAAGCACAAATATAAATTTATAAATTAAAAAAAAAGAGAAAAAAAAATATATATAAATGTGCACAGTTTTAAGAGGTAAATATATTCTAAGGCACAGTTATAAAATCTTAAATGAGATACTTGAAAAACAACACTGATCAAAATTTAAGAACACTTTCAAATACTCTCAGTTATTGGTTTTAATCTGACATCTAGTGATAATTTTCATAATTATCTTTCAAAACCTTTTTCACTGGCATCCAAACCTTCTAGTTTTCACTGACTTTGTAAGATAGTGAGTCATTCTAATGTGAATAAAACCCATAGACAGCAGGTTGTCCATATGGAAGCCAAAGGAATGAGCCTTTCAGGTGAATTTGAAAGACTGAAAACTTCTTTAGTCACCAAACCTGTCATCAGGAGAAAAGTCAAAAATACAAGACTAATGTTTGCTGAGAAGATGGAAGTGTTATGAAAGTGTGATCAAAAGTTTTTTTTTAATTTTGCTCTGAAAGAAATTATGACTGTCACACTGGGTAAAGACTGAGCTCAAAGTTCTGCAGAAGTCAGCGAAAGGGGGAAGCATCTTGGTTTTGGATATTTTCTGAAACAGGAGTTGAATCTCTTTCAAAGCTACAAGCTTGTTTGCCAACGCAAGGTTATTTAAATTGGTTAAAAAGGATAGTTCACACATAAATCAAAATTTCCAGTTAATTTACTCACCCACATGCCAACCAAGATGTTGGTGACTTTTTTTTCTTCTTTCAAAAGAAGATTTTTAGCTGACTACGTGGACTTTGGGGATACCTATAATGGTAGTAAATGGTGACAGGTTTTTTAGATAAAAAATAAACAAATACAAACTAGTCCTAATCAATAGCCCTGTCTATTGATGACACACTGAGGTCTTGTAATGCGAAACGATCAGTTCCTGTAAGATATTAAAAATTATTGACAATATTATTAGCTTTAATCTATGGCCTGGTCAAACAGTTCTCAGCGCAGATTCAGCTAAAAAAATCTTGTTTAGTGATCTACTGAAGAAGAAAAAAACCCAGCCTGATCTCACGAGGAAACGTGAGTAATTTACGTTTTTCAGTTTAGTGGCTAATTCGTACGAATTCGTTCGAGTTCAGTCGCACGAAAATGTACGATTTTAAAAAGGAGGCGTGCCACCCAACCCCGCCCCTAACCCCAACGTCATTGGGTGATGAGCAAATTGTACTAAATTGTACGAATTAGATCATATGAATTCATACGAATTAGCCACTAAATCAAAAAGTTACGAATTGCTGTGAGAATGCATTGAGTGAGTTTTTTAATGAGAATTTGCATTATCGGTGAATAAATTAACAGAAAAACTTTATTTTTTTCTGTGGTCTATCCCTTTAAGCAGTTCCTTAAATCTGAAACAAAATTGAAGAAATACCATGGCCAGTCCAGAGTCCTGAACTAAACCTGAATGAAATTCTGTGGAAAATCAATCCTTTAAAAAATTATGGCATTTAAGCAATGAAAATTACATAATTCCTAAAAAAAAAAAAAAGTGTTTATAAGTTATGTTAATATTGATCTCCACTGTATCATTTTATCTAGCTGGCTATCTGTCTATAGTTTTATCATTCTTGTTTTGATCATTGTGTATTTCTCAGTTAGAGTTCAGGGCCCGTGCTAAAGATCTCTCCTCAAGCGCTCTGATTGCAGTGAAGGATGTGCACTTTGTTGACTGTTCTCCAATGTTTATCCCCTCTGGTGGTAAGTCAAAACAAGTAATCGCATCATTTTGCATGCTTGATTTATTTATTTTTTTGTCTTGTCTATTTGGTTTGTTTTATTATTCTCTCTTCTATTGTTTCCACTGTTACAGATATATCATGTAATTTTGAGGTCAACATGTGTGGATGGTACCAGGACCAAACAGATAATTATAACTGGAAGCTTCATAGTGGAATGGACCACACTGTCCATGATGGTCAGGATACTTCTGATGATGAATGTCATTATGATTTAGCAGCATTATTATACAACTGTCATTTAATTTTTCAGGCAGGAGTCTGGTTGTGGATATGTGGGACCCTTCACTGCGAGGTCTTTCTGGACGTCTCCTCTCAATCAGACAGACAAGTAAAACTGAGCACTGTCTGTCCTTCTTCTACAAACTCTATGGGCCAAACACAGGTGGATCTGAATACTACATTTCCAGATTTGTTAAATATGAACAACCAGAAAGGGGAAGAGTAGCAATGTTTCCATCCAAAGATTCAAATTAAACTTATGCACAAAACTGGACCTCCTACTCAGTTGTGTGCATAATAAAAAAGATTATTTCAAAATGCTTGTGCATCTTGGCATTTCCCTGAAGCATTTTTTCTTGCAACATTTCAAAATTTAGATGATAAATAAATAGATGGAAACATGGAAAGTGACAAGCTTGTGCTGTGAAACTTATTGAAATATTCTATTTGATGATAATTCCTTTGTTTCAAGGCGCTCTCAGTGTGAAGCTGCTGTTTGCTGATGGTTCAGAAGAGCTGTTGTGGATGCGTAGTGGTGCCCATGGTAACGTCTGGCATGAGGGCCATTGCCCTGTGCCTCCTCAGCTCTCTGCCTTCCAGGTGCACACTGAAGTTGTTTACATGACTAAAGCTGTAATTGTCAGCAAAAGCTCCGGCAAAACACATAATGACTCTATAAATGGCCATCATAATAAAGCAGCCTTCAACACCCCCGTAGTATACTACTGAATAAACTCATGCTTTTAAAAAACTTGAAAAAGATTTGTTAATATTACTTGGATAATTAGATTAACATTAAATTAATTAGTTATCCTCTTTTTTTTAAACTGTCATTCATTTTGTTTCTTGTGTAGCTAGTGTTTGAAGCCACTCGTTCTGGTTTTGACGGTCAGTTGGCTTTGGATGATGTGGCCTTTGTGGAAGGACAGTGTTCTTTGCCCACTATGTGCTCATTTGAGAGTCAGACCTGTGGCTACACCAGTTCTGGAAGAGCCAGGTGGGTCCATCAGAACTGGGCATCCTCCAAAAATGGACCCACGACCGACCACAGCCTGGAGACAGAAAATGGTGAGAGAAATTTGGAAAAGAAAGAAACTTAATCTCAGCTTTGCCAAACCACCATCTTATCCATCCATCCATCCATCTGTCTGTTTATCTGTTCGTCTATCTTTCCATCCATTTGTCCATCTGTCTGTTGGGTCTATCTATCCATCATAATCCGTCTGTGTTTCTCTATCTATCTATCTATCTATCTATCTATCTATCTATCTATCTATCTATCTATCTATCTATCTATCTATCTATCTATCTATCTATCTATCTATCTATCTATCTATCTATCTATCTATCTATCTATCTATCTATCTATCTATCTATCTATCCATCCATCCATCCATCCATCCATCCATCCATCCATCCATCCATCCATCCATCCATCCATCCATCCATCCATCCATCCATCCATCCATCCATCCATCCATCCATCCATCCATCCATCCATCCATCTATCTATCTATCTATCTATCTATCTATCTATCTATCTATCTATCTATCCATCCATCCATCCATCTATCTGTCATTCTATTTGTCGTTTAATCTATTTTTCTGTCTATCTATATCATTGTCTATCTATATTGTTCTGTCTATCATTCTATCTATCAGTCTATCTGTCTATCTATATTATTCTGACTATCGTTCGGTCTGTCATTTTATCAAGTATTCTATCTATCTGTCCATTCATCCATCTAACTATGCATCGATCTATCTTTCTTCCCCCTTTTACCATTTTAGTCAACAGCATAATCAACCAAACCTGTTTTACCTTGTCTCCATGTTTCATTTAAACTATGCTTTATTCAAATGAATGATACAGAGTGTGTTATGGCCAGGTTTCTACATGCTGGCCCATAGCAGTGTGGATATCCTTCCCGAGGGCAGCGTGACCACCTTAACCTCCCCTGTGCGAAAAGGCTTGTCTCACACTGAATGCGTTCACTTCTGGTACCATACAGGAGGAGACAAACCAGGTGACAGAAGATGATCTGGTAATGGTGACCACAGCTATTCATTCTCAAGTCAAATAACTGATGTGTATCCCAATTCAGGCACACTAAGCGTTTATGTGAAGCCTTCTAATGGAGACAGAATACTGTTATTCTCTAGTAGTGTCACCCAGGGACAAGCCTGGCGACATGCGCAAGGAAATGTTGAAAGTCATGGAGACTGGCAGGTAAGTGATCTGCTGCCTTGGCTCTGTAAATGAGTTGCTGTGGTAACACTACTAGTTTGCTTGTTGTTGTTTTTTTCACATGTAATTTTTTAGATTTGGGATTTCTAATGTAATGAAAACATACGAAAATACACTTTCAAGTGTTTCTTCTGCTGCACTTTATCAGTTCCATTTGAAGATTTCACTTACATAATTTTTTCAAACATACTTTTTTCTCCTTAACAGTGCCATTTTTATTAGTTTACAATTTTTCTCAATTGCTTTGGCACATTTTTCGAAACAGTCGTAACATTCTCTAAACTGTGAGTGCTAATCTTAAAACTGTTTGCTGGGACTTCATAACTTAATTGAATGTCTGCAAAATGTAGTTACTCACCCAAAACATTTTATTCATGCTTCAAAACCTAGTTATTGTGTCAGTAATTTGGCTAAGGCCACCAAAACACAAAGTGTATTTATCATTGTGTGAGCTACACTGCTCAAAATAATTAGTATTCTATTACCCTATGACAGTCAACCATGAAAATTAAGGTTTAAAATAATCTAAAGAAGTTTATTATGTTAACAGGAGTCAATAGTACATAGAAAAAAAAATTAAATGAATATTTGTATTTATACAGGACATTTATTTGTGTACAAAAGTATTACATGCACTGTGCAATCTTGATTGTCTAATTACTGTATTGTATATTTCATATTGTTACCACAAATACACAAACATTCTACAAAATATCATCCATTAAAAAAAATATTGGATTGTGATTGTGATGTGGGCAATATATATACACACACACACAACTAGAGGTCATTTACCAATTTAGCACAAACAATATCAACATCAGATATTTATGGTTCAAATGCAAATATTTGATAATTGAATAAACAGTTTTGAGTGTGATGGCTTACACGATTAAAATAATGGAGAAGTTGTAAAGAGTTTGACCGTTTAAATGAGAATTGACTCATTCATTTTGATCACATGGAATTAATTTTTGTCTAAACTGCAGACTATTGTACTTAATGTTTGCACACCCATGACAAAGCATTTGCAATTTGCTTAAATCAACAAGAAATTCCACTCTCAAGTGAACAATAAGCTAACTGTTCAGAGATCTGGACTTGTTTTGAAAAAGAAAAAGAAAAAATTCAGAATTGAGCCAAAGCAAATAAAAAAAACTATAAAGGGTCACGAAACCTTCCTCTTTCAGTTCAAGTCTACCTCAAAATTTTGTCCATGCATCTTCACATACCTATCATTGTACTTTGTAGAAAATGGTTGGTTGGTCTTCCCTAAATAGAAAAACGGATATGCTTCAATTCACCACTAGAATCGGCATCTTATATTTGTAACCTTTTATCATATTATACTTGTAGCTATAGTACACAAAATTCTTATAAATTACATTTAATTGTTTCTAAAGTATGTACAGAAATTTGGTAAAACACTGTTCTCTTCTTTTGGCCCTACATTATGGCATGAAATGCGGAGTGATATCATGTTAGAAACAATTCCATCTCTAAATATTTTTAAAAAAAAATCTTTTGAAGTCTTACCTGAAAGAGTCATGTGAGTGTTTTGTTTAAATTTTAATTTGTGATATTTTATTTGTGTCTAATTTTCTATCTGAAACGTTTTGTTCTGCCATTTTGGCCAGGACCCCCTTGTAGAAGAGATGCATATCTTAATGGCAAATTCCTGGTAAAATAATAACACATAAATAAATCAAAAATAAAATCTCTGCACCGGCAGATAGCGATACGTTACTGATTTTGATCCTGCCCTAATAATGATTTTAAACCCAAAGGATGAAATTAGCTTACAAAAGATCAAAATTATCCAGTTTTCCCCACAATTAAAGCTGATAGGTGCTTACGTTAACTGATGCTCAACATACAAATCTGTTAAAATCTTTAAAAAAAAGAGTACTTGATGGTTTCTTGAATCTTTAACTGCTCTCTAAAACTTTTATAGCCTTATTATATACAACATTTTATTCTATATTGTGAAATTGTAATAATATTTATTTTCTCTCTGTTTGCAATATTTTATAATTATGTGACAAAAAGAGATACCCAAAATCAACTCTGTAAAATCATGTAAAGTAAAAAAAATCAATCAATAATTTTAAACATGACTTCATCCAGCGCTGGAAATGTGTTAAAATAAGTGCATATTTAATTAAATAATGCAAAAAAATCAAACAATAAGTTTAAACATGACTTCATCCAGTGCTGGAAATGTGTTAAAATAAGTGCATATTTAATTAAATAATGCCTAATTTGCATATTTAAATATAACATTTATTAAAAAATTGTATATTTATATATTGTTTTACAAAATAATTCTATGTAATCAACAGTATGGTGATTTTTCTTATTTTTAACTTATTCACCTGCAGTCTTTAGCCTTAATGCATGGTCTTGATGTGTCTAAATGCTTTATATATTTTTATGACTCAGCTGCAGTTTGAGGTGAAAGGAGGAGGAGGAGGCAGTTCAAGTTTTATTGCCATTGATGATGTCACCTACTCCACCCACAGCTGCCCTCCAAAAGGTTTGTAAAATTCATTCATTCATTCATTTTCCTTCAGCTTAGTCCCTTTATTTATCAGGGGTCGCCACAGCGGATGTACTGGGAAACATCCATACACTCTCACATTCACACACACACTACAGCCAATTTAGTTTATTCAATTCACCCATAGCGCATGTCTTTGTGCTGTGGGGGAAACCGGAGCACCTGGAGGAAACCCATACCACCATGAGGAGAACATGCAAACTCCACACAGAAATGCCAACTGACCCAGACGGGAATCGAACCAGCAACCTATGAGGCGACAGTGCTAATCACTGAGCCACTGTGCTGCCCTGTTTGTAAAATTACCATTACAATCTCTTGCCCGAAAATGGCTTTCCTTTTTGCATGACTTTCTGCTAATTTGAGCTTATGTGTGTTTCAGACAGCGTTTGCGATTTTGAGAATGGTTTGTGTAGTTGGTCCAACACTCAAAATCCATCCCTAGACTGGTTAGATTGGGATGTGACCAGTGCGCAAACTGAGATGTTCTACAACACACCACCATACGACCGAACATCAAACACAGAAGGTAATGAATGCACTTTCATTTATTCATACATGATATTTGTAGCTAAGTAGTATGGAATGTAAAACCTCACTGTTGTTTTGTGGATAATATTAAGCCATAATTAAGTAACTTTTATGATTCTAGGACATTTCCTGGTGCTTCCTAATTCGGATCGGGACACTGCTACCCATAATGCTTTGTTGCTGAGCCCGCATCTGTCATCAACCAAAGGAACCTGTCTGAGCTTTTGGGTCTATCAGCCAACCATACGTATGATGCATCTCTATCATCAAATTGACATTTTTTTATTTATTTAGTTACTTAGTTTTTAGTTAACATGCATTACCGTTAACAGATTTGGGTTCAGTATGTTTTTTTTTATTTACTAATTTTATTAAAGTGTCATATATATTTATAGTTGAAGTCAGAATTATTACCCCCAATTCCTGTTTAACGGAGATAAGATTTTTTAACACATTTCTAAACATAATAGTTTTAATAACTCATTTCTAATAACTGATTTGTTTTATCTTTGCCATGATGACAGTAAAATATATTTTACTAGATATTTTTCAAGACATTTCTATACAGCTTAAAGTGACATTTAAAGGCTTAACTAGGTTAATTAGGTTTACTAGGCAGGTTAGGGTGATTAGGAAAGTTATTGTATGACAATGGTTTGTTTTGTAGACTATTGAAAAAAGAAATAGCTTAAAGCAGCTAATAATTTTGACCTTAAAATGTTTTTAAAAACATTTAAAACTGCTTTTATTCTAACCAAAATAATACAAGTAAGACTTAATCCAGAAGAAAAAAATATTATCAGGCATACTGTGAACATTTCTTTGCTCTGTTAAACATCATTTGGGAAATATTTAAAAAAGAAAAAAAAATCAATGGGTGGCTAATAATTCTGACCTCAATATACATATAGATGTAGCGGTAAAAGTTGATTCCTCATGATTCTTTCTCTTATGATTCTGATTATTAAATGCACTACAGAATGTTACGTTTACACACATCCACAAATTAAATGTAAATGCATCAGCTTTTTACAACGTAATACTGACTACTCTATGGTACCTTTTAAAAGGTCTAACAACAGACTTTTATTACTTGCACTACATTTTTAGGCAAGTAATGCTACTTTTTTAAGTTTGATTTTCAGTTCTCTTTCCACCACTGATAATAATAAGTGTTTCCAGAGCACTTCACCGTCAGCATATTAGATTGCGATCATGTAACTCTGAATCGTATTTAAAATATCCAAGTATTAATACTGCTTTCTTTGGGATCCTCTACAATGATATACGTGTACAGATCTGGTTTACTGGTTTAAAATTACATAAGTCAGCAAAAAAAGACAAAACTAAAACTATTTTAGCAAAGTAATTTGAAGATTATTTGTCAAAAAACAAGTAATGTGTTATCATAAAACAAAATTTAATTGTAATTAATAGGATAGATTGAGGTGGGCAAGACAATGTTCAATTTAGCTAAATTTGGTTTAAGTTGTAATTATTATATAAAAGGGTTATTTTTCTTATTCTAGAGATATTAAGTGACCACATTCTTATGCTAGTGAATAAATACATTTAATAAACCTATTTTGTAAAAATGCAACAAAATACACAGTATATTCACTGGGAAATGGACGAATATTTTCAAACTGAGTTTACTCATTTATGCAATGATTAATATATAAATGATAATGACTATTGTTTATTTTTGCTTTCTACTAAAGATGACACCAAACTCACAGTTTGGAGGCGGTCTGAAGAGACCAAACAAGAGTTGCTAACTCTAAATGAGGGTGATCGAAACTGGAAGTACTTTAGTGTCGATATCACCTCAGAAAGCGAGTACCAGGTGACCAAACCTTATTCTGCATTCCTCTGCATGAGATTGAGAATGTGTAATCATGCTAACTATGTGTGTTTCATTGAGAGGCAGATTGTACTAGAAGGTTTTAAAGGAGAGAAAGGAGTTCTTGCCTTGGATGATCTACGCTATACAGTAGGAGTGAACTGTGCTGGACAAAAGACTGACCAAAGTAAGTTTTTTTTTTTGTCTTTATGTCATACAAATTGCATTATTAAAATTCTACACTGTAAAAAAATGTTAATGTCAATTGTTAAAAAAGCTAAAAATTATATGGTAAAAATTTGTAACCTAATTCAGTGGTTCCCAAACTTATAAAATAACAATGCAGTGATACGCGACCCCCTATATCCTCTGAGGTGGTCATAAATATAGAAACCTTGCATGCAATGGCACACGCACACACCAATAGGCCCAAATCTATTATTTTGTTTACATTTCTTTAATGTATGCGAGTGCTGTAAATGTGCCAGAAAGTTTAACCTGCTGCCATAAAATCAATCTGCTGCATCTGACACTATTGCTGTGTCTTTAATATCATGAAATCACAATTATCGAAAGGCTGTAACTGTAAACTACTATTTTTATCTGCAGTAGGTTATGTATAAAATATGTTAATTCTAATAGTTCAATAAAATTAATTAGATTATGTATCCCCCCACCCCCCTCCTTTTTAAAGGCTCCCGCCCCCCTCTTTGTGAACCATTGACCTATTTAACAGTTTTCTTAATATATAAAGTAAATAACAGTAAAAATTCACTTTTCAAGAATTCCCTGCATGACACTTCACATTTTCTGCTTTTGTTGACATTACTATGGTTTCTTGAGTTTTATGTTACTTCTAATGTTAATAAATAATGTTTGTTGCTTTAAATTTATGTGTGTTATCATGATGGTGTTTAAAAGATGTTTGAATAACACCGAGCACCATCTATACATATTAGTATGCTTCTTCTCTGCTTGTAGGAAAAGTTGATTGTGATGAGCTTTGGTTCATCATATAACTTTCTCATCTGCAGTTGAATGAATCCCTACATTTTACAGATTTATTATTACTATTTACAGTGTACCTATAGATTTGTGTGTGTGTGCATTTAAATGAATGAGTGATTGTTTTTTTTTTTTTTTTTTACTAATTTTAATAAAATGTCATATATATAGTTGAAGTCAGAATTATTACCCCCAATTCCTGTTTAACGGAGAGAAGATTTTTCCCACACATTTCTAAACATAATAGTTTTAATAACTCATTTCTAATAACTGATTTGTTTTATCTTTGCCATGATGACAGTAAAATATATTTGACTAGATATTTTTCAAGACACTTCTATGCAGCTTAAAGTGACATTTAAAGGCTTAACTAGGTTAATTAGGTTTACTAGGCAGGTTGGGGTAATTAGGTAAGTTATTGTATAACGATAGTTTGTTTTGTAGACTATTGAAAAAAGAAATAGCGTAAAGCAGCTAATAATTTTGACCTTAAAATGTTTTTTTTTAAATTAAAAACTGCTTTTATTCTAACCAAAATAAAACAAATAAGACTTTCTTCAGAAGAAAAAATAATATCAGGCACACTGTGAACATTTCCTTGCTCTGTTACAGTTCTTCTTGTTTGCCTTGATGCAGCCGTCAACTGAAATTCCACATTTTCAAAACAGTTAACACACAGGCCTAAACAGCGGCACTCATGGTCAAAATGAAACATTATGCTTCCAAAATTTACCCCCCTTATATTTTCAGGCTCATCATCATCTGCCAACACGGGAACCATTGTGGCCTCTATTGTGGTCGTCATTGTGCTTTTAGTGATTCTCGCTGTCTTGCTGGTGCTCTACCGAAAGAATAAACAAAGTTCCATAATGCAGTCCTCAGGCGGATCTCATGTAAGCTGCTCTGGCTTTGGAAATGACATGTATGATTCTGGAGATACTGTAAGTTACATGATTGGATCTGTTCTTATATTAGCTTAAAGTGGCTATATGTTGAGTTTTGAAGCACTTGCTGTTATCAGTAAGCTGTTAAGAGCTCTTTTTAAATAAATAGGCCATACATAAAATACACTTTCTACCTGTTCAAGTAAAAACACATCACATTGTCATTCCAAATTGTCAATAGTACAAATTATTGATTTTTCTTTTACACCCAAACTCAATTGAATATTAAGTAACGATTGTGTTCTATGAAGACATGTTAATTTCCGACTGTAAATATGTTGAAACTCAATTTCTGATCAAATGTGCATTGCTGAGCACTTCATTTGAAACCAAGGAAGTCAGAGAATATTTTTTTTATTATTCAAATTTGTTAAGGCAAAAGAAATTGTAGTTTAAAATTAAAATAAACATTTGCACATAAATTCTTACATATAGCCACTTTAAAGGAATATTCACACACATGAAAACAATTTACTTTTGATAATGTGTTTTGCTGTGATCTCTAATATACTGTGCTATAATATTTAAATATCTTTTTTGCATGTTTTCAGGCACCTCTGGAGGAGGTGAGTGAGAGTACAGGAGCATAGGAGGATATTTTGGTGACCTTCAAGCAAAACAGTGGACATTACAGCAGGAGAACTGATTGTAAAAGACTGTAGAAGAACTAGAATCTACATCAGGGGTGTCCAAACTCTGTCCTGGAGGGCCGGTGTCCTACTGAGTTTAGCTCCAACTTGCTTCAACACACGTACCTGCCAGGAAGTTGCTAGTCTATCTAGTAAGAGCTTGATTAGCTGGTTCAGGTGTGTTTGATCAGGGTTGGAGCTTAACTCTTCAGGACACCGGCCCTTCAGGACAGAGTTTGGACACCCCTGGATTACATCATTCCCTAACCCTAACCTCAACCTCAGAAGCATTCCAATACACTATTGGCAGTAGAATCTGATGGGTAGGATAAACCGTTAGGATGCCTTTCGTAACACAAGACAAACAAGCCAAAGTGCCAACACTGATGCTAAGCAAAACAAGGTTTTATATATTAGGGTAAATATAAAACAACTTATTTTACTTACTATGGTTTGACTATGGTCATTGGTTTGTATGCAATACATTTGAAGGATTTTGTGGTTTATGGTCTTTGATTTAATAGATTCTGTATTTGACAGAACAGCAGTGGTTCTAAAAGAATCTACTGATTTAATACAATAGTTCTTGTTATAAGAAAATTAAAATAAAAAAAGATTAAGTTCCAGTTTTTGATGATTAAGAGGTTTCTAAATTAAACACTTAAGTGTTGTTCCATTGATTAAGTATGTGCCAGTTCTGTTCCTTTTCTCATTAAATGTAAATTAAATTGAGATTATTTTTATAAAAAGTTTTAGAACAATTTAAACATGTAGAACTTGTACACATTCTTTCTGATTTTAAATATTATAAAAATATGTACACTAAAGCAGTTTGAACTTTGAGGTTTACACACAAACCTTTTGTGTTTTTTAAGTTTTCAAGTTTATTTCAGCTGTAACAATAGGCCTATAGTAATATATCAAAGTTACTCAAATAAAAACATTCAAAAGTTATGAAATGAACTTGTAATTCCAGAGTGGAATTTATTTCTATATTAATTGTTTCCATTTATTTATTAGCCAGATTGTTTTTATACATTCTGAAATTAATATTTAGCATTAGAATGTTTTGGCATTAAAATGTATGTGTGGTCACATTTAAGGGCAAAGTCACTGTTTAACTTTAAGTAAACAATACATGTATTTTTTCATATATTTCAACGACAGCCCATATGCTGGTAAAGGTATGTTTTAATGCTGGTCTTGCTTGTTTTAATGCTGGTCCTGCTGGTTTCAATGTTGATTTTACTGGTCTTGCTGTTTATGGTTATGGTCTAAATGGTGGTCTTGTTGGTCTCACTGTTGGTTCTGACCACCACTGAGACCAGTATTGAAACCTGCAAAAACAGCATCAAAACCATGTAGAAGACCAGCGTCAAAACATACCCAGCCAGTATGCTGTGTTTTCAAATTTAATTCAGCTGTAACAATATAGGCTATAGTAATATACTGAAAATTATTACTAAAAATATGTTTTCAAAGTATATGAAATGAACTTGTAATTCCTAAGTGAAATTTATTTCTACACTTCAGTTTATTCATTAGATTGTTTGTTTTTATACGTTCTGGAAAAAAATCATTAGCATTAGAATGTTTAAGCATTAGCAATAAAAATGTTCGTTGTTTAATGTTTACGTGTGGTCACATTTATATGACTTTGCATACAAAGTCACCTTTTAATCTTTATGTAAATAATACATGTGTATTTTGTATTTTTCCCATATTTCAACGACAGCCCATATTTTCTTTAACAACTGCAGACAACCCCAAAACCGAATTACCGCGTCTCTTAGCAACGGCACTATCTCCACGGCAACATCATCCTGATCCGTCTGTCGAAAAGCTCAATAGGATAATTCAAGCCACAAAATCCTCACGCTGCGTCAACAGTGAAAAATTAGAAGCTTTTCTGTCAGAATTAAATCTTAGATAACAGAACCTCTGCAGTGGAGTAAAATATCGCAGCTTGTGAATCATTTCTGAGACGTGAGACATGAGAAGTGACTCGTGGAGGGCTGATAGACACGCGCGGAAGTGAACTACAGTACAATGACAGAGTAATGTCGTAGCGACATCCATTACCTCTTATCTGTGCAAACTGCATTGCTGAGCTAAAAGCTGGCCAGCGAATGCTTGCGCCTACCGCCAGGATGGACCCCGGTGTGCTCATATTTTTACTGTACGTGATGATCGCACACGAGCTGGTGTGTGGACTGATGCAGTACAGGAGACAAGCAGCCAAGCCTCATAAACGCCTAATGTGGTGCTCCAGGTAACTGTTTTGCTTTGTGTATGCAAGTTTGCCAAAAAGGACTCCCAAGTCAGTGTACTGAATGCTTATCTCGTAGTGAGACGATGCTTTATGAAACAGTCATCATAACTCAAATTTCAAATAAAACTATCTGATCAGTAACTTTTCATTAAATAGTAAATGTCAAAACACCATTAAAACGCAATTTATAAGAACGTGATAATTTACCTATTTTGGAGATAATAAAGTTTAATGGTTGCTTAAACACATTCCCAATTTGGTTTTATTGTCTAGTGGTATATATATATATATATATATATATATATATATATATATATATATATATATATATATATATATATATATATATATATATATATATATATTTTTTTTTTATCTATATGTTTTCTATTTTACTGATTATGTATCTCTTACAAGGTCAAAATGGACTGAAATATGAGTAAAGATGCACTGATCACAGATTATTCTGAGTGAAATCTCACAGTATCAACAAGATGGCATGTTGATTTTAATTTAAAAACTTTATAAAAGTTTGAACTGATCTTATGAACTAAAGAACCTACTTAATGCAAAAACGCAATAATTGTAAGCTAATTATATAGACTTATATTCACGATCTTACATAAATCAGCATGCCAAAAATAAATGATTTCCATTTTCTTCTCATAGCAAATAAACATAAAAATAAAAATAATAGGCTAAATGACAAAATGGGATTTAATTGCCAAACAAGTGAAATACATATGTTTTAAATAAAATGAAAATGAAAGAACTGAAGAACTAAAACCAGCTCTTGAATAAAACATGTTCCAGAAATATACACATGTACAAATATGTAATGTCCGAAAAAGCATTTTGAGAGGTGTTTTGACAGTTCAGAGCCATCGTACGAGCTTAATGCTATACATTTAAAAACTAATAACATGCCAATCAAGCTGAATACAATCTTACGTCATATATAAAACAATCATATTAGATTACTAACAACCCAACAAGTTGTTTTGCATGTATCATTGCTGTCATGTTTACTCATATTTTTCCTGAGGCAATTTAAACCAAAATACACAATGGCACTCAAACATATCTACAATGATAAGAAATAGGCTTACTGAGTTATTAACGCACAGCAATACCACACAAAGAAAGGACGGACTTTGAAAGAATAAACAATGTGAGAAAAGCTCTATTATAGTGAACTGGACAAGTCTGAACAAATTCAACCCACGTATTTTGCGCTAGGCCGACATATCTGCACAATTACGTAATCTATCGGCCTATAGATATCGGACGATAGGTATCATTTTGAGATCAGACCGATAAAGCTAACATTAAAAATAGCATTTATCGGACGTTGATGATATGACCACCGATATATCTTGCATCCCTAAATTTTAGGTGACCTATACCTTTCAGTGTGTGTTTGTGTGTGTGTGATAACGATAAGCTTTTTTTACTCACACCCACAGTTCTCGTGTCTGTCGTGGGACGTGGAGAGTCAGTAACCAGCCGGTGCGAACCGGTAGACGAGACTCAAAGAAAACTGGACGCATTGTCAGGAAAGCATGATACGAAAGCCACTGTGGACATAAAATCCATCCTCATCCATCCTGCACTGTGATCATTCATTGAAGCTATGCTGGACCGCTCACTGCTCTTCTTCATTATATAGCGATCGCAACTGTGAGGCTGCAAGTTAACAGGTTTCCTACATTCTAATTTGAAGAAATAGTTCACCTTGAAGTTTACTCACCCTCGTTATGCCAAACATGCTTGAATAATGTATGTAGTGTGATTTCTTTTGCAGAACAGACTCAAAGAGCACCATAAAAGTGACTTTCGAAAGCCATAAGATTCAGTTATTTGCACAGACTGATCGCTTTGCTTCGTAAGACCTCATTGCATCATAAGGAGCCACAGGTATTAATTCTGTTTTACCTGTATATTGTTATTTATCAAGCTGTGGCAAAGAAACTGTTCAAGAAATCGATTATGCATCAATTCTGAGATTTTCAAAATGCATCGTCATTCTTACCTAAATGGATTCAGAGCTTTGTTTTTAACAGCAGATGGCGCTGTATGCTTTACAAACAGCTGAATTCTGCCTGTATTCACCTTATTCTCCGCGTACAAGCGGGCACAGCCATGTCTTTTCTACTTTTCATATTGTTCTACTTTGTCTGTATAGTCATGCAAACACTTTTTTGTAGAGCAAGTAGTTTGACCTTTTTTTTGCTGTTCATTACTTCTAGTTATTTCTCCCATAGGCTGAATCGGAAGTTCTAAAACAAGCGCACTTCCACATTGAAGAATAAGGTCAATACAATCCCTTATACCGTGCATTCACACCGCCCTCCATGGCGAGAGTGTCATTGGCTTTGGTGGCCGTGCTATTGGCACTACAAGTCTGCGATGATTCAAAACATTTATGTTTTCTAAGGCCCGCCCTCAAGAGGCTCTGATAAGTTAGCTAACATAATGTGCTGTGATTTGCAGATCGGCTCTAGGTCACCAGTAAAATGTCACCCCTCCTCAAGCATGCGCTTTGATTCTGCTGTGTAAATAGTGTCCATCAGAGTAGCTGTTAGCAGTATCTGTTTAAGCCTTAATCAGACAGAAAATGAAAAGGATGAACCTCATGCCTGCTCTCTAAAATGAAATCTGATAAGTGTCTGTAACGAGTGAAAATACGGTGTGGCTCCTTTAAGAGAAAATCGCAATTTTATTTATGTTTGTGTTTGAAAAGTCTGTAGACCACTTATGACTCGCCCTCCTCCTCCCTCCAGCCCACAACGAGATTCACCCTCCCCCCCTCTCTTCAGTTTGCTGATCCTTCTACCCCCCACCCCACTTTTGTTTAGTTTCGCGATCGTTACACCCCCCCCCCCACCCCCACCTCGCTCTTCAGTTCAAGATCGTCAGCTCCGCCCCCCACCTCTCTTCATTTCTGTAGACACATGTAGCACGACAACTGTATGTGTGTGGGACCGATCTTTATTTTTATTTTTCTGTAATATACAGTGATGCTATTAATAGAAGAATAAGGAGTAAGATTTGGAATGCGACCAGTGGCGCAGTGCAAATTATGGGGGATCCCCTGCATGGACTATTGATGGGGCCCCCTAGTGAAGAGCGGGGTGGTGGAGCGATCTCAAAGTGAAAACCGGGGTGAGCGATCGCAAACTGAACACGTCCGCTACCCCACTGAATGCGACCCGTGTGAGCTTTTATTAATTTTTCTGCTGCAACACAAATTAGGTGAGCTATCCTGCATGTTTTTTACCAGCTGTTTGACTGATAAATATTAATTTGTAGCTAAATTGTTAGTGGTGCCAAACAGCATTTCCCGTAGTTTACAACCTTACTACAACATACAGTACCGTTAACGCTAGACACTGTGCATGTAATAGATCAATTTTAAGAAATAAAAATAGGTTGGGTCTCATTGAAACATTTCCATTGTGTTCCATGCTATTTGAAGATGTTATGAGAAAATGCAGTGCATTTTTGTAAATTTTTCGTATATATACATCACTCATCCGAACACACAAGAGAACTTGTAAACATTTAAGTATACTCTTAAAAACTAGCCTAGAGCCCCATCTGCTGGTAAAAACTAAGCTCAGAATCATAGACTGTAAAAGATATGGACGTAGTATCTGTGACATCACCCATAGGTTTCTGAACACTGCAAAAGAAGCTACAAGTAGGCTCGGCCAACTGCTGACGTTTTGTTCTCTTGTCATTGCATCGACTGTGGGATACCAAACAAGGGCAAAGAGGCAACGCGTGAGCGGAGCTGCAGAGACATGCTGGCGTTTTGCTTAGACCTGGCTTAAGACAGATTTTTCTTTGGGAGAAACCCTTAATACTTTATTACCTGTGACTCGTTTGTGTTCTGACCACATGTGCTTGGTTGTACACTATATCAATAAAATGTTTAGACTTTAAAAAACACGGTTGTAATACATTGAGCCACTAAGAATTGTTCTTATGATGATTTTCTACAGAAGGAAAACATAAATTACTTTCAAACACTTCTAATATAGTGTGAGTTAGTAAATGCAAAGTTTTTTATGAAATCCAGGCATAACACTGTGTGATGTTTCAGATGACTGTTCTAGAGCCTACAGCTAATCAACCTGTCAGATTCTGCAATGCATTACAGGTCTAAAGAAAATTATAAATGATCTTAAGTAAAACAAATACATTTATAGAGATGGTATAAAAGTATATAATTTCCCTCACCTAGGAAATGGAGGCAACTTGAAGGGTTTGTAAGTACAATTAAGTGCACACAGCATGCCATATTATCTGATAACTGTAGGGAATATTTCCAAAAGGCAACTGACTGTGTAAAGAAACATTAACTAAAACAAAAATACGATGTATATCGGTTAATTAACAGCTGAGGTGATGACACAGCGAGCAGCGAGTCCTAGGTGTCACTCAAGTGGCCACACCCTTAATTAACCAGACTTATTATAACTTAATAAAAACAAAAGGATGAATTAGAAAAAAAAAATCCCCCCCCCCTCACAGTTGTCATGAAGGGTTATCATAGCTATATGCAACTAAACCATCTTTTGTACCAGGCTGTAAAGGTTTTTTTATCAGCTGTAAAATTGGCCAATTTACCAACGTAGTCAGAAATCATCTTGATTTCCTAGAGCCTGCCCCCCAAGGTGAGTCAATGAATTGCAGTTTTAGTTACTTCCGTATTGGCTTCACGAGGGAAAGTGGGTGGTTGCTGCTTGCTCAGAATCAAATCAATATAATGATGCATTTTGAAAATCTCAGAATCGATTAATTAAATTTTCACCACAGCTCTTGTTATTTGATGCTCATAAAGTGTGTCGGAAATCATACCATGCATTTTATGTTTCACAAATAGCTAACTAAAAAAACTTTAGAAATTATGTTCATCTTGGATGGCCTCAGGGTGAGTAAATTAATGGCAGATTTACATTTTTGTGAGAACTATTTCTTTAAGAATGTCTGTTGATTTTTCATTTGCTAAAATGAATATATGGTAGCTAGATGCAGAGTTCAGTCTGAGATCTCTGATCACATTCACAATATAATATCACTGTGCATATACATATACATTTTAATCCAAGATGTTTTTCAATTGTTTATCAAAAGCGTTGGCTAAATGACTAAATGTAAATTTAAAAGACAATCAATTGCTAAATAAGTTTGTAAACATGTTTTGTGTGTTTCTTAGAGTGTTTATTGTGTTTACCCATGCTACATTTTATAATTGAATTGCAATTTGTTGTTTTGGATATAATACATCAAAAGTACATGGATGTTGACACTAAATAAGTGTATTTTTGTGTTGAGATTTATTAAATATGCATTTTTCCATCAAATAAAACTCTTGTAGTGGTATTTTTGCAAATAAACAGTCAGTTTTAGAAGGTTTAGGATTTAGTGTAATAGTTAACAAGCACTTTTCAATGTTTAGCCACTTTAATTTTTTTGTCATTTTAAATGTTATTTTCATTCATTCATTTTCTTTTTGGCTTGATCCCTTTATTTATCCGGAGTCGCCACAGTGGAATGAACTGCCAACTTATCCAGCAGGTTTTTACGCTGCACCGGAGCACCCTAAGAAAACCAGCACAAACGCAGGGAGAAGATTCAAACTCCACATATAAATGCCAGCTGACCTAGCCGAGGCTCGAACCAGCGTCCTTCTTGCTGTGAGGCGACAGCACTACCTACTGTGCCACTGCGTCGCCCTAAATGTTACTTTAATGTGTTTAAATGTATTTTTCTTAAATCCCTTAATAGTTTAATCCTTTTAATTAACCAAAACGATAACCATACAATTATAACCAATTTTATTATTTGAAATAACATGTTAACTGATATAAATCAAATAAAATATATAAAAACATCTATATTTTTAAATATTTAAAATTATTTTAACTTAGGTAAACTTTAAATGTGCTAAAATGACAAATTAAAATACTAAAATTAAATATATAAAAATACAGACAAATACAGGAGGGGGTCCGGTTCGGCAATCACAGTATTTCATCTCTGTTTTTCACAGACGATATTGTTCTGTTGGTTTTATCAAACATGGACCTTCAGCAAGCACTGGGGCGGTTTGCTGCTGACTGTGATGCGACTGGGATGAGAATCAGCACCTCCAAGTTTGAGGCCATGGTGCTCCACCGGAAAAAGGTGGTTTGCCATCTCAAGGTTGAAGAAAAGTCCTTACCCCAGGTGGAGGAGTTAAAGTATCTTGGAGTTTTGTTTACGATTGAGGGAAGGATGGAACATCAGATTGACAGGTGGATTGGTGCAACGGCAGCAGTATTGCAGTCAATGTAACGATCCATTTTTGGGAAAGAAGGAGCTGAGACAAAAGGCAAAGCTCTTGATTGACCGGTCAATCTACAATCCTACTCTCACCTATGGTCATGAGCTTTGGGTCTCTTAGCTTGCCTGGAAATGCTGTGGATCCCTCCGGAGGAGCTGGAGGAAGTGTCTGGGGAGAGTGAAGTCTGGGGTTCTCTCCTGAGACTGCTGCCCCCGCGACCTGGCCCCTGAAAAGCGGACGAAAATGAAATAAAAAAAATTGAAATGAAAATCAGATAAAATATATAGAAAACATATATTTATAAATATATTTAACTTAGGTAAACTTTAGATGTACTAAAATGACTAGGATTAAAGTACTAAAATTAAATATACATATATAAAAAATAAAGAGATAAACAATTGCAAACACAACTACATTTCTAAAGTTTTTAAACTAAATAAAAAGACAAAATATATAATAATATAATATAATAATAATAATCATATATCTTAAATAAAACAAAAATAACATTAAAGATATTGTAAAGATTCAGTTAGCATTTTATTTTGTTTATGTAATCATGTTATTTTTGGTTGTGACCATTTCAGCCGAACTGAGACTCATATGTCTGTACATGCACATTATAGAGACTAACTGGCCTGTAAAATGCTTTGCTTCTCTGTGCTTTTTTTGTGCTGATGTTTATTTGCAGTGAAAAAAAAACTTATAAAGCATGTATCACTGCTGAGGTGAGAAAACTGTTGAGTGGAATAATTTATCATTAAATGCACCGGTCCCTCACAAATCTCTTATAATTTCCCAAGAGAAATCAGAGCGATGCATCAAATATTATTCTAATTAATGAATCTTTTTTTTTAATCCCACATGACTACAAGCCATTCACAAAAGTGCAGACCATTGCTGAAAAGGTTTCTGGCTTTATAAATATAGAAGGTTGTATTGTTTTCATGTCAGGCTGGATCATTTGGTCTTCATATGGAGTGGAGCCAATTCTACATCACAGAGTAAGTCATCTTTAATATTACACTTATTTTAACACAAAAAGCTATTAAGGGCACTTTGTGGCTTCTCTAATATACTTCATTGCTCACTGCCTCGTTACTTGTTAGATCTGTAGTTAAAGTTCATCCTAAAATAAAAAAAATTTCCTCGTCATTTACTGGCTGTCTAACCTTTTATGAAGTTCTTTCTTCTGTTGAACGCAAAACAAGATATTCTGAAGAATGTTGGAAACCAGCAGCCATTGCCTTTCATTATAGGAAGAGGTAAATAAATAAACTATGGACGTCAGTGGCTGCTGATTTATAACATTCTACAAAATATTTTCTTTTGTATTCAAGAGAAGACAGAAATTCAGACAGGTATGAAATAAATAGAGGGAAAAAAGTGGATAACAGAATTTTCAGTTTTTTGGGTGAACTACCCCTTTAAGTTATTGAATGGGTAAAAACATCAGGTCAGAAATGATCTTTCCATTAAGGGGAACATTTTTGTTTTAGTTTAGGATATTAAGCGAAACTGTATTTTTTTTTTTTTTTTTTTTGTATGTTAAATACTTATAAGTTATTTTAATCAGATATAATAAACTGTTCACTAGTGATATAACATTATCAATTTATTTGGATTTAAATTATACTTAAATAATTAAGAAATTAGGAATTAGAGGGTAGGGAATATATGCATATACAATTGAAGTCAGAATTATTAGCCCCCCCTTGAATTATTATTTACTTTTTTAAATATTTCCCAAATTATGTTTAACAGAGCAAGAAAATTTTCACAGTATGTCAAATAATATTTTTCCGTTTGGAGAAAGCCTGTGTTTTATTTTGGCTAGAATAAAAGCAGTTTATAATTTTTTAAAAGCCATTTTGATGACAAATTAGCCCCTTCCAGCTATATTTTTTTAGTCTACAGAAAAAAACATTGTTATACAATAACTTGCCTAATTACCCTAACCTGCCTAGTTAACCTAATTGACCTAGTTGAGCCTTTAACTGTGACTTTAAGCTGTATAGAAGTGTCTTGAAAAATATCAAGTAAAACATTATTTACTGTCATCATGGCAAAGATAAAATAAATCAGTTATTAGAAATTAGTTTTGAAAACTAATGTGTTGAAAAAAAATCTCTTCTCCATTAAACAGTAATTAAGGAAAAATAAACAGGGCGTCAAATAAGTCAGGGGGGCTAATAACTCTGACTTCAACTATATATATATATATATATATATATATATATATATATATATATATGAAGAGTTCAGATGCAGAAACCTTTTAGTGCCAAGATTTTTTTCTAAAATCAGCATTTTTCACAGTCTCCTATGTTTATTTTTAGTTATTTTACATAAAAGAAAAATGAAAACAACCTATTCTTTGACACAAAAGTGAAATTACTGAACCAGCACAAAGGAAGACTATTTCAGACTGTGAAATTTAGAGGTTTTTGCATCAGAACTCTTCATATACTCAAAAATGAAACTACTTATTAAAATAGACTTGGAAAAATCACAATTCCTAAGTTTTTTGGGGCACAACTTAAATGTTTTATGTTCAACCCACTTAAATTTGTGAAAGGGATTCATTTAACTTAATAGATTTGTAAACATGAAGCAATTGTGTGGAACCCATCATTGTTTACAGTATATACTGTATATAGTGTGTTAAAACATAAAAATAAATATAATGCAAAATGAACAGATCTATACAGCGATACCACTTTCACTTAAATCACAACTGCTGTGACAGTTTAGTTCAATTTTGCACTCTCCTTGTTATCAATTTAAGACATATTTTTTCTAATTTTGGTGGCAAATCTACCACAAAAACCTATTCATTTTCAACTCTGCACCTAACTTGCTGTTTAAAACAATTGTAATCCAAGATGCAAAATAAAAGATTAAAATGTAACAGTAACACCATATGTTCTGTCTCGTATCTCTCCAGGTGCATTGCTTAGTGTAAATCTGATCCAGTATGTCTTGCGTATCCGACAGCTCCAGCCTCAACAAGGCCCTGCGACAGCAGTACCTCAGTCTGCCTCAGGGACCCTTCTGTCAGGTCACTTATATTTGGATCGATGGGTCTGGAGAGGGTCTGCGCAACAAGACTCGAACCATGGAATCGGAGCCAAAGAGCGTGGCTGGTAGCAAAGTTTTAGTTTTATCTGAGCAGTTTCACTTTATTTGTTCTTGTTTTGAATTCCTTTTTTTTTTCGTCAGATCTGCCAGAATGGACCTTTGATGGTTCCAGCACAGGTCAGTCTGAAGGACACAACAGTGACATGCTGCTGATTCCTGTGCGCATGTTCAGAGACCCTTTCCTCCTGGACCCAAATAAACTGGTGCTGTGTGAGGTGCTCAAGCACACCCGAGAACCTGCAGGTACAGTTTCTTCTTCATTGAAAAATTACATCAACTTTTGACGGCTCAATTAATGCATATTTGTATTATGAAATAATATACAAATACAATAAAGTTAATACTACTAGGAAAAATACCCTTTCTTGACCATCTCTACCTCTTAAATTATGCATTTAGCGTCAGTTATCGTGAAGTAAATAAGTCTATTATTCATGTCTTTTTACATGTTTAAATAAACATTTGCATCTACTTTGTGTTATTTGTAATTTCAGTTATAAATGATATGTTTCGTGTCTGTCCTTAAGTACTGGTCAACTCTGTTACATTGGTTATAAAATGGCATTACAATAATTACAGCACTGATATAAAAAAAAAGTGTCACTTCATCTAGCAGGAAACTCTGGAGGCATTAAGGCATGTTATTTATTCTACACTAATCATAGATGGACCCTTTCACAATTTTGGGGCTTTCAAAGTAGCAGAAGTCGTCATAGCTGGCTAAACTTAGAGCGCAGTGAATGAGAAAGTAAAACAAATAATAATTTAAAAAAAAAAACCTCTACGATGGTTTTATCAAGACTTTCAAAAAAAATTTTAAAAAAAATTGTGTAAGACTGATAACGGCAGCCAGAAGTGAAAACAAAATCAAATTCACTGTCTTGCCCATGGACCATGCCAGGGGCGATTTTAGGATTTTCATTTTAGTGGGGTTTAGCTCCTTATAAGGTAAAAAAAACTAATAATAAAAATAAATTATATATTATATATATAGCCTAATAAGCCTAATATTACATTTATAAGTGGTAATTTAATAGTAATACACTTAAAAATGTTTGTTTAATATGGGTTGTATACTAATATTCCACTGTTGAGAGGCATAACCATTGAGTTCTGAATCAGACAAATATGCTTAATCCACTCGTTTACTGTAGTAAAAACCACTTTTTATATTCTAGTGCATTTTTTTCCATGTATTAAATAAATAAGCTGCCACTTTTTTAATTAAATGACACACGCATAAATCTATATATTTAAACTTACAGGCTAATTCACATATTTCACGATCTGAATGATGATAATAATAAATAAGAAGTAGCCTATTTTTTAATACTAGACAACACTTGTTTCTATCTCTGTCAGAGTGACTCGGTCACAGTTAAAACAAGTACATTCTCAAAATCTACATGAACTGTAAAGTGTTTTATATTGGTAGTTCATTTTGAAATAAAAATACTCAAATGTTCATTAAGAGTTAAATTTTTTTGCTGGAGGAAACAGCTGTGCTGATGAGGTAAATGCCGAGAAAACCCAACTGCTCCCCCATGACATTGGGATACAGGTGATACAAGGTTATCTATATCAAAGAACAGCAAATAAGCAGATATTATAACAATTTGTCAATAAACACAGCTTACAGTTTAGCCTACAGTTTATGAACTAATCGCAAAGGTTTTAGGGGGGCTAAGTAGAAAAAAGGAGGGGCTACTACAACCCCCCTAAAATAGACAATGCAATAGAAACCCCTCGTACAAGTGGAAATTTGTTTTTTGCTATTTGATGCAAAATGATACAGTAATACATAATTCATATATAAATATTATGAATATGCATACGTTTTAAAAACAAAGTCTAAATATTGACAACTTTCACGGATTTAAGATGCTGATGCCCGTTAAACGTGTCATTACAGATCTTGTAAAAAAAAGGGGTCCATTATATTTCAACTTTTTATTGTGGTATTTCAGTGAAATTCCCTTTTAAAAACAAGAACATGATAACAATACAGGCAATGTTAGAAAATGTCTGTTATTGTCAACTCTATTAGTGGCTTCAAAAAGTAAAAATACATTAAAATAAGGTCAAATGTTTCCTATTATGTAAGCATTTTGCATTATTTTACACTGGAATCAGTTTACTGCGATTTATACATTTGTTGTATATCATTCCAGTTTCAGAAAAATGATTGTAAAATGCATGAAAGTTCTAGAATGAGTCTACAAGTTTTCATTAGCACACAAATAAATAAAAAACTTTAAACACTAACCTCCTGCAGTTGTTCTCCTAGAGTCAAACCATCGTAACAAGTGCAACAAGGTCATGGAGAAGGTCAAAGGTCTTCAGCCTTGGTTTGGCATGGAGCAGGAATATACTCTTCTAGGAGTGGATGGACACCCTTATGGCTGGCCCAGACTTGGCTTTCCCAAACCACAAGGTTAATGATGACGTGATTATTATTATTATAAATGCAAAAATCTCTTTTGTTATGTTTTACAAGAAAACATCAAACAGTATTAAGCTGCTGTAGAGATTGCTTTTTAAATTCCACACATGTTCCTCCCACAGAATGTATGTCTTACCTTACATTCATTCAGTCATTCATTTTCTTGTTGGCTTAGTCTCTTTATTAATCCGGGGTCGCCACAGCAGAATGAACCGCCAACTAATCCAGCAAGTTTTTATGCAGCGGATGCCCTTCCAGCCGCAACCCATCTCTGGGAAACATCCACACACACACTACGGATAATTTAGCCTACCCAATTCACCTGTACCGCATGTCTTTGGACTGTGGGGGAAACCGGAGCACCCGGAGGAAACCCACGCAAAGACAGGGAGAACATGCAAACTCCACACAGATTCGGCAACTGAGCCGAGGTTCGAACCAGCGACCTTCTTGCTGTGAGGCGACAGCACTACCTACTGCGCCACTGCCTCGCCCTCCTACCTGACAGATGTCACTAAAATGTGTGTTATGAGAAATCTTGCCAGTTTTGTAAAAGCCATATAGATGCCAAAGAAAAAAATAGATGCAGACCATGCTCAAATAGAAAACACTTTGTGCCATGTCAATAATTTCTGGATTGCTTGAATTGTTTGAATTTGGCAAGATGTGTGGTTGAGTAACTTTTAAGAAGAGGAAAGCAATTACTCAATGCACATATAAACCTGCATTGATTTACTCCTGTAGACATTAATTTACTGTGGTTCAGTGGTATGACAATGTCTTGATTTCTCACAACTTGTGTGTGCTATTTCTTTGTGAGTCAGAACGAATCGCTAATAGTCTCATCAGTGCACAGAGTAGGTCAGGATTTTTGTTAAATAATAAAATATATCTGATTTAGTTCTTCACCAAACACTACAGTACAGTTTATACAGCAGTTCCTGATCCTGTGATGGTCATTTCTGTCTTTTTTTAAAGGGAAAGTACACACCAAATGGAAAATGTGTTAGTTCCTTTTGAACACAAAAGAAGATCTTTTGAAAAATGTTATATACTTAACTTTTTAAAGTCTTTCTAAAGACGTGGTCACATTAACAACTTTACATACCAAATAGGTTTTGCTCATTGTCAGTAATGTAAAGATGTTTGCAGCACTATCTATAAAGATGTCATTTTCAAGCGTCTTCTAGAAAAGTATAACTCAAAATTCATTTTTGACCTCATGTAAAACTCCTGATTGTTCTGATTTCTATGGTATTTCACAGAAACAGCGGTGACCACAGTTTTATTGCTTTATTTTAGGAACACACAGAAATTGATGCTTTAAGGAATAAAAAAAAAAAAAAAACAAGCGTAAAAATATGTAGTCAATATCCACTTCCATTGTATGGAAAAGAGCAGCATTTTCTGCTATCATAAACATTTTCTTTATTATATTTAATTCCAGCATATTCATAATTTATATATTACATCAGATTTTTCAGTAAAATTATATTATTTGATATTCTCAGGTCTATATTACTGCAGTGTTGGTGCAGACAGAGCCTTTGGCAGAGATATTGTGGACTGTCATTACAAAGCCTGTCTATATGCTGGCATCAAAATCACTGGAACTAATGCAGAGGTCATGCCCTCTCAGGTAATCGCCATTACATTTACTAGGCTGTATCTCCATGTGCTTTATACCCAGTCGGTTTGCTCTTTCTGCAGTGGGAGTACCAGGTGGGTCCATGTGAGGGAATTGAGATAGCAGATCATCTGTGGATGTCACGCTTTGTGCTGCACCGAGTGTGTGAAGATTTTGGAGTGGTGGCGACCTTGGATCCTAAACCCATGGTGGGAGACTGGAATGGAGCCGGCTGCCACATCAATGTGAGCACAGCATCCATGAGAGAGGAAGGAGGAATTGAGTATGTACTGAGTAATGCATGCACACAACAGAGTTATCTTACTCATGTCATGTGACCTCCATCTTTCTTCTCCACATCAGGCACATTGAGAAAGCCATTGAGAAACTGAGTAGGCGACATGAAGAGCATATTCGGGTCTATGACCCACATGGTGGAGAAGATAACAAGCGTCGCCTCACGGGTCGTCATGAAACCTCCAGCATCCACGATTTCTCCGCAGGTGTTGCAAACCGTGGGGCCAGCATCCGCATCCCACGTCAGGTTGGTCAGGAGAAGTGTGGTTATTTCGAGGACCGCCGTCCTGCCGCCAACTGTGACCCATATGCCGTGACCTGCGAAATGGCTGTGACATGCATGCTAGACGATGTCCATGAATAACATACTTTAATAGATGCTTAGTGTGTTAGGTAGAGGGCTCGTTATTCTGGTGGATTTGTTGTAAAATGTCCTCGATGCATATTAGAATCGTCATCTGAAAAGAATCGAATGCTATATGACTTGCACGGCAGGCTTGATATGCCGTATGTTTAGTCATACACGTGAGTTTACCTGTTTTTCCGAACAATAAATTCATTCTCACCCAATCAGAATTTAAAGAATACACTCCAAGTTAATTGTCATAGCCTAGCAATGCAAATGAAGGAACAGGGTGTTCATGAAACTTCCAAGGGTCTGAATGTTCACATTTTATTAAAATGAAGTAACAGTAATATGTTAAATATCAAGGGTTTTAGCGATTAAAATGAGAAACTAAAACAAATGAAAACAACTGATCTATCTGTCTATCTGTCTTGTCTGTCTGATATCTATCTATCTGTTTGCCTATCTTTAAAGTAAAGTATAAAATTATCAGCTAGTCTAGAACATGCTATCAACATGTTAAATCGCTTACAACATGGTTGAACATGAGAACATGCTAAATCTAGTATTTTGTTAAATATTAAGTTATGTTTACTAATGCTAGTGACTTGATAGTTTCTTTAAGCCAGCACTAATACATTTATTCATTTAGTTACAGCTTTTCTCAGTCGCTTTGGTGCATTTCTCACAACAACACTATTTACACTTGCACAACAGTTAATGCATTTCCTAAAACAATTAATACAAACTGTAAAACCCAACTGATAACCTGCAAAAGTGCATCACAGGCTGAAAATAGATAGCTCATTCCTTAAAAGCAAGTAATGTCAATGAAAGAGATGAGATTTCCTGACACCATTGTTCATGAACAAGATAGTCAGATGGCTTTGTCATGTGTTCATTATGATAGTTTACTCTGTACTTTTTTTCTAATGCAAAAAAAAAGGTCAGATTTTGGTTACACCTCCTGAAAATGCTCAAGACAGCACTATATATTAATTGCACAGCCATTTGAAAACTACAGTAATTTAGACATCACTGCATTTAGTGAAGTATCTGAGCACAAGACACTGAATATGTATGTTTCACACTTTTACTGCATATGTTCTTTGCAATTTATTCACAGTATTGTGCAAAAGAATAAACACACCCTAATTTACAACAAACAGAAACTCCCTTTGGGTAGAGCTGTGCACAACTGTAAACAATATTGCAGCACATATTAGAACTGAACCTACAGCATACACAAGTCTATAAATCATTCATGAAATTGTTCAATTTAGGAGACATTTTCAGGGAAAAAAAAAAGATTCAAAGATTTTCATAAAGTTTGCTTAACCGACTGGTTCAACATTTTTGTATGTAATGACTCAAGTATTGCAATGAGGACTATTAGTTTTATATGGGACGACTATTCAGAAATTAGAAGATAATTTTGACTGACATGACATAAGCAAATGATAATGTTATAAAACAGCAGAGAGTTGTATGAAAGCAATTGATGCATGTCCAAAAGCATTTGCAATTTGTTGGAAGGGATGAGAATGTGTTGCTAATTGTTTTGAGAAATGCATTTCTTGTTGTGCAAATGTAAATAGTGTAGTGAGAAATGCACCAAAGTGACTAAGAAAAAACTGTAAATCATGCTTATATCATGGTGGAACATGATAATGTGTTAAATCTAGCAGTGTGTGAAATATTATAGTTAACTAATGCTAGTAATTTGATAGTTATCTAAGGCAGCACTAATACATTTATTCAATTAATGAATATTGATTCTGAAAAAATTTTACTTAGTTTGTAGAAACAGTAAGAAAAATTAGATTTTCTTGTGAAAACATGTTTTCTGCTACTTTTCATCAGTTAAAAGTGTGCAAATGTAAATTTTATTAATAGATAAAAAACAGTTGCTCCTTCTAAAGCTTTTGAATAGAAATTAAATAAACTTTGTCAACAACAGGGGTGCTCTTTAAATTCTTTAAATTGAGTAATTTCTTCTTTGTAATACAGTTTACTATGTTGTTTGCACAATCTTTTTTTAAAAAGACACACCAAAAACAAAAAACAAAACAAAAAAAACTTGGCAAAAGCACCCTTGTGTTTGTTAGTAAAATTTCACAACCGCCCACAAGTGGCAGGACTTATGATCAATGTAGATCTGTTCAGTTGTCACAACAGTTTGTGCTGCGTGGGAAAAACGAGAGATACTGGAACGCAATCAACGGACACAACGCTATATTAACTTCTGGATTGCTTTTGTTGTATTGTATCTGGTTCAGTATGTCTTGCGTATCTGAAAGCTCGCATCTCAACAAGTTCCTGCGCCATCGATACCTCAATCTTCCCCAAGGAGACTTCTGTCTGGTCACTTATGTCTGGATCGATAGTTGTGGTGTGGACCTGTATAGCAAAACTCGAACCATGGACTGTGAACCAAAAATCCTAGCTGGTACAGTACTTTACGGAAATATCCTCATAATACATGTTTTGGGTTTTCTTGCTTTACGCTGATTGTCTTTGCTTTTTGTGGTAGACGTACCAGAATGGGATGTTGGTCTTGAGACTGAAGAATCCAGCTCTGAGATGCTACTTAATCATGTCCGCATGTTCAGGGACCCCTTCTTTCTGGGTCCGAATAAACTTATCCTTTGTGAGGTGCTCAAACACACACGAAAACCTGCAGGTATAATAGACTAAAATCATGTGCTGAAAAGTATACAAAAGCTTTTAAGAAATTGTAGAATATTTGTTGCTCAACTAGTAGAGGATGATATTTATGTATAATAATAAACGTAAATGTTCAATATTTTTCATATTTATTCAAATCTTTGTACCCTGTTTTGCTCTTTCAGAATGGAACCACCGTAACAGGTGTAACACGCTCATGGAGAAGGTCAAAGATCTTTATCCTTGGTTTGGCATGGAGCAGGAATATACTCTTCTGGGAGTGGACGGACACCCTTACAGCTGGCCCAGACTTGGCTTCCCCAAACCACAAGGTCATCACACTGATATGATGAGTTTTTATACCCACAGTTTATAGCAGGAGTGTCCAACACTGCTCCAGGTAGGCCAGTGTCCTACAGTGTTTAGCTAGAGATGGCCTGTGTGGGACAGTGGCTTTCCAGGAACAGGTTTGGTGGAGGTTAAAGGTGCAACATTAAGTGGCTAACATGAATTCTCAGCAGGTGTTGCAAATCGTAGGGTCAGCATCCGCATCCCTTGTCGGGTCGCTTTGAATAAATGTGGCTACTTTGAGGACCGCCGTCCTGCTGCCAACTGTGACCCATATGCTGTGACCTGTGCAATAGTTCGCACATGCATGATAGAAGAGAAGGCAGAGAAATAATCAAATGTTGAATTTTATTGGAATTAATGCAAATTTAAGCTTGCATACTTTAAATGATTAGCAACATTATTAATTATAGTGCTATTCTGTTAAACCCAACAGTCGGCTTTATCAAAGGAATCGAGCGTAGTGAACTCCAAATTGACTGAAAGTTAATTCTACTCATTTCAAAAGAGTTTTGAACTCAGTGTAAAAGGTAATAAGTTAATCAAATATCTAATTAAATAAACCTATATGAAGTAAGTTCACAGTACTTATATTGATTCGGTTTTTTTTGTACTTAATGGTTTGTAGCAATCGGTTTCCTCGAATGAATTGAGTCACCTTAACTTTTTGGGTTTTACAGTGTAGGCAGTAGCAGAATTAACTTTATTATTTTGGCTAGGTGCTCTCCTCGACTCTCGCAAAAGATTTTGAGTGAAAATTAGATTTGTGCAGATGAGGAAAATGTTACATTGTGTTAAAGGGCTAGATCACCAAAAATGAAAATATACTCACTATTAATTCTTTTTACCCTCAAGGGGTTATAAATCTTTATGATTTTTTTTCTGTTGAACCCAAGATAAAATATTTTGAAGAAAGCTGAAAACCTATGGGAGTGGTTACAGGCTCTATAACTCTTGATTACAATAAAACTATTTTAAAGTTGTTTACGAACGCCCATTTGTTTGATTGCTATTCATTTAGCTGTCCATAAGGGGGCGTCATAGGCAAGTATTTGTAATTACTGGATTTGGTTTATAAAGCAAAGTTCAGTTTATCTGTAAAATACTTTCCAGTAAGATAACTACATCTTTATATATATTTAAAAAATAATAATAATAATAATAAAAAAAAACTTTTTAAAAAACTTTTTTTGTTTCTCTTGTTTAAAACATTTTAACACAGAAGTTTAGTTTAAAAATACCAATTTGACATATTTTTTTAAAGCCCATGCATAAATGACTTTAATAAAACTGAAATGTTTTTCCATTAAGGCTTAACTGAATGTGAACCACAAGCAGACCTTTCAGAACAAGAGGAAATCATCACAGTTTCAGCAGATAAGAGGTGTGCAGTTCCCATCATGAGATGAATTTATTATTCTCAGAACAATGGCAGAAGAGATTTCTGTTCAGTTTTATCAATGCTTGTGTCGCCAGACAGATGGAGCTGTAGATTCCTAATGATTTTCCTGCTTGGCTATGAAGAAAATACAGTGTGGAGCAAAAAGAAAAGAAAAGAAAAAAAAAACAGGTCTGTGAAATTGTGAAATGTTTGAGGAAAAGGTAAAAAGTTTAAATAATGGATTATATATGTATTATATTATATATATACAGTGCTCAGCATATATGAGTGCATTCCATTTTGAAAATGAATATTTTTGTCAATTTCTCAGTGAATATGGGTAATATATAGCTGCATTTAAACAAAACAGATTTATAAACAGATACATTTATTAAAATAATATTATAGTCAGAGAACATCTTTAGAAATGGAAAGATAATACATTTAAATTTATGCAAAATATTGCAAACAAAAGTAATAATTATAATCTACAACATTTTAACAAAAAAATATATTTTTTTTCTTCTCTAACATACATTTGGGCTACAAATTTTCAATTATTATTGTAAGTTACTTTTTTTTTAGATTAGCTCCAGATTTGGCATTTCAGTACTGACTAAACTAATGTATATGCAGAAATATAATATTATAAAGCATCCTATAGAAAATGTTTATTTAAATTAAAGATTTGTGGGGGGTGTATTCATGTTTGCTAAGCACTGTTTATAAACACACACACACACACACACACACATACACATACACATACACACACACACACACACACACACACACACATATATATATATATATATATATATATATATATATATATATATATATATATATATATATATATATATAAACAGTTTTTAAACACTGATTAACACTGACATAGGAGATATTTTTACAATAAGATATTTAAAGCATAAAACAAAATCTTAATGTTTATCAGTAGTAGAAATTAAATATCTATTATAAACAAATGAACAAATACAGATTGTAAGATTACACTACGATATAAATGTAAGTATTTTTCCACATTTGATATGTTCATATATTAATTTGTTAGGCCTGTAACAATTAGGCCTTAAATAAAATTTTGCAGAAATGTGCAGACACATGGTTTCAGAATATTTAAAACATAAATAGTAACTCCTAGTAATGAACTTTTATTGAACTACAAAACATTAATCTATTTTATAATAATGAGAAAGAAAGAAAGAAAGAAAGAAAGAAAGAAAGAAAGAAAGAAAGAAAGAAAGAAAAAGAAAGAAAGAAAACATTATGTCACGATTACTTGAAACAACCGTAAAGAGCAGAATGACTGACATCCCGATGACGTCAGCGCTCGCAAATGGGCGGAGTCTTGAGAGCCGCAGGTGGGACGTCAAACTGGACGCTGCTTTCACCCGTAGTTTAGCCGTCGATTTTTTTTTCTCATCCTCCGCGAGTGCGTGAGAGGCGCTTCTGGAAGACATGGGGAAGGTTCAGGAATTCGAGATTACTTTCACTAACAACAAAGTGGTCTACAACCCCGGTGAATCCATATCAGGAACTGTGAGAATTAAATCAAGCCACTCCTTGCAGTTTAAAGGTAAGCGATGCTCTGTAGTCGTACATCTTCAGTCTTTTACAGTAGGAACATGATTTCCATTAACTACACAGTTGGTAAGCTCCAGGGTTTCCCCAGTTCACGTATGAACGGTATTGAATCAATGCTTGTCAACATTGTCGTGTCGCTGAATGAACGTGTTGAATGTTTGCATGTTGACATTCGGCATCCGTCGCTTCTGTTTCAGTGCTTGTTCATAAATGTGTATTTTGAGGGATTAAGCAGTGTTATCGGAGGGCATCGACGTCTTCATTCTTGTTTCTTATTAACCTGAGCGTACATCCTGTTTCTCATGTGCTGCTGTTGGTTTCGGTCCGATTGCACAATCACACCCGAGTCGTTTCTGGTTCATGAAACACGCTGTATGTGGTTCGCGTTTCAACAAGTGTGGTTTGATGCCTGTCTTCACTTCGTTTTCTTCTTTAAACGTCCTCAAAATAGTGCACATTCAGAACTAACAGGCAAAAGTATCCAGGACGCGACGCTTGCGCTTAGAAACGCGACGCTCATGAGGTCATTTGCTAAACGCAATTGTACTAAAACATTAGACAAAAATTTAGGGAAAGACTATGTAATAGACCGCTAATAAGCACAAAAATGTACTTCCAAAACGTTAAATGAATTATGTCTTAGTGAACAAAACCCGTTCAAGAAAATAAATGTGTAATGTAAGGCTAAAATGTAAGAACTTGTCATAAATGTTTGTCATAAATGTCTAATTTCACGATTAGAGGGTGGAGTTTTTAAACAAATTTCTGAAGTCCGCAGTTTCTTGTTAAGTTATTTGGTTATTTATCTGGAAAGCTACAACTGAGAAGGTTCTTTTTAGGTTTTTATGTAACAGAGACTGTAAAATAGAAAGAGAACTTCTTATTTAAAGGGAACATTTTATGTTAGAAAAACACTTTGACTAACCAACAGAGAATGTTCTGGAAAACAAAAATGGTCAGATCAACACTTATTCTGAGCAATTTCAGCATGGATGTGATTTGCAATAAAATCTCACAAAATCAATTCACAAAGAAAGTAAACGTAAACAATTTTTTCATTAAGAAAACATGTCGCTTGAACAGAATATCCAGCCTGATCTCACAAAGAAATGTAGCTATTTTAGGTTTTGTCAGTTTAGTGTCTAATTCAAGTTCATTCATAGGAAAATGTACGATTTTAACAAGCGTGGCACCAGACCCCACCCCTAAAACCAATCTTCATTGGGGATAAGCAAATCTTACTAAATTGTTTGAATGACAATTTATGCGAATTAGCCACTAAATCAAAAAGTTACAAATTGCTGTGAGATTGTTTTGGTTTGACATGTTCTAAACAAATAAAATATTGTTTAGTTTGGTTAAGAAATGTTAGTGCATGTTAGTAAAAAAAAACAGCCTTTTGAAATAACAAAATTTGTTCTTATTGATGAATTTATTCATTCATTCATTTTCTTGTCGGCTTAATCCCTTTATTAATCCAGGATCGCTACAGCGTAATGAACCGCCAACTTATCCAGCAAGTTTTAACACACCGGATACTCTTCCAGCCGCAATGCACCCCAGTTTTAATGCACCCCACCCCATAACCAAACCGTCGTTGGGGGATGAGCAAATCATACTAAATTAAAAGGTTACGAATTGCGATATGGAATTGGAATATCGCAAAAGTTCTCATGTCGCCATAATAATTGTCTTTGTCAGCATACATTGATGTACAATTACTTAGTACAAATGAATTCCCTGGTCATCTTTAAACAAAATCTGAACATTTCCTTTTGAATAATATTTGTAATATTTACAAAAAATATTTTTAAGAATTTATAAAATGACATTTAGTTTTTTATAAATAGAAATATTAGTATTTTTTAAATGCCACACTGCACAGCCTCCATTAGTAAAAACTAGCAAAATGTGAATCCCTAAAAAAGGCATAACCTTTCTCATGAGTGTGTATTTGTGCTGTTACGTGTCAAATCAATATTACAGCTTTTTAAACTGATGGATTTTAATGATGTGCTGTCTAAGTCCCTCATATTGTTGTATTATATGAGTTTATCATCATGTTGCAGATAAATATCAATGCAAGTGTATAACTACAGTTACAGACATGCATACACAGACACTTTACTCTAGACTGATTACCATGTCAGTTGTCAAAACATCTAAAAGAAAAGCCATAATTGTGAAGACATCTTAACTTCTGGCAGCCCCAAACCCTCCGCACCCTCCGCTAACCAAATTTTTGCATACCGCTTGTCATTGGGGAAAGAGATAAGAAAGTAGGTTAGACAAGGTGCTTTTTACACAGTGTGAATATGCACAAAGAACGCATTGTAAGAGTTTTCATCGAACTGTTGGGTTTAGTGTAGGCGAGACTTAATAGACAGACATAAGAGATGTTCCAATGAAACAACTCCGTAAGCTCATTTTCCTTTTTGCCGTTCCACTTATTGTTTGTGTTCACACTTGAGACTAATGTGTTGCATGAAATTGTTGTGCATTTTCACTCAACTCAGGAACCCCACCCTTATTTGTGACACACACTGTATGAAAAACCGATAGGCGATCTCCTGTGGTCATGTTTCTGTTTCTCTCAGTTGTTCCTGTCAACAATGAGAAAGCACCTTTTATTGTCCATCAATGTGGATTGGTGCATTGTTTATGTTCTCTCTAGTGTTTATCAGTTGCATGCGTGAAAGATGACATCACCAGATGATGAGGTCATGTGACTGGTGTGATTAGTCATTGTCTGTTGGCACTTTAATTCATTAGGACTTCCTGCCGTTCCCATGTTGGTACTTTAGGAATTGGCTCGGAGCGCCTTCACCTTGAGTCAAATGTGGAAAACCTGCATCTACTTTGGATTTGTGGCATTCCCTCCAGGAGCCATTGTGCATAGGAAAAGTGCTAGTTGGTTTGAAGGGCGTTTTCTTTGCATCCAAATATGCTGCTTCCATATGTTACTTTAGACCCTAAGAGCAGTCGTGTCAGTTTTTTGAGATTTAAAATGAAACTCATAAACTAAAACTTGTTCATGACATGAAAACATGAAAGCTGAATAAATGTGATTTTCATCGATGTATGGCTTGTTAGGATAGGATGATGTTTAGCTAAGATACGACTTTTTGAATAACTGTGAGTTAAACCAACACAATTCTTTAGTTCTTTTGGGGGGGGGGTAACAACTTAAATGTTATATTGTTTTATGGATTTGTATCATTAGGGTTTTAACAGTATTACTTTTTTTATTGATACCACGTTCTACTTTAACGGTTCTCTTATCGGTACTTTTGGTAAAAAAATTATTTAAAAAAATAAACAGAATGAACTAATTAATTTAGTTAACGTTTTTTGGGAGTTAACTGTGTTTTAAATACAGTTTTGGAGCATCCTGCAATGTAAAAAATAAGCTGTTTTTTATAATTTCTTAAGCATAGTTTATTATTAGGCTATTCTTTTGCTATATTTGTAAATGCGGCTGATGTAAAAGCATTTTTAATGTTTAGATTTATTTAGGCTACTGCAGAAAAAATACTGTTTTCAATGTAACCGAATGTGTGTTTATTAAAAGTGCTAATATTATACCAATTTAGGTGATTGACTGCTGGCATAACGATGTGGATGATGTAATGTTCTTGTTAGTAGCTAGCAGTCAAAAACTATTCATTTGTCTTTCTGCAGTTTTGAAAGATACTTCCACTTAGCCAGATTGCTTGCGTTTCCGCTTATACAAGAAAACAACTTGTTACGTTTGTTGCAATGGGCATTGTCGCTGTCCACTCAGGAAATATTACCCATTTGGTTCACTTTGCAAGCGCACAAGCAGTGTGTTATGAAAGTCGCGAGCCATGTGTGTGCATTTAGCGTGAGCCTCTACTGAGTGCACGCACAGCCAAGAACTGTAAAGGCTTTTATATTTGACGCATTCGCCGGAAACACGAGCATTTCTCATGTGAGATTGCCAACTGTGTAGATGAATATCAAATATCGCAAATTAGATAAGGTTGGTCAGTTAAATTATGCACCTGTAATTAATGCTTATTCAGCAATAATTCTCCAGTACATATAGCAGAACCGTTAACGCCAGAGCTTATCGATACTTTGTTCTTTTATAATGCGGCACCGGTACCGATAAAGTACAGTTTCAGTACCCATGCCTAGCTTTATGACAACTGAATTGTTTATTTACTAACTTAATTTTTTTTTTTTTTACAAATTTAAGTGGATTGAACGTAAAACTATTAAGTTGTGCACCCTAAAACATTAGAAATGTGTTGTTTAATTTGTTTTTGATTAAAGGTTTCACCTAAAATTTAAATGTATTTACTCTCCCTCAGTTGGTTACAAACCTTTATGAGTTTCTTTCTTCTATAACAAGTGAAGAAATCTAATAACCTGTGATGTAATGATAGACTTTTATTAAGTGAACTATCCCTTTCACAGTAAACTACCATATTTTATTAACTTATACAATGTTAATACACCAACATTTTCATGTATTAACATCTACACAGTGTACCTTTGTAATACATTAACAAAAACACCACCAAAAGCAGGTGGTGTTGAGAAAGTCACGTATTGAACAACAGCTCATCTAAAACAGCCTTTCCACAAGCAGAGAAACATACTAACATGATGTCGTTCACACAATAAACACCATCATGGTAACACGCATGACACTAAATGAATGCAAGAAATAAGGCTGTGCGATTAATCTAAATCGAATTGCAATCACGATTTGAAACATTCCGATTAGCTAATCGCAAGAGTCTGTGATATGACATATATATTTCCAACCAGAGCAATTGCATGACGGCCGGCTGTGTGTGACAGTCTTACTAGGCAATTGAGTAAGCACACTTTCATTCTGCCCTGTCAGAATTGCGCATCCAAACTATGTGGAATGTCCACGATAAAAAACAAACAGGAAAGTGCGAACGAGAGGGATGAGGACGTCTGCCGCTTCACAAGCATTAATAGGCTAGATAATAT